AAGTAAAAAAGTCACCGAATCATAAGGGCACTTAAGTGGTGGGGCAAACATATGTTAAAAATTATCCCACCACTTTATATGTTAAAAAATGCCCTGGCGTGTTCAATACGCACCGTATTCAGAAGTGTTCGTTTTCATTAGCGTATTCATATGACTCCGTTTTTATAGCAGAGTAGTGTGAACGCAAGGCAAAAACGGATAAGTTTGACTCCGTTTTCATTTGAAAACGGAGTAGTGTGAACGGGCCTAAGACTATCAGTAGTCAGGTAAGATCTTTTGTATTGTTTTAAATAACAGCAGCCAGAAATTACTCGTTTTATTCTATGCTATAAAGCTCAAATAAGAAATTTTTAAGTATTGATTAAAAAAATGGCAGAAAACCCTTTAAAAAATTAGAAAAGCAAAATAATTGGTAAAATTCCCTTTTGGGAGCGTAATACTTCCCAAGGAAGATGTTGCAGGGAAAACAGGAGGGTCAATTTCTATTGAGAAAAATATTTTACGATTTACTAAAGCAAAAATGCATTCTGTTGCCAGACATACATTGTTTACCTCATTAAGCATTTTGATAGTTTGGCAGAAGATCAGCAAAATTTTATAGCACAATTTGATTGAATGGTTCGTCTTTGCTATTCTTCCTCTACACACTCTAAGAAAGTAATTACGTTATTCGCAATATGTCCCACCCGAATAATGCAATTATGTTATATCGATGTACTGTAATTGCCATGTGATATTGTCGCTGGAATGGATACAATAAAATGAAGAGTTGAAACCTTGAATAAATATGATCAACGTAGGAAGACTTGCAAACTCAGTGCCATATTTGCCAATTTTGGAAGCACACCCACGAATCTTGCACAAAACCGTGTTATTCAAATTGCGTTCAGCAAGCAGATGTTTTTGAGTTGATATCGCGTGGGACGGTAGGGTAGGCGTGGGGGGAAATCAACGAACGCATGGTGTGTTTTCTACCGCAAGTAAACACAGTTGTGCGATGTCTAAATCACGTGTTAAAAATGGCGGAGAGCACCGGGAACTCCGTAACAACTATGACTTGTTTGTGTGAATGAAGAAAAGGCCACTGTAGCAGGCTGCTCGACGGGCTCCAAGGAGTTCTTGCGGCGAAAAGTCGATAAAAATGTAGCAAATATGAAACACCGCAATACGCCGAGAATAAACAACAATAAAAACACGTAAATCAGTAAAGGCTAATATTTCGCCCCGGCATACGGGGTTTCATCAGAGCAAAAGTTAACGGGCTAAAAATTATGACTTGTTTGCTTCCACAATTAAAAGGTAAATTTTCACCGCCATTTGAATTCTCATTGGTTGAGCTCTACAATAGGGTATTGTTATGTCAACCAATCGGCGCTCAGGTATGTAAGATGCTTTATATTTTTGCAGTGGACAGTAAAGTAGCAGAACATTTTGGCCTTCAAATGATCTTTTATGGGCTTTTGTGCAAGAAATAGCCTGATAATGCACACGGCTAATCTTTGAATTATTCTGTTGCTAGTATAGTTGGGAAAACGCACCTTCTTTGCGCCTATATCCAATGAATTGGAATATTTTAACGTGGTTAGAATCACTGATTATTAGTGGGTTAGAATCTATTTTCGCACAACGATCAACGGAGAAAAAAGCATTGGTCTGATGATTCCTTTTTCAGATGACCTTGAAAGAGTCCATAAATTATGCAAGATCTTTGAAAACCATTTATTTAAAGCTATTCCTGCACACATTTCGAAGAACATGATTTTTTGTCATGTTCAGCGATTTCTTTGTTCTAATGCATAAATAATAGTCTCATTCAACAATTGCATTTCCAACGACAAGAAAGATTTTAATTCCTAATTATACCAATTATTGAGAGCTTTCAAAAGCTACCATACAATTTTTTCTTTCTTAGGTTCTATTTGCTTGATGTGGATTTGATTTTACATAAATTCAGCATTGTTTTCATTCATTTTAAGTTCTAAATATTTTTTATTCAATCTTTTATTTTTATCTTATACAGGGCCGGCGAAACGTGGAAATGGAATGGCCAACATGTCAAAGTTTTCAAAAAGATAACTACAATCCCGGACAAAAATGTTGAGACAAAATGCAATTTTTGTAAATTTCTACTTTACCTTGCTCCTGTAAATTCGAATCCCCCTTTCCCCCCGAATCAATGTTGGATTTGTAGTTCTATCATTTCTCCTTCAAAATCATGCATTCAACATTGAATTGGGGGAGAGGGGGGGAGTTATTTTTTAAAGGAAAGTGAAAATATAAGCTTTCCTTGAAAAGTCTCAACCATTTTTGTCCGGGATTGTAGATAAGTAAGTGCGGGTGGATAAGTAAGTGGCACCAAGGCTGGCGGTAAGAAAAATTCTAAAACAATGGCATCTTAAGGATGGCCAGAAACATGTGTGTAAAAAGGAGCTTGACTCGAGGAAAATCCGAGGTAAAATTTTCAAGCTTTGTTTTATTAATATGTCTCATAGTTTCGTCTGTTGTAATGTTGACAAGAAAATGGAAAGGCCTTGAAAAGTTTAAGAATAACCTTTTTAATGAAGCTCGAAATGAAACTTTTTTAAATTTAAAACATTACCAGAATAAATGAAACAGGGTTTAATAAAAAACTTTAATATTGAAATATCACATAAACATTTATCAATTTTGTACAGCTGGGATGTTATTTTGAAAGAACTCGATTTCAAGGTTTTTTTGAGAATAAAAGTTCTTTTAAAACATGACTCTCAAAGTGTGCTGGTCAAAACGAATTTTTATAGAATTTATAATTACGTCTAGATGTTCTCTTTCTTAGTAGGAATGGATTATCGATACAATTAAACTTTGAAGCTTGCTTGATGATACTTTTAAAGAAAAAATCTGCCCATTCTTTATTTCTCATATCCTCAAGAATGTTCTTACAAGCTGTTTCTTTTCCTCGCACAGCTGATTTCTCTCTTTTTGTAACGTTTTTGAACAACTTTCCGTTAACAAATAGGCCTTATGAGCGGGGCTTAGGGCATAAAAAAACTTTTTGTACAACTTAGACAATGTCCAATATCTTTGATCAAATTCCCATGTCCAATTTTGTATACATCTTCTATGGTAAAGACATAGTAACAAAGCGAAAAACTAAGGCCATATGTGAGGGAATTCTAGACACAGTTACTAACAGAATGATGTACTACATATCATTTTTGCCTAAAAATTTTCTTTTGCTCTTCAGTAAAATAAGGGATGCTCCCCGGAAACATTTTTATAGAATTTATATGTTCCTTTGAACCCTGAGAGTAAATAGCGCAATATAAATATCTTTTATTCATTATAATTGATTCTATTATTAATAAAACACCATATAAAAAAGCAATGAAACAAGGCGAGAAAGGAAGGTAGAAACTAACTTCTTATATGCTCAATTTTCGTATACGGGGTCGTTTACATTTCGACAGCTAGTTTTTCTTGTCTCTCTTTATTCAATTTTCAACCGAAATCTTTGCTGATTTCTTATTTATATATAAACGTAATGACTGTCAAAATTGTGGTATTCTAGAATAAATTTTCAAATGCTTTTTACCAAGATAAAATGTTGCTTTAAGGAAGGTTAAGATGCTGGGTGTGGTCCAATTAGCTTGCGCAGTGTCCCACTTTAATACTATGGGACAAATTGTGCAGTGTCGGCCTTTTTACTGAAAACAGTTAACTTTTAAAAACAATACTTAAGCAACTGGGCGTTGCATTGACTTTTAGCAGGGATTATCATTGCGACATCAGTTTGATTGTGTTACAAAATATTGTTTTACATTCAATTAGAAAGTTGCTAGGCCAGGTGAGACTACAAATAAAAAACAAAAGGATTTAACGAATTGGCCTATTCTTTTTTCAGATTTAGGGTTTATCCTTTCACTGTGACATATCAAACAGGAAATTTTGAAAAAGATAGCTTCGTAACGGATGGGGCTTCTTTCAGATTCCTCCCAGGAAGACTCTAAAATCTCTTCGTAAGACACGAGTTCCTTGATACAATCAAAATCCATAATACAAGTCATACTGTCACTGTACTATACCATAATACTGTCACGAAAACAAAACCAAACAAGATTAATAACACAGGAAGGAAAACCGTCAGCCTATGAGACGAAAATAATATAGCCTTGATAGGCGTAGCAAAATGATTTACACAAACCTCGTTTGTTCCAAAGAGGAGGACATATTGAATCTTCGCTTGGTGCAAAGAGGAAGCAACCGTTCGTTGATGCAAGAATGCTTCTCGAGATTCATAGTGCCAAATTTCAAAGAAACTGATAAAATTCCCTTTGCGAAAGACTTGAGAGAAGTGCGAAAGACGAAGAAAAGATTGAATATAACCACGCTTTCCTGTGTCACCTTTCTACAACATGCTTGTACAAGGCCTAAGTTTCCTATCAAGGAACCTGTAGCTTACTCTGTGTCCTGGTTCTATTCTACCACACAATCCTGTTCTATTACATCAACTTGGGACATGAAACACGTTTGCGTGCTAAATTTGATCTTTAATAACCTTTCGGATATTGTGAATACTACCTTTAATTTCATTCTTTAAAATCTCTTACAAAGATAACACAGCAAGGAGATTTAAATTCGATGTTCTGGGCATACCAGAATGCAGCCTTAGGCCCCAAAAGGCAATGACCAATCAAATACAATAGCAAGGCAACAGCACTCTGGTATGGTATGCGGCATATAATCACAATAGGCACGATTCTCTGTCATCTAAATGTAGATATGAACATCATTGTCAACAAAGGATTCAGAAACCCATGAGAAATGGATGCTAAATCAAGATGGTGCTTATGTCACGTGGCTTATCTCAGAAAAGTAATATCGAAGAGAGAGAGAGAGAGGGGGGGGGGGGGGGGGGGGGAACAATGAGTACAACTGGTGAAGGTGACAAAGACTCTTGGTGTGGAAAGCTTTTACAACCCTTTATATATCAAAAGAAGTCAAGCAAAGAGCACAACTAATTAGAAAAGATTTTAAAATGGCTACAAAATACATTGCAACAAAAAAATTTTTAATGATCAATGACGAACTTACAGTTGTCCACAGAACATGCACTTTACTAACCGCTATTTCAACAGCAATCGCAATAAGATGCTTAAAATTCAGAAAGATCTCCGTCTATTGGCGAAAGTAGTTTGATGTAATAAAAATCCTTTTTACAGAAGAATGTTGTTAAATTAACGTTAAGACTTCGGAGCAGACTGTATCTTAAGAAGGACCTTCACTTCACTGGCTGCTGGGGATTCTATGAATGAAGTTCCTTTCCGTGTCATGGTTCTCATCGAGGCACTATGCACAGAACTTGAAACTGAATGCTTCATAATGAAAGTTGGTGCATACATTTATGTCCGTACTATTACCAGCTATTGATAAAACCTAAAAGAGAGCAAATGTTCAATGAGATCTTTCAGACTATGACATCAAACGAAGATTGATTGAACATGCTGAACTGTTATTTGTGTCTGAACAGTATCTGAAAGAATATATCAGGTACCAAAGAAGACAACCCTGTAGACTACTATGGTTCCCCTTGATGTGGCCAAGAGAACATCTGCACACATAATTGGCACTGGGGCGAATATAATCGTAAAACTGAGAGATTTCTTTATATTGCAAACGCATTGTCTTTTACTCATGTTTTGCTTCTACTGCCCTTCCTGCGCGCAGCTGTATCTGAATTGGCCACACCACGATATCAAAGTGGGAATAATTGTAAAAAGCTGCTATGTTCAATAAAATATTATTCTAAAGGTCAGCTGAACTAAGAACCATCTAAGCAAGGGGTTATTTTTCGGCGAATGGATCATACAAGTGGCTGGTAAGTGTTAGGGATGAGGGGGAGGTGGTAAATGATGCAAGTGGGGGGGGGGGGCATTTTACCTTGTATCCAACACAAAACACAAATGAAATTTGCTACCATTGAGAATTAGAGGAGACTAGGCCATGGAAGAGCTATCCAGGATTGACATCTAGAAAAGGTTGCAGTCCAAAAAAGGACATGAAGTTCTGGATAAAACACTCACTGATACCGTAAAACCTCTAGAGCACCCATTGGGCGTGGCATATGAATTTAGGAACTTTTTAGACGGAGGCTTACTCGAACGGTGTTATATGAGGAGAGGAGAGGGCATATAAAAATAATCTCAAATTTGTCACTAAAATGTACCTTGTTACTCTGTGAATTATCATTTATTGCCAAAGAATAGACAGAAGAGGGTGAGACAGGCAGTTCAGTTCTTTCATCGCCATTTACAGACCACTGAAATACGATTGGTTCCGTTCCACCTGATAATATCTGAAAAAAATCCTTGTCAATTAGACAATTGGGTATTTTAAGTAAAAAAAGTTGGATAAGACGGAAACAAGGGCATTTCTAAAGTATTCGAAATGATCTCAAAATAGCTACTACAGAATTCGACTCTCTTATCTTGACTGAAATAGCAAGAGTTATTTCTATAGAAAAGTAATAATCTATAGAAAAGCCTTGGTTGTCAAATAGGGAAAATTAAGTATCATTGCAACAAAGAGTGACTATAATTCAATTATAAGAGTTTGAAATCTTATTATACAGACAGAAAGCCATTGTAGCATTGTCTGCGAACATAACCCTCAATGAACAAAGGGATGTCTTCAAGAATGTAGGGATGCTTCGTTGTCTTTGTTACTTGGAATTTTCATACGGAAAAGTTTCAAACCCAAGGAAATCGTGGCGAGGATACTCAAGGGGACGCAATTAGCAAGCAAGGCATGCGTCTGCGTTACCAAGAATTCTCCCAGGGGAAGAATCTCATCTTGGTTTTGAAAAAGTTTCAACAGCATTTCCAGTAGATATGGTGGACAGTATCAACGAATCTAAGCGTCAGATAAAACATTCACGATATGTACTTAAAGGAAAATTGTTCAGTTGTGAAAATAAGTGTCGAAATGGCGTGCTTATCACAAGGCTCAGCTTTTTTTCATCTATTTTGTTTTATTGTCCTGCTTTGCGGTGTTCAACTTGCAGATATTCTGTGAACTGAGTAGCATTGCGAGCGCAAAATCCGTTAAGGCCGATTTCCATTTGACATTTTTTGTGCGCGCGGGCGTAGCCCCCAAATCTGAGCATGCGTAGCTAAGTGCTGCTCTCAAGTAGCCGAGCGCACAAAAAGTTGAGACCCTATCAACTTTGTGGCGCTCACAGCGGACGCAAAATCGAGACCACTTGATTCTAATTACGCCTGCTCAGACTTGGGCGCTACGCCCGCGCGCACAAAAAATGTCAAATAGAAATCGGCCTTTACAGCTGCATTTCGTGCACATGGTTTTGTAACTAAAAACAAAAACTGAATTGAATAGAAGAACGGGCGATGTCATTGGTCAGTTGGACAATTGACAGTTGGATATGACAATCGAAAATTCGATCGGACGGGAGGATGCACCAGGACAAAATATGACAAATGAAATATGACATAAATAACAAAATGTGTTATATTTTGGTGGGAATATCGGCTTAAGCGTACATCATTTGAATAAGCTCGTTGAGGTGATTTCAAAAGCCTTACAAGGAAAGAAATCTTAAAAACAAAATACAGGCAAATGAAGCTTTTAACCAAACGTTAAACAGAACCATTTTTGTGTCAAAATGTTTGCCATCTCTTGGGCCGTAATATAAGCAAATAGACCAAGGGGCCCTTTGTGCAAATCGTGCCAAGAAATCGCTGTGGTAAGCAGGTTTTAAAACTAATGATTGTGTCAAATATTGAACCAAAAGTTTGGTTTTGTGTATTTAACACGAATGGTTTATTAATCCATAGTTAAAATTGAAAAAAACTTTAAAGGGTATTACCTTCTCTTCGTGGTAAATTGCAGTTAAAGGACAAGAATTTTGGGTAGGAAGCACTGCCGTAAGAGTTGAAGATGGAATGTGCCAACATGACAAATGCGGTCCACCACCACATACCTACAGAGATAATTCATCTATTAAATTTACAAGGTATCGACTGCGATGTGCGATGTGGGAAGATTGCTATAATTTAGCGAAGGTTCGAATGACCAAGCAGTTTGTGGGTATCGGGGTCGAAATTTCGACGGAGCTATGAAGATTCGAAATATGGAGCGTCGAAAAAATATCGCCGTAAGTCGTAACAGCATCTTTCAGTAGAGGGTTACAAAATATACGTTTTGACGCATATTTAATAGTTTGCTACGGGCGTTTAATAGTGGACACTTTAAAAACATCATATGTGCTAGCAATGTGATTTCTTTAAAATTCATTAAATCGACAACCAGTTATTATGGAAGGGGAGGAATGTCAAAATAAATTAAATAATGAGATGAAAATTTCAGCAGCTTTAAAAAACAAAGAATAAAAATAATGTCAGTGAAAGTTGACAGCTTCGCTTAAATGTTATGACAGTTTTTGGTAAACAAGAAAAAAACTCATCTTTTCCTGGATGAATCAATATTGAAAAATTAAGAGAAAGCGAATTTATATTTCATTCATTGTCTGAAACTATCGGTATGCATGGCTAAATTTTTTGAAAACAAGGTTACAAAGAAAAGAAAAATTTATATAGAAAATTTATTGGCAGACATTTTATCTTACACACCACCCAAGGAAAATTCATAAAGTTTTCGATTTCATATTAATTCTAAAAATATAAAGGGACCAACGTAATGTTGAAAGATAGTCAATTTTCTTTCAATTATTCGCGAAAAGAAATCACTAGGTTTTTCGGTCAACATCAACAGGAAAATGTGTTGATGCTAATAAAAGGATAATGGGAGGTGTCCGGTAATGTGAGGTGTCCGAGTTTCACTGCATGCCTGGGTCTCTAGAGCTTAGGTCAATTGATCGATCGAGCTTTGGTTAATTTCTCTCACACTAAAATCGGGTTTTGGAACCACTTGTGCTCTTGGGCGTAGGCTAATCAATCTTATCCCTGCAGACGCAGGTCTAGCCAAAATTTTGACTGGTTTCGGGGTGCTTTACCTCGTTACGGTCCTGTTTGTTAATGGTACATAAATATTGCTTAAAGTTGCACTGGTAGTGAAAATGTATGAGGTTAGTCCTTTGCAACAAGGGAGAGCTGTCCTTACGAATTACGCAATTGCGGGGGGGGGGGGGTCAATTAATTATTTAAACAGAAGAAGTGTTTGTCATGGAGGCATCAGCACTTGTTTCAGTTGAAATTTTAGATAGAAATTCAAGATTCACAGAGAAACATACAATCACTGCCAAAAGTCTTGGAACACTAACGCCAGTTTTCAAAAGCAAATTCAGCCACTCCCCCTAAGAACAATGTTGATTTACTATAGAAAAAAGGAAGGGGTTGTGGAGTACGCTTTTTCGTGTGCCTTGCATGATATCTTTCTCAACATTGTTTTGGGGGAAAAGGGGGACTGAAGTAGTTGTATTCAGGAAAACAAATGAATAGAAAAGCACAGCGCAAAGTGTTGGGTGATCCAAGTAGTTTTGGCAGTGATTGAAGCTCTTAGAATTTGGCCGGTTTTCTGAAACCTGTGCAACCGGTCTAGAACCGCGCCTGCCCTGGCACATTGATATTACACATTGACACTGAAGTGCAAAATGGCAAAACTGAATCACAAAATCAAGACGCTTTACAAAAACATACCAGCCACTGCTCAGCATGATCAACGGCTACGCAGCTGATCCAACTGCCAACATCCGGCCTTTTCGCATCCTAAATATTCCAGGCAAAAAATCATAACAAGTGTTAACATGGCGTTTATACGCATGGGTTTCAGAGAGTTTATATCAATATTTACCTCTGCCGATGGTCGTGGAGATTACTTTTGAGTTACTGTGATTGTAAAATCGATCAAAGTTTATAAGAATCGATTATCATTGACGCAGATCTTTCGACAGCCAAAGATCAGAAACTAAGAAAATCGATCAAAAGAAATTAAGATAATATCGTTCACGCTAACGCAAGATGAAGGCGCACGGCTTTATAAAGTACTGGAGTGGTAAAAAGATCAATATACAAGGATAATTTTCATAAGTTCTTTATAGGCAGAAAGGGGATTGCCTTGAGACCAAGGACATAAATTATTGATTGATCTTTAATCTATAAGTAAGCATAAAATCTCCGACACTACAGATAAGAAAAAATTTATCGAAGAGCACCTCATTTTTGTTTGGCTCAACCAGTGACGTCATCGATTGTCTTGCTCGGCAATCTAAAATTGTGATAAATATGTCTGAATTCTTCTCACGAATACAGAAAGCTTAAAGTGTTATTTCTTTAAAAAGAATGTCAAGTTGTTTCGAACCTAGCTTAGTTATCAACGTCTTACCCCAAAATCTGACGGTACCATCCTCCGAGCCACTGACACATTGGTTTGACTTCTCTAGAGCCGCAATGCAGTGGATGTAGTCATTGTGTCCGGACAAGGAAGCCTAAATGAAATGAAAGTTCACAGAGTTACGGATATATTCGAAGACAAAGCGAAGAAAAAGTTGGCATATCAAATGAAGTTATCCAAAGCAAGCTAGACTCCGCAAGACGCAGAATAAAGGTAAAAAATCGACTTACTTTACACTGGCCTGTCTCCAAATCCCAAAGGTCAATGCAATTGCCTCCACCACCAGATGCAAGTGTGTTGGCCTGGAAAAAAAATTCATAAAAAATCAATAATTTAAGCTTCGTTGTTTATATCTTTAAACGTTTCCCCTTTATCGTATCTACATTGCCTTCTACCCATAACAAACATCGGGTTTTTATAACTATCTCCGTTACCCTGCTTTGAGGTCAGATGCATTTACTGGGGAAAAAGTTATGACTTATAAAAATACTGTATAAAAACATACAACTATATAAAAAAACATCAGCACCTACTCATATATTTCAATTATAAATTTTTCTCACTTAATTTCTCAGAATAAAACTTTAAGCAAAAGCTTGTGTAATTTTGTTTATTTTTGTGTAATTATACAGGACGAAACCTTATTGACAAAGGAACGAACGGATCGTTTAAAAGATTACTTGAAGTTGACGCTCATACGATTTGCTCAAAATTGTAAACAAGAGAATGCGGTTAGGCGGTACGCTTTTAAACAGCAAGGCGTCATAAAGCTTTGCGATGAAACGCTGCCATTGGAAGCGAACATAATGTATCGGAGATTACTTTATTTTAGACAAGGAATAAACATGTTTCTCTAACGTAAAATGTCGCATCTCTCAGGGCAACAATCACATTTAAGATCTTCATAACGATTAAAGACAAAATAAGGCCTAAAAACAGAACTCATTTAGTTGTGATTTTTGCTACTAGTTACTTTCAATTAACCAAATAGTCCATTTCTCAATTAATGCTAGAGTGTTGCTTTTTGTTTCCAGCTTCTTTAGGTTTCAATGAAAATTATTGCCTTGGTTTACAGTAATTGCCATTTCTTCCCCGAGGTAAGCAAAAGTTAGGGATGTAAAAGGGCGTTCTGTATTCATCTCACACTCGTAACAAAATCCTCTTCGGTTTTTTCCCTCTAAATTACACCTCTAATTTATCAAGCTCAAACTGACGCCAACAATGCGAAGGGATTAAAAGTCTGGGACTAACAATGTTGGAGATATGAGAAATCAGGAAACAAAGATCAGTTTGCCAAGTATTTCATTCTAGGGTTTTGTGTCCTATCTGAGCTACCTTTACAGGCCAGGGCTACACAGTTGCTGCGAACGGTAGAGCAAGACAGCGTTAGGAAACTTAAATTCTGTTATCACACGTTAATAAAGCAGTCCTCACGAGGTCTTTTTGCTTTGCACATAAATATATAAATAGCCAACGCCAATTCTTATTGACGACGCACCCTGATAAGGTATTCAGTCATACAAAGGTTGAAAACGATCGCATTCAAAATGATATCAGACCAGAGCTCAGTCAACATGGCCGTCACACAGTCAACGGCTTTGAGGTAGATCAATGAAAACAGAAGAAAATGAATAGACACGCCCAAACCACGCCTACTTTACATTTTTCTTATCAAGATTTTCAGAGTTGTAGGGTATTGTCTGGAAAACATGAACATTATTTTGGTTGGCTGCAATTTGCGATATTTACGAAGAACCCAAATTATAAGGGTTTCTATGTTTTAAAACATGTTTACGGCTATTTTGACTGAGTTGATATAACTATATATGATATTCTTTAGTTTCGAGTGCATTGTTTTGAAGTGCAGATCTCTATTGAAAACGCAATACAAAAAGACAATGGAATGAAGCTGATTGGTTCGTTTCGATCCATTTCCAGTCGTGATATTCCGCATTAAAAATCGCTCGTAAATAACATACACTTTCTTATTGTTTGGAAAATACCAAAATCAAGAAAGAACCAAGACAGAGTTTCGTGAATTTCTAAGAATTTAAAAATGTTTCGTTCGAAAAGTCAAGGTTTTCATGCTTAATTTGTTTTGACGTTTGGTTAATAAAAGTTTTAGGTTTACACGAATCAAATTGGGGATCTTTTAAAAACGCTGTAATTTGGTTACTTAATCTGGTCTGAAGTTGCAAAAGAAACAATATCTGTACTTACTTAAAGTTATGGCACAGAACTTAAAAGTTATTAGTCTTGATTCCGAGTACGAGCTTTAGCCAAAACTCAGCTTCAGCGAATAACCAGATTCAGGCCTATTTACAAATTGACTCTGGAACTAGACAATTACAAGGTCGAAGGCCACAGATAGCAAGGTCGGAAAATTCAAAAACATTACAGCATCAAACTGGCTTATATTTTTATCGTTTGGTAAACACTGAGAAATTGTTTGACTTTTCGATGCATTTTGCAAGAAATCGGCCGCAGACTCATTTGTGTCTAGACAAGCGCATAGGGCTTTGGTGAAAACAGAACCTGATGGACTCGGCAGATTTCAACTTCTATCAATGGGTTTTCTTGCAAATACACTTTAAATACGTTTGGCTAAAGATTACTTGAAATAACATCCATAAGGTAAAAATGAGGTCCAAATAAATGCAAGTTAAATTGAAACAGGAAAGCAGTGGCCACCGAGAATTATCAGATGCACAATGAATATTGGTACGGAGCCGTTTATAGACCAAACAGATTTGAATATAAAGAACAGACCATGGTTGTAGCCTGCAATTCACTAACAATATAAAATAGGATCCTGAAACAATATAAAATAATAAACAATTAAATAATACAAGAGTTTATCTTTTTTTGAAATCTGCTCTTACGGGAAAATAGTTTTGAAGTGCAGGAACATAGTTTAATGCAACCCTCAAATTACGAAATTTTGTTGTTAAAGTTCAAGCTATACCTTTCTCCTATAGAATTTATGTCAGGGTCTTAGATGCCTAAATCCTCTAATATTTTGAAATTTGATGACTTCTCATTAGCTGTATTTTTTGAAAAATTCCTTGTTGTTATTGTTTTTCTAACGAACCTCCTGGGAACGTCTCTTTTGATTTTTAAGGGGCCATGAATCTTTCCCATGAGGATCGAAACTAAAAAAAGTAAACTAGGCCTTTCCTTCTACACATGTAAACAATGAAAAGCTTTGGAGATGAATTCCCAGGAGCTCAACGGACCAGGAGCTTTGAAGATGAATTCCCAGGAGCTTAACGAAGCAGCACTTCAAAATAAAGTTTTTTGATAAAGAGTGCTTTGTTGCGAGTCACAAGCAAACAAAAATTGCCTTTCACAAAAACACAAAACAAACAGATTCTTAAAAACAAAACAGCAACGCAAATATTCGACGAAAGCTAAATCAAGAATATTCTATCTTGGCTCAATGTGAACCATGGACTCGGCAAATACCTTAAACAAGCATTTATAGAATTTGCAAACAATTTTTCGGCTGGATCGAATTTAAAAATGGATTGAAAATTTTTATTGTATTGAAAATACTTAAGCTTTTCGTCTAACACTTGAGCTTAAAAACAATTACAGTGAAAACGATTCTGTTGTTTGAAGAAGCAACACAATTAAGAGAAAACATAAAAGGCATTTGAAAAAGCTCCGAGGAAGAGTTCCCCAAAAAAAAGTCCCACAAAAAGCTACAAAAACTGTTCAGCAAAAGTTGTAAGGCCAGTATAACTTCATGGTAAATAGAAGCAAAACTAAAGATTTGATAATAAAGGACAAAAGCTTTTAAAGAAAAATTGTTGTGCTTGAACCGTTAGAACAAGTTTATTAAGATTCTAGAACTAAAATTCGAGGCAAACATTTATGTCTAATGTTTTCTCAGTTAACTCAACTTTTTAGTTGTTGCTTCATAACTTTTATAACTTTGAAAGCAATATGTTAGCAACAATATTTTGAATGCTGGTTTATTCATCTTGTAATTTGCCTGGCATTCCACGAAACTACATAAAAACAAATGACTAAACAAACCAATCAATACATGAAAATACATTAATTTAGAACAGTTGCCTGTTGATGAAACTCTTAGATACAAATAGGAACTTTCCTGTAAATATAAGAAAATATATTTACAGGTCAAAAATAGAGTCATAAGGAAAATTAAGAAAAAAAACAAAACAGGAAAGTATAAAACAATACAAGTGAGAATTACCTGGGAGAAATATGCCAGACCATTTGTCTCTGGTACATCAAAAGGGGAACTAAAAGTCAAAAGGTAGGATAGCATGGCATGATGATATTTAAAATCTTTTCACATTAAATAGTTTCTGTGATATTTAAGGTTTGCTAAAATGATATATTTTCATCAAAATAGTTCAAATTCAGGTCTAATTATGTAACTACAGCATAGTTATTATACTAACCAAAATTAAAAATGCTTCTGGGTAATGTTATAGCCTCAACTATAAGGGCCTTTTAGAATTTGATAAAACAAAGGTGCACCTAATCTATGGCCTTGTTATAGCAGTTAAGATTAAATGAAATTACTCTGAATAGTCAGTTGGCTAATAAAAACAATTTTGAATAAACTTTGTTAGTAGTTTCCAAACAGACATGGAGACCAGTAAAATCTTTGACTGATAACTGTAGCATAAAAAATCAAATATCAATAGTTGGAAGTAGGTTTTAGGTTCTCCTCTAACAATGCCTGGCGTGATAGAAGACTGGATTATAATATTTCAAATAATTTTAATGCATTATAACAAAAGGGGATTTCATTAGAAAACAGCAACTGGCTAAAGTCCACACCTTCGCTATCTACTTTCACCTTCACTTTAGTAAGACTGCACAAACTTTAATACAACATATAGACACCTACTTTCAAATGTGAGCCTTCTGTTTAAAAAATTAATGAAAACCCTGATTCCTAGACTTCTGTAAATAAAATATGCATATTTCTTACTAGGGTTTTTCTTAAAATAAAATCCTATAACCTGGTAAAAGTATAGAAGAACACCAACTCTGTGAGTGGTGCGTTTGGGCATTCTTCTTCTAAGTCATCTATCCTTTTTTATCACTGGGATCACAAAAAGCTTTTCTTGGCAGAGTTCAGTCAAAGCAGAGAATAAAAATGTAGCTGTAAACTTAGTTCCCGACTGCAATTGCTATAAAAACTGTGCCCGAATTTTACCATCTATGCAGCCAAAGTAATCCACGAAAGTATTGCTGTTCCAGTGTTTACTTATAGTGAAACTGTTAACATAAATTTATCAAGAACATCACTTATAAAGCTTAATCGAATACACAATCATGCTGATGGCGCAATCAACAACAACAACCAGCAACTTGTGAAGCTGACAAGGATAATGACATCTCTAAAACAACATGCATGTCAAAAAATTCCAAAAGTCTCAATTCTATTACCAAGGTGCAATAACTTACAACAAACTTACAAGAGACACCCGCAAGCAGGAAAAAGAAAAACTGTTCTTAAAAAGATTAAGTAGTTTTAAAATTTCACACTTTCAATATTCTTAATATTTTAAACATCTTAGAAACACTTTTACTAAACTTAAATTATCATTACATAATCATTTGTTCTTTACCCAACACGACTTGTTTGGAAAGCAGCTTACTGTAGAGTTTATTGTCCTGTATAAATATTTATAAAAAATTATAAATGAAAATGAAAAATGAAACAAAAGAGCTTGTTGGTAGAGATTTGAACTGAAATCATTTGTGATTGGCCTATTTCATTCAAAGCAAAACAAGACAAATGTCCATATCTAAAATATAGGGTAGAGGTTTACCTTGAAGAAGGACTGAGAGTCCAACTTGGCCTTGGGTCCTGAAAATGATACAAGAAAGTTCAATTTGAGAAAATGATAAATTCGCAGGGTCATGGGAATTTCAGGTAATGTGCAGAAACAAGGTTTCAGTACTTCAGTTTAGCCAGTTGCCTAAAAACAGCAAAGGGGGTTGTACCCGGTGTAGCTATGCTTCATAGCCAATAGCAATGCCTACTTGTGAATTTTTCAGCATTCATTTGGCTCCAGCTCTAGAAGCTTTTAACTAAGGATGATTGCATGAGATAATATCTCTGTTGTACTGACTGTGCAGTCAGTGCAAACTTTAGTGAAAATCTATAAAAGGGATCTAATAATCTCTACTTGTAAACTGGAAATTCTACCTGCTAAGCTTATTAATTTTAGTTTTGGAAGGAAAAAAGGGTTAAATGAATCTGGGAAGAAAGAGAGGAAACTAAATACCAGAGTAGTACTCCAAGAAGGACAGCTTTGAGATTTACAATTAGCTAAAGATATGACTGTGAGGAGAACCCACACTCAAAACAAAGCCAATTTTCTTAGATGTACAGTTAGCAAAAATAAAAATGCAAGATTTCAAATTTTGTTTCAAATAGGATTCTAATCAGATCAGTGCTAGGATTCTAATTAGGACCATTCTTCCTTCATTAAATTGAAACTTTCTCTGCATTCAGTTCTGTAGGAAGTCTTGAACTAGGAAATAATTTTAGCATAGCACCTTGTTAAGAATAAGTAGCAAAATATGTTGAGTAAAGAATACATTTCTCAATCACAGAACATTTTGACCAAGGAAGAAAAAAGCCTCAGAAAATTCCTCTTGCCAAACCAACATCTGGCTATATTGACAATAACTTCAGAAGTTGACTAATTTGGATTCACACTTTGAAAAAGCAACAACCAAACACAACTTCACCTTGCTATGAATTACATCATTCCATTTCCATCCATGAATTGCAGAAGTTCCACCACTATGAACATAATAATTATTGAATCAATAATTAACCTAAATTATTATTGAATCTAAAATAAAAAAGCCATGCAAATTTCAATAACTTAAAATTCAAATGGTTACCAGTTTGTTCATAAAGGGCTCACAGGCCTCCAGTTTCAAGTCCTCTCATTGAGCAAAATCTGACCATTATCAAGGCCAATATAAATACTATGATGCTAGATTTGAAAGGGTGTCCTCTATCTGTTTTCAGTGGTTTTCTTTTTCCTTTCCTTATACTGTGTTTTAACATATTGACCTTATTCCAAGTCTTTATCCCAAAAATGTAACAAAGTAGTGTTAAAACATGCAATGCAGCTTGATCAAATCCAATTTTACGTGATGTTAACAACCAGCAGCAAACTTCATAAAAAACTAGTAAATTGATACTGAAGTTGAAAGTTTTCTCCAAGCACGATAGTTGGAACATGTAGTTTAGTATTAAATCACTACACTCCAATACAAATATATCATTGATTCACAAAACATAGAAAAATATATCATAATACATTGCACAATTCAAAGAGGACAAAATTCTAGCAAAAGGTAAACTTTTGTTCATTTTAGTAGCTCTAGTTTATTAGCAGGTATCTCACAGAAACCAGATCAATTTGGCCTAAGTAAGTGAAAAAAGTGCCTATGAGCTATTTTTTTCAATAATAATTTGATGATTTTTTAGACACCGGCTGGAACCATAAGGAGCAATGTGAAATTTAGACAGTCTAAAGGAAAAAAACTGAATGCATGAAGGAAAACATCACATTTACCTTATAAGAAAGCTTGGGGTTGGTAGCAATACATAAATGCTGCCTTTGTGTGCTACAAAAGGAATTTTTGAAAACATTCTCAGGATGTAAAACTGGTAAGAACTGGTAGTTGCCACAACAAGGGAACTAGATGCCCCAACAAAGGAACTAGAACTAGACCAGAAAGCTAGATGTCAAAATAAATCAGATCTATACTGTAAGCTAAACATAAAGTTACTTAAACATTGATATGCAATTATAAAATTTTGGATAAGATAATTCAATTTAAAATGTTTAACTGTTGTCAAAGTCCACTGAAGAAAATTAACTAGATCTGATAAAACTGTCAGACATCATAACTGTGCACGGTACATTGTTATTTTTTATAATGCAAACATTAATACCTTCAAATATATTAACTGGCAGTCTAGTGTCCTCCGCTGCATTGATTCCCAAAGCATTTGTAAGACTAAAAAAAGAAAAACAAATTCTAAATACTGGTGATTAAAAAATCACAAAAAGGCAAGAGCCCTATTACACAATTGTTAAGTAATGGTGAGCTTTTACTGCTATTTGAAAATTTTATATTTTGTAATTTGGAGCTTACCATTAAAAAGATATATGAAAGAGACAGTTTTATCCTTGATATTTTGCCTTGACAAGAAAACAGTTCCTTTCTTTAATATTCAGCACAGAAATTTCTATCTTTAATCAAAAGATTGCTATCTTGATTGTTGGAAGAGATTTTTTGCATTAAAAAATGAAGGCCATAATTTGCTGTATGCCGTAGTTCAAAAATAAATGAATCCAAAAAGTACAACCTCCATTTTCATCAACAATGGTTACAAATTATCAACACTGCTTTCACTTTGTTAAAAATATTCACAGATCAACAAAGCTTAGCTTGCTTTGGAAAAATATAAGTTGATAAGCCTTTTTGATTTTCATCCTACCTTATTTTCAATTTTAAACTAGATTTTTCAAATGATATCCAGCTCTTTTTTATGAATGTGAGATGGTTCACACTGTTTAAGCATGAAATATTCTCCAATAGCAACACATTGTCTCAAGTGAAAATGACCAATCTGGATAATTCTAAGGGCAGAAGGTCGGCAAGGTCTGGTGAATGCCTTTGGCATTATTTAACCATAACATGCCTGTCTAGCCATCTCATTAGTTTCATTTTGGAGGCAACCAGGGGGGAACTCAGTGCCTTGGAAAAATAATGACAAATTAACTCCTTTTATATTATAAAATATACCAATGGTCTATAGCGAGTTTAACCCCAGATCTTGAGTTGGCTCTCCACAGCCCTAGATAAATGATGAGTGAATCTCTGACCAATATCCCACTGAAAATGATTCAACATGTTCATAGACACTGTAAATTTTCTGCTATAAATGTATGATAAGAAATAACGCATCCCTGAAAAACAACACAGAAACTATTTCCAACATATTTATGGTAATAATATTTTCATCCAAAAACGTATTCATTTTTTTAGATGAGTCTGAACGTTTTTGCATTTCATGGGTGCAGTGGACAGCACAAATGCACAGTAGCAACAAGCCCATTTTGTACGTTTTTGCTGTTTTCTTCCTTGAAAATTCCTGTCAGGACCCAACTTACAAGATGTTAGGATCCACCTAACACAAATCATTGCATTTATTATGAAAATCAATAGTGAATTTGGCAACTGTACCTGAATACTGCTAATTGTCCAAAGTTGTTACTTGCTACCAGGTATTTTCCACATGGAGAAAAAACTTGGCTAAATATTGTTGTGTATAGTGCAGTCCTTTGTTGCTTTACTTCCTTAAAATCAAGATGAAAAACTTAGATGAAAAAGAGAGTTGTCAACACATTTGAAACAAATGATCACAAATTAGTTTTCATATGAATCAGTAAATCAAGGACTCAGGCTTTTTCTCAATTTTTCCAAATCCTTGAGGATGGATGGTTCTTAATTTGATCTTAAATTATGAGAGTGCAAGCAGTGCAATCACCAGCAGTTGTTCACTAGGGGTGTGTTCAGGCCCAAGTTGCTGACAAAGTGAATGATCTATTCTTTTTCTGTTATAAATTAAGAAAAAGTTAAGAAAAGCTGAGGCTGTGGTAAAGGACAATGTAATTTAGAAAAAAATTGCCAGAGCCCCTTCAAAAAATTCATCTCACAATAAGCTAAAATAAAGTCACATCTTAAGCTTCTATTTATGTTAATTACATAGAAATATAGAGTATCATATTAAAAGCATCAATCTTAAGACGGAGAATTCATTTTTTCGAGGTTTTTGACGCCTTTGTCTACCTGTATTCAAATATCCAAAAAATTTATCAGATAATTTTTTCTATTCTAAAAAAGCCTGTTCACTTGTTATATTTTAAACATTGAAAACAAATGCAAAATTGTCCCACCATGCACATGTTTGATCTGGCCTGACCCTTAGCAATAGCAGTGACATTTGATCGTTTTGATGAAAAAAGGTTAGGCCTTTATGTCTTTTTAAGAAGACTTCTTTGCAGACAGAACAGATAATCATGTCACTCAACCAATGACAAAATTAAAACAAAACACAATATCATGGCAATTTTACTTTGGTCTGCTTCATTAACGTTCAAAACAGAATGTTCATGTTGAAACCAAACAAGATTAGCGTTTTCAAATGTTACTTTTCCCCCTTTCCACACAGAAGTATGTTAACAGCATTTTCGTAAAGTCCACAATAGAGGGAGTTTTCAAAAGTTGTTTGAGAAGAGATTTTTTAAGTTAAAGTAACACATTTATCTTGTCTCGGTCTGTAAAACATGGCAAAAACTTATTTCAAAACAGAACAATTTTGTGGAGTTTAGAGCATAACGGAAATTGTATGAACTAGTGAATCAAATTCGAGTGAGGATGAATTTATAATGACGAAGCACAGTAGACAGAACTTGGTATTAAATTTTTTCATTTGCAGAAAGTACTTACAAAGGTATTTTCCTTCTTTGTTTTTCAAGACCATTTTATTTCCAATTTGTATAAATAACAGACCATTGTATCATGCTTCCAAAAAATTTTATTGGCAATTTAGCGCCCGCCTACCAGAATTCTTACGGCCAGGCCTGTTATACCTAAGTTGGGGTTTATTTACAATACAATTAGATCGATAGAAAACAGTTAACTTGACTAATCAAAGAGAGACAATACCCTTCAATGTTGCATATTCGTGGTTTCCATTTCCAATAAATTTTTTTTAATCAATTGGGCAGGAGAACTGCCTTTTCAGCAAAAATTCTGTTCTCTATCAAATGTTGAGTGTAGGTACTATGTACAGTGATAAGTAGTAAAGATAGGGAAAGTTAACTTATTGAAATGGTCAATGAGCACATGAACACATTTCTTTTTTATAACACCTCTGGAGGGATAGAAACAAGGTTCTATTAACACAAGCTGTCAATAATAGAAACAATAATAGCAAAAGTCTTGGAATTAAGTAGGTTAGAGGCAGTTTGAATGTTATTTTGCTTGAGTTTTAAAGGCTACCGATATTTTTCTTAAGAATTTGCAAAAAACATCATTAGTTTCAAACACAAGATCAAAGATAAATTATTTGATGATCTACAAAGTCAGGAGGATAGCCCCTACATATTTTATTGAAAATCCAAATTCAGCCAACGAAAAGGTTCTAGTTAACATTTTTCCAGAATCACTTTTTTCCTAGTTTCGGATACAAATCAATTTTACATGTACACATTTTTTTTATAACACCTCTGGAGGGACCATTATGGAAACAAGATCGTATTGACCTTTTTAATGCTATCCCTGCCATTTTTAACCTGGGGTGCTTTTTAGTCTACGTTTTCAACTTTTATCTGTAAATTTTATATATCTGTAATTAGATCTTTTTCTTTTTCTTAATTTTAAATTGTAATTTATTTGATGGCAAAATTATACATATATACGTACGAGCCGTTGCAGTAAAAAAAGAACCTGATTGCAGAAAGGTAGCAATTTTTGATATTCTGAAGTTAATTGTTATGTATGAGTTCCATTGGCTATTTAGAACTTATCACATATATATTATCACATATATGTTGCGGTTATAAATGTAAACAGCAAAGCGATAAAAAATAGATCAAAACAGTATACTAATCTAAACATTTTATAAGCAGCTTCACAACAACAGATTTCATCTGCGAAAAAATTTCTGACCCGTGTAAGCAACAGAAGATACCTACCTCAAACTTTGATACTTTTGAAGGCATTTTCTTTCTTTTTAGACACAATCACTACAAAAATACTTCTTGAGTTAAAAATCATGCCGACCGGCCGGTCTGTTGGTGGAGCCTCACTTTCATACAAACAACGATTCAAAGAAATAAACGTCTCCCACAATGCATCGCTTTGTTTTCAAGATTTGCAAACAATTTTTTTCGTGGTGAAAAACGAAAGGATTTTCCAACAGCTGAGGTATTTTTTCGCATTTTCTTTTGCAAACACATACCTTTAAGTTTTATAGTCACCCAATATCAGGAATAAAATGTCTGGAGCACCTTTAAACTTTTGCAAAACAACTCCCAATTTGAACCTCTCATATCAGCATATATTTTGTCTGGAGCACGTTTTTACTTTTGCAACAACCTCCTAATCTGAACCTCTGGTTCCTTTGGCTTACGTGGTGGGAACTTTCCTTAGCTTATAGGTTTCTATGAAAATTTTATCTATAGACAAGAAAAATTCATGAAGCGGTTATTTTGTAGCCAACCTAAATGATTTTCCATCACTAGTCTGAAATAAGATAGACCCTCAAGCCAGTCTGCAGAGTGTGGCTGACGCACGCGCGAGGTCAGGATAGTGCTGCACGCCAAAATTTTCTGATTGAACATCAAATTTACTATAGCGCTATTAAAAAACTTAGATTTGCACGCAAAATGGTCAGTAAAGAAAGGTTTGCACGCAGAAAACATGGCGTGAATGAGTACTGCATGCGCGAGATCTCGCCGAGAACTGCCATACTCTGCAGACAGGCCCTCAAGCTAATACTGAGGAAGATTGGGATGTTTTGCCCCTAGTGAAATAGGTAAATTGGCTTGAAACAGGGCACCAGGTTGGTTGGAAGCCAATTCTGTAAAACCGAGGAATTTACTCAAGGCTGGAGAACTTGCAAACACTCACAGTTAAAAACAAGCAATAATCATTTGAAACTTAGGAGAATTTTGCCCCACTCAAAATATATTGCTTGTACATTATTAAGACAAGGGATTATGTTTGTACCCTATTTTGACTCTACAGACTGGAGCAGAGCTAGTGATGACCTAAAGTATTTTAAGACTGAAATTAAGAATTCTTCTGAAATTACTAACAATATTTTCTTTAAATGCATTGCCTCAATTTAAAAAAATATAAACTGCAACTTATTCCAGATTGCGTTGTCTATTCTGATTAAGGCTTATATATTGTCTACGCTTATAAACTGCAATTTATCAACTTTAAAAATTCAACTTTTTTAAATCAGGCAACTCTTATCATAAGAAGTGGACACAAAAATTTGATGCATTAACAAATAAGTCTGCAATCCAAGTTAAAATTTATTCAAATATAATATTCAGATGTATACATCTTTACTTTAGATGGGAACGCTTCCAGGGATGCCTTTCAGAATTGGTATGGAAGTTTACAACTGGGCTGAAAAGAAGACAGAGAACCTGCCTTATCCAAGACTAAAGAAATTAGCGAATGACAGTTTGAAGTTTTGCCAACAGCACCCATTTGCAGGGATATTTTGCATACTTGGTGGAGCAATGAGCTTAGGACCAATAACTTTCCTTGTTGGTTTTTTAGTGTTTGCCAATTCGTGTTTGCTGATTGGGGGTCTCATATTTGAGTTACTCGTTTTGGCAACTGCTTTATCTTTTTTTCTACCAACATTTGCTTTTATAATTTTCATTTCAATGGTAATTACATCAGTATTGGCTGTTATCACTTACATTCTTCATGGTGGAAATACAAGTAACATTATTCATTCAAGGTCAGCAAAGGTTAAGCAGGGATTTGCAACTCAAACAAGAGAACAGAAAAACAGTTCTGGTGCATCTGATTTTCAGCATAAAGATGAGGACTTTGTCAACAAAATGACACAGACAACTGAATGGGTGGAGAAAACATCTCAAGATGTGGAAGAAATTTATAACATTACACAAGAGTTGACAGATGTCACTCAAAGAACACCAGTTTTTACAAAATTAAGCTGAATTAAGTGGCTTGATTGCAAAGTTCTTGAATTATTCCAAGGAAGCTGGAGAAAAATACATTGATAAGACAATGATCTAATAGTTGAATTGATGCTGGTTTGAAACCATAATGTGTACAACTGTATATATTTAGAATTTGTTAAATAGTTACAGAAACTCAGAAACTTGTCTTTGAAACTAAGTATTTAACTGCTAATTAATGCTGCTATTTATGCGAGGAATTGATTTGCTGTTGTGTAAATTGATGAACTTGCTTTAAAGTGAATTTGACTTCTTCTTTTGTTTCTAGTAACCTAGATGTGATCTAAAATCTTGAAAATATTTTACAAGCTACCTGCTACAAATGAAGCATATCGATGGTAGCTTTTAAACTGAATCTTTTCTGCATCAATCTGATTTCTCCATATGTATTATTACATTATGCTATAGGTCATAAATTTTTGCTTCCTGACAGCAACCATTTTTATTAGTTTGTAGATTGCTGAATATTTATTCTCGAATAATATTTAAGAAAATCAGAGGTTATTGTTTGATAAAAACTAGTAGTTTAAGGATAGTTTAGAATTGAACTAAAGAACATAAGAAAACTTTGACAAATATCAATTTATCTAAAATGTTTATTGAGAAAATATGCAGTACCTTGCTTACTAATTTGGTGGATTAAAACAATGGCTGATCAATAAATACATTGAAGAATTAGCTAAAAGTTTGTCAATGAGATCATTTTTTGTCCATTGAAAAACTGCCATAGGGGTTCTTTGAGACCGTCGTTGCCAACGTCAATAGAAAGTCCTCATAGAAAATGATTCTCGTTTTTTGCCAAAAATTTGTCCAAATATAAGATTTTTCTAATAAGGAAATAATCTTGTTAATATCACGTATCGAAGTAAATGTTCTTCTGGCAGTTTTAAGTACAGTCAGAGAAAGATTTGTTCACAGCCTTTCCAGAAACAACACCGGCGCCATGTTAACTCGTTGACAACAAATTTTCAAAGAATACTTCTACAAAACTGGTTTCTGTATAAACAACAAATTGAATTCATTGCAAAACAAATTATGGCACTTAAAGAAAACATCTTCACCAATTCTTGGCTTGAGATTAAAGACAAAGTTCCACGCATCTTAAAAAAAATTTCGGAGCCTTCGAGGGCAATTTGACGAAGGCGAAGGACATAATAGAAACTTTCAAAATAAACTTTAAAAATAAGTATATGAACTGAATTTGATGAAAAGTAATGTAAAAAGTATTTTTCTTATATCTAAAGTAGTTTGAATATATATATTTTAGCTAAATTATCTAAACTTGGAAAGCTCTTTAGGCACAGAAAACCGTTTGGACTTTTCATAACAAGGAAACCGAGGGGAGGAAACTGACGGGAAAGAAAGAGAGCCCGAAACACCGATAGATAAGTTTTTATGGTACTAAAACAGCCAACAAAAGCAAATTCATGAAAAGAAATATCATCTTATAATATTTTTTGGATTTCTAAACAGTTTTGGGCTAGAAAGTTAGTCTTAAATTTGGGTCAACTTTACTGGACAATGGCGGTTGATCGCAAAAACGCAAGTCGAAGGTTGCAAAATATGGATTCAATTTCTACGACTTTCTATGGGTTATGAACGATTTTACCGATGCTCTGAAGGCAGAAGGAAAGCCTTTGCAACGAACTCTAAGAAAATGTTCAGTTTTGTAAATAATATGCCTGAAGTTTCACATATAAATTTTCAAATTTTGGTGAAGGTTGAGCAGGGATTTGAAATTTCGGGCCACGGCATGAAGAGTTCGACATAGAAGTTACACCTCGGCTTTCTCGCATTTTTATTAATAAAATAAGCAGAAAACGTGTCTATTAGGAAAAAAAAGCTTGCTTAGGCAAATTCTAATGTTTCTTAAAAAATATTTTCGATCAAAAAGGGGTTTTGAGGTACAAACAAGGGAGGAAAGAAAGGATCGGCAAATCGATGACGGCGGTTGCCAGTTAGGCCTGTGTTTGTTGATGTAGTAAAATTCTTATTTTTGCAAAAAGGGAATCAGGTATGAAGTTTATTGAAATGATATCATAAAGATAGATGTTTTGGGATTATGTAGAGAAAATTTCAGGCCTATGGCATGATAGCTTGGTGAAAAACGAGTTAGTTTTTTAGAGAGTTCGTTTCATGCGCGACATAAAATACGCAGAAAATAATTATTCCCGCTGTAACGATTGAATACTTAGCAAAAATGTTTTATTTTATTGAATATATAATGTGTTCTGAACAAACCTTTCGAAAAAATAGGCGTAAATCTTTGCTGGTCGTGGAGAAATCGGCGATCAAAAAGAAGTGGAAAGCACAACTTGCCGTTATCACAGGCCATCTTTGGTTGGAGGTGTGCTCAGAAGCGGTGCTTCCTCGTACGTCCGATCAACTTCTATATTAACAGCGTTGCACGTGAGGAGCTTCACAGTGGAAAAATTTTGAAAGCGGAAAAGGCGCTAAAACTCACCGTTCAAAAAGACTAATTTTCATCAAGGTTCATCAACCAACAAACTCAAAATGTCAGCAAAGAAGGCAGTAGCACCATCACACCCAAAATACATCGACATGATCAAGGCTGCGTTGGCAGAGCTCAAGGACAGAAAGGGAACTTCAAGACAAGCGATTTCAAAGTACATCAAAGAACACTACAAAGTTGGTGAAAATGCAGATACCCAGTTGAAATTGGCGCTCAAACGTGGTGTTGTCGCTGGTGTTATCATGCACTCAAAAGGTACTGGGGCATCAGGTTCATTCAGACTCGTGAAGAAGGAGGCACCAGCAAAACCAAAGAAGGCGCCAGTAGCGAAGAAATCACCAAAGAAGCCAAAGGCGAAGACCACCCCGAAAAAGGCGGTTAAATCACCAAAGAAGGCGAAGGTTGTGAAGAAGCCAGCAGCAAAGAAACCAGCAGCGAAAAAACCAGCAGCAAAGAAGCCAGCAACGAAGAAATCGCCGGCCAAGAAGGCAGCTGCCAAGAAATCACCCGCCAAGAAGGCAGCATCGAAAGCGAAGAAACCAGCAAAGAAGACGGCGAAGAAGTAAATTGTCGATGAACTCTGTATAAATTTCGGACAAGGTATAGTTTTAATTTTGGTGACGGACGCTGAACGCACAAACGAAAAACTGAGATCTTGGGATGAACAGTAAAAACTTTGACGCTTCGAACGTAAAATTATAAGAAACCTGTAAATAATATTTTTACACAATATGTATATGCATTATTATTTTATTCCGAGTTCGTTTAACATGCATGCTAGTTTTGCTTGGCATTTTTCAGCAGATTGCCTGTTTTTGTTTTTATATTGAATTTCGCGCAATGTACAAATTCGAAAGATTTTTAAAACCTGATCAATGGCAAATTTGCTGGGAAATGCTAAGAAGTAGGAAGTTAATTGGCCGACTCTTAGTTGTAATTAACTCGTATAAAAATGCCTTCCGCATATTTCTTTTCAAGTATTTAGAGTGGCCTCTCAGAGGCGATCCAAATCGGAGTTTTTCTTGTCTTCAACTTTGGCGCGCAAATCACTTCAACCAATTGTCATTGGCGATCAACTATGGCGGTTCATTTAAAACTTTGATTTGGTTTGGGGAAGCAAAAAAAGATTAATCTAATGAAAACTAAAAATCACAGAGCGTTGAAAAGATCAATTGCGTACATGAAAGTAATAAAAAAGGAAACAACTTTGACCTGCAGGATTCAAATGAATGGTCTGCTTCAAACATCTTGCTTAGTCATGGTTAAACTTTTAGTAAAATAAACGAAGTTTAAGATTAAATAACTAATGTTAGAATAAAAAAGATGAAAGAAAGGGTGATTATGGTTTTTTTTCAAGAAGATATTCTGGTGAATCACTATGGAAAATATTATTTCAATGGAAGTGACTGTAGTCTAACTAGAAATCTGAAAATTGGCGCTCTTCGTCTTTGTATTCATTGGCAACAACTTGGGTCAAATCATTGAATATCTTAATTAACATAGAAACAGAAGCAGGAAAAAATGTCTATTCTACTCTAAAATGTTAAAGAGCAGGGGCGGACTGGCTCCAAATTTAGGGTCCGGGCTAATTCGTCGAGAAGGGCCCCGAAAATCAAAGATAAGTTAAAGGGTATCCCCAAAGTTGTTTGTTGCATCACTTTTTTATACTTGCTTAAAACGTTACACTCTTTTTTATAAGAACCAGTAAATTTAAGTTCAGGCTGATTGTTCTTAATTTTTTCAAAAATCTGAGGCTGGATTGTTCTTAATTTGTTCTTAAATTAAGAGGGTGTAAACAGTGCTATTGCTAGCTTTTTCGCTCTAAGGAGGTGTTCAGGCCTCATTTGCTAACAAAGTGAGCGAGACAACCTTCATTTGCCGAAAGCACCCACATATCGCTAAAAATCCTCGATTTTGAGAAAAAACGTTGTTCAAAATTGCATTTTGCAGAAGCTCAGCCTCAGCTTGTTCTTAATTTGTTCACAACTTTCAACCAATTTTGAGGCTCGTGTTCTTATTAAAAAAAGAGTGTATTGGAATATTGCTATTAATTCTTGAAATACTTGAAATGCATCTCAGTCTTCCAGCTGTATCTCGTTTCTGTTTTTGTTTAGTTTGCAATAGGAGACATTTAAAAAACATTTTTGCCGGCCCGTAGACTGCTAAACTGGATTGGAGGGCATGGGTAAAAAAATATAAATTTTTCCATACCTGCCTTACGAAATACTGTCAGATCAAGCTGCGCTCATAAGATATTCAAACACAATTTTTACAAATTACTGAAAGGGGGCATTGCCCCTACCCCCAATGTCTATTTAGCATATTTTCGAATTTAGACCACGGCAATGGAATTATGCCGAAATTTTGCCGACGAAACACACCAAAATTTGGCTTAAGTACTGATGTTTTATACCTTTGATCTTTGGCAAATCATTCATGTTTTATATTGGAGCAAATTATGGATTTACTAGAGCAAAAATTTGGTTAGAGCTGAGGGGGTTGAGCCCTTTTGCTGTTTTGATCTATACTCCCAATCTATTTGGTTAGCATTAAAATAATGTACCTTTCTAGAAATTGAGCCAAAGAAATTGTCATTTCCTTACCACCTTAACCTATCATTAAATGAAAATATTTAAACTGAGGGCCCGAAGAGAAAATTTATCAGATTTCTGAGCTTCCAGTTAAATAGCGTATTATTGCATTAGAGACAGTGAGCCGTGGGCCCAGGATTCCCCTTGCTTACATGGGCCCCAAATTTTGGAAAATGCTTTTTCAGCACTTAAATACCGCAAAGTGATATTTATATTCATTTTCTATTCACAGAAGAGGGCCCCTACCAAACAATATGAGTTTTCCTTTAATAGCAAAATTTTAAAAAAATTGTAATAGTTTTGGGAGGGCCCACCGGGCGATAGCCCGGTAGCCCGACCGGCCAGTCCGCCCCTGTTAAAGAGTCCCTATTTTGAAGCATTTTCTTACAGTTGAATCTAATGGACTCGTTTTAGTGCGTGTGCAGCTACCAAAACTCTCTCTTACGTCTTCACTTGAATTTGAACATATGGTTAGAATAACTACCATTGATAATTATGTATGAAGCCTTTGCTAAAACTTCAGGTAACTGGTTTGCCGCATAAGAACATTATCAAGCGTTTTCAAGAGGGTCCCCCCTACAAAATTTGCTGTAATCAGGCCTGAAAGCCTGTTCAGAAGCATTGTGTCAGTCTTCATTTTCCATAGTTCAGCGTTTAGAACATTGACCGAGCTGAGGTATTGGCAGTTGACATAGGAACTGAATTTCATGCCACTTGCAATAAAGTTTTTCATCAAATGGTTGGAATGCAATGACGTCATACTACCACTCATGCATTAGGTTGCCATAGTTTGTATGACGTCATGTACGTTAGCTGGCTACGATCTAGTGCCTACCCACTATCAAGTGTAAGCAGCCGTGTCTGAGGCTCTAGAAAACTGACCCTTATCTCTGATATTTGATTCCCCTTTCCTTTGAAACCAAAGAAAGTTTATAACCTTTTCCTGAAATCAATTAGTTAAAATAAAATAAATATTTAGAATTAGATTTAGAATCTCTATTAAAGAATTCCCATATCATCATCGGCCATTGCTCGAAATTTATCATCGGCATGTTTTGCCGATTACAAAAATGATTTTCCCCCAAAAGAAAGTGATAAGTAAACACCGAAATAAATAAACAAAAACAACAGATGGAACATTGGTGAAAAGTTCGTTATATCGAGGGTAATTATGATGAAGGGACCTACAATTAGGTTCGTTATATCAGGGGTTCGTTGTACCGGGAGAATTTGTAAGGTGTTTGTTAGGCAGAAACCAAGGAAATTATAAGGAAATTGTAAGAGAAATAAGATAAGATTGACGATCTTGAACAGTATTGGAGAAAATGCATCGTGGAAATTTCGGGTTTTTTCAAGGCTTGAAGGATAGAATGTCGAAAACCTGGTTGCGGATTTCGCAGAGAAAACGAAGATCAATATTTTGGAGAAGATTTGTTCACTGCTCTTTCCAGTTTCTACTGCATTAACGATATCCCCCTCTCGTCGAGTATTTCAAATTTTCGCCTATTCACAGGTTACACAAGCCTTCTCTATTCCCATGATAACTAATCGGTTTGGAGCATACAATTAACACTGAATCGATTAAGGATTCTAACTTGCTTACAGTAGAAACCCGCTTAAAAGAACCTAGGTTTTTTCTGGCAGCCTGAATGGGTTCTTAATTAACAGGCTGCTATAGCATAGATTCTAAATTCTAAATAAATTTTAGATTCTATATAGAATAGATTCTAAATTCCAGTCTAAAAGGTTCTTAACAAGGTTCTTATATACGTACAGGCCTTGCACGTACATTAACAATGTTTTCCACCGCAAGAATACTAATGGACACACTTAAACCGGTTTTTTTATGTTGAATTTCCACCAATCAAATGAAGTTGTGTTGTTAGATTGTCCATTTAGAATGCAACATACCACAACCTGTTTTACTCTAAAAACCTCTTTTTCTTACATATATATATAAGAACCTTTCCAAATTTCAACATCTTTAGGGTTCTTGATTATGGGGTTTTTAAGGTTAAATTTCAGTCTCAATGTTCTTATAAAAACAGGTTCTTTTATGCGGGGTTCTACTGTATTGCAAATAAGCTCACATTAAATACAGATAAAATTCCCTCATTATACATCCAAGGCAAAAAAGAGCTACTCAAAAATAATATCTCTATAAAAAAAGAAACACTTAGCAGAAACAGGGTATGCAAACTATCTTGGGGTTTTAATTGATAGAAACCTTTCATGGGCACCTAATAAAAGAGAAGAGCGTTGAAAAGTCTACCAACAATCACGATACGCCTTACCCAAACACTTAAATACCCTCATCAGAGCCAAGGTGTCAATAACCTTGTGTAGAAACCCAAAATACAGAACTCCTACTGCCCTATATCCCAAATGTATCGAAAATGGCACATAAGGACCTACTACCAGAATGAAAGCAAGATGATTGACACCCACAGAGGAAAAGACAATTCGGATAAAAGCAAAAAACCCCTAGTAAATCAAATGCTACAACACCCCTCGTGAAATTAACTCTGATAAAATTTTATTTTATCCGCATAGCATAGCTGGAAATCTAAAAAAATTGGCATATTGGCAAAAACGCGGTTTTACGTATCAAAACAGATCTTAAACAATTATTTAATACATTCATTATGTCCTACATAAATTATGGTTTAATCAATTTGGGAACTGCATCTAAAACTTTATTGAATCCCTTCAAAGTAAAATGAAATCGAGCAGATTGGCATTCTTAGGACAATCTTGTCACAGCAAGCCTCACCTTAACGATTAGATATCTTAAACTTCAAAGTTGTTATTAATGGCAGTGTGCACAATTAATGTACCATGTAGCAAACACAATTAAGAATCCATAAATCTCCTTTTCTTTTTTAATGCTTGCCATTTTATTATGCTGCAGTTTCTGTTCTTAATTTTCGAATCAGTTAACTAGTAACGCTTTAATAAGCAAATATAACAACTGAAAAAATTATAATGATACCTCTCTTCAGGTTCCCAAATTATGGAAAAAATACCAAGTTGGCAAAAACTATCAATTTGATATCAAGTTAACTTGAAAAGTTCTAAACTACTTGGTTCGAGTCATTTCTTAATGAATAAAATGCAAGGAACCGCTATCAACAATAAGCGATATGAGTAGCTTCCTGAGAAACCTCTTGGAGTCCCACAAGGCGCAGTACTTGGGCCAATTTTGTCTTCGATATAAATCAATGATTTAACATCAGTTATTGGTGACGATATGCATCTTTATGAAGATGATTCTATGTTATTTGTGGCCCACCCAAAGGCAGAAGATATTTAAGTTAAGCTTAATAGAGAGACCAATTTCGCAGCGAAATGACTTACAGTAACCAGGCTTATGAAATAGAAAATCAGAAAACATGATTAACAAAACTTAAAAAGTTTGAAAGATTTAGATATCTTTGTGTTTTGTCCGACCAACACACCATGTGGAATGAACATTTTAAAGCATTAGTAGAAAAAAAAGCATGAAAATAGGCGAAAAAAGCCATGGCAAGGTAACTGCTTGTCAGCACCCCAGTGATACCACATTCTGACTAACGTAAAGACATAATCAATAGATTGTCTGAGATAGCCATAATCAATAGAAAAGTCAGTAGGGATTTTTCTATTGACTATGATATAACATAACAAGGAAAGTGAACTCTCGTCAAGCGAAAAGACAAGTTGCAAGATCGCCTCGGTAATAACTAAGTAACATTGACTTTTGTATCTGTGAATGACCCAACACTGTCGAATCTCAAGAAAATATAATAAGGTATGTGTTGAATGTACAACAGGGATTGATCTATCAAACATTCAACGCCAAAGCTACTCAAGTATTAGTGAAATAACCTCACTACACATTATACAATGAGTATCAAATTTTTAAGAAGTTGAAAGTGTATCGAACATTAATTGCCTCGTATGAAGGATTTTACATCCATGTAGGACCAACAAAAGTGGCGAGGGCTTGGGGAACGTTCCAGGGCCTCAGCTTGACCAAGTCCATAGTAGCGTCTTGAATCGAAAAAAAGATCCTTACTCTTCTCTAAGCCCTTCTATTCAATATAAAATTCTTTCTCGCAGACCTGGTCACGCGGTTATTATAAAATCACACTTGTCTTGCTCTAGAATAATTACACTAAAATTTTTAAATCTGCCAGGTTTATCCTAAAAAGTGTCGAACACGCTGTTTATATCCTTCTTTATTGATTTAAATTCTGAAAGATATGTAAATATTTGTAAGATCTTAATACAACAGATCTTGATCTAAAACTGTCTTGCTCAGATTCAGAAGTCTTAAAAATGATTGGTCCAGTAAAGATTTAGGCTTCATTATATGCAATTAAAAGCAACCATACAAACATACAGCTTCAAATTCTCTAGATTTACTCCATTAATTCACAGTTATTCAAGATTCCACTTCAATCTTCTACTTGAGATCAGCTCAGACGTTTACAACCGCAACAACATCGAGATCTTTCTCGAATGCTTTCAAGACAGGCTTGACTTCTGCTTGGATGAATGCACTAACCTATAAAAAGTAAAAACATTGGATTACGTTAACTCATCCATAACAGCAGGAAAAACATGGGAATGAATATAAATTTGAAGGTGACGTTGCGTTCTCAGTTATGCACCATGCAATACTTTTAATGAAGAACGTGAACGTAATTGAAGTCTTCTGAGCTATGAAATACATATACATGTACAAGTATACATCGCAATACACACCGCAATACCTATATATATAAATATATACATTATTTGATGTGACGTCATCAAACGTATATACATCACTCAATCCCTTTGAAAGGGGATCTCTTTAAGTTACAGAAGTTGCCGGAAGTATGTACCAGTTCAACACTCGTTCATACTCTTGGCAAGAATTGTATGGAATTTTTAGACCTGCTAACTGTGATAGAAAAAGGATGCGAAATGGGTATGCCCTCAAATGGTAGGCATAATTCATAAGCGTGGTATGGCCTAAATCTGAGGTCCATCGTGATGAATCAATATCTGGCACTCAGAATACACCTCAGGTTCTAGAGCAGGTTCTAAAATAGGTAGTATAGAAAAGAAGCTACAGGTAGGCATATAGCCCCTTGTTCTTTAAAGTTTTAGAATCGATGTACATAGAAATAAAAAATTTTGGGTAGAGAGAAGAAGTTTGTTTTCACCCTAGGTCTTCATTGTCAATATTTAAAAGTGATGGGCTCGCGTTTCTGATTGGCCTATTTTGATCCATAAGTGGGTGTATATATTTCATAGCTTAGAATTTCCGATAAATATTCTGACGTTTTATACTCTGAAAAATTTCAGACGAAAAGCTTAAATATGCTTTCGAAAGTTTTATTGTAAAAAGCCACTTTAAGAAAAAAAGTTCCTCTCTCTCATGGAAACCTTTCTGATTTTTATGAAGCCTTGGATCAATGCAATTGTTGATATAAGTATAGGACTAGACTATGTCAATACTCTTTATCAAGGAAACTTTTCTCATGACCAAGAAGGGAAAAAGGAAGCTTGTAATGGTGAATAGAAAGTGTGACAAAAGTACTATAATGGCTTTAAAACAAGGGGTTTCTTAAAATATCGTAAAAGATTTCAGAGTTCTAGCAAAGTCTGAATATACGCTTTTGAAATTGCATTGAGACATGCAACAGAAAGTGATCGAGTACAAAAAGGAAAATGATGTAAAAAATAATTTATAATGCACAAAGCCTGTTTCATACTCTGGGGCATAATCAATCATTTCGATGAAAAACAAGGCAAAATTTTACCGTCTTTGTCACAAGAACAGCCTAAAAACTTCATATTATTTACTTTGTTCACTTTCTCTGCTTAACATCTCGAAATATGAACGCCCATTTTGAAAGATAGGTTTGATTTTTATTCTATGTTAGGTAAAATTGTTAAAAATAAATGGTCAAAAATAGATTTTCAGGTAAATTCCTGCCTTACTTACTTCGTAAAAACAAATAAAGGGTTTACCCACAGATCTGTTTTATGCAAGAGCGCAGGCATGAAACAAACCTGATCAAAATGCACCAATCAGAACACAGATAAGCAACACTGCTTTTCTTTCCAACAAAAGTGCATTCAGTTTTAAGACAGATAATTCACGAAGGCATTAGAACGGGTTTAGAAGGAACAGCTCAAATCATTGAAGAAGTATCCGATATAACAAAGAAAAGTCTTGCAAAATATTACAACGAAACAAAAATATAACTTGTTCCGCTATAATGGAATATAAAGGAAATATATTTTCGCTGTATTGAATATTTGTTGATCTGTTTGTTGATCTTTTTGCTACTGCTAAAACTGCTTTTTACAAATATTGCATCGTTGGTTTTCACTATCAAACGGGCGTCGTATTACAGTAGCCTTTTTTTTGGCAAAAAATAAATATCCTTTTTGAAGCTGAAAAGCTTTCCTTTTGAAAGGCAAATGAGCTCGAGAACTGCATCAAGAATAGGGTGCCAGCTGGAATAAGATTCGGTCTTGTTGTGAAGCCTGGGAACAACGGATCGCAATAATATGAAGCAAGCTGAGCCGTGTCTCCATCATGGCTTCATTAGTATTCAGGAGATGGACGGTCCTATTTGCTTTCTAAATCAGAAAATATGATGTGCTACAATTTTAATCTTATGAACATTCTACTGAAAATTACCTACTTTTGTCTGTTTACTTGGCATTTTGGGTAGTAAATTTAGCATAGTTACTTTTCTCTCGGAATTTTGTCATTGTCAGTGGCTAGCAGATGTTAGGAAATCGACTGTTAAGTTTGGTGAACCATAATCAGGTAGGTTAAGTGAAACAAAAAAGTACAATTCCTGCAAGGAAACCCTAACAATTTACGAAAATAGTGGCCGTATTCTTTTCATCGTGCACCTTGTATTTAAAATGCTTACAAGCTGAGAATGAATTCAGTTATTTAATCGGTGCTTTCACGAAATTTTGCATGTTGACCAAGGATTATTTGAAATTGTAGTCTGCATGTTGGCAATTTTGAACGGCAAACACTCCAAACTTCAAAAATTTAATTAAATCTCACTTATATAAGATATTTGAGCTATCTTCTCCCCCAATTGCAAGGAAAATACCCCTTGGAATAAAAATCTTCGACCCTTAAATGATCATAAACATTGAAAATGAGAATAAAAACTTATCTCGCTATTTAGTTTTACAAAATTGTTTCAAAATTGCCTTCAAATCCGTATATTCAATAAAGTGTCCAGGCTTCCAAAAATCCGTATTGACCAAACTTCTGGGTTTTTTGTTAGGAGAATGGTAAGCAGCGTTTGTAAGTTGTTAAACATGGTTCAAACGTCATATAAGCACAAAGACAATTATAGCATTTTGCCAAAAATACCTGTTGCGGTGCTCTTCCTACAAAACTGCTAGGTTCAAGCAACTTGTCCAGATCTTTCTGTACCGGCCTAAAGTAATCCGATTTCTTGATGAGTTCAACGAGGTTATTATCATTGCCCTTTTCCTTCACTTCTGCTGCAGCTGCTTGCGAAAGTTTTCTTATCTCCTCGTGGCATTCCTGACAAAAAACCCTTCTATCAGAAATGTAATATTTCAAAACATGAAATTATGATGCAATGAAATGTTGATGCAATGGAACATATGTTCTCAGTCATCATTAGACTTCCCTGATACAGCCTCCATTTTCATTGCAAGCCCCTTCCCTTAATGCAGGGTTAGGAATCTACTAAGTGAATCTCAAACAAGTCCCTGTAAAGATTCATTAGACTAAAGCTTTCAATCGAAACAACGAGCAGTCTTTGAAACGGAACTGGGATGAAGAGTTGTTTCTCTAAAACGTTGCAAGGGTGGGCTGAGCTTGGGGGTTCTTCTAGGCCCCGCAATATTGAAGGCTTTGTGAAGTAACCCAAGTTCAATTATAGAATGCAGTATGATCGGTGATATATATGGCACGGAGCTTTAGACTGATATCTGTCTTTTTAGAAACCTCTTGGTTGCATAACTTTAACGACTGGTGCAGTTTGACAGGGAGGATGTGTGCTTAGCATTCGGTAAAAGCCAGAAGGGTACGAAGACTGAACCACGAGACAACGGAATCACCCAACTCACAAAGAAATAAGGGCACAAAGAAAAGCGCCCTCTCAGTTTCTTAGCAACTCTAAATTCAAATTATGATTTCATTCACTTTAAAAAATGAGTCGAACGCAAGCAAAATGTATAGGTAACGTATTGTAAAATTTGATTTTCTCAAATAAAAAAAGGAAAGAAAAAAGGAAAGCCGCTTTGAGGGTTCGAAGATATCAGGATTGCTTGAATGGAAAACAGGGATGCACTGAAGAAATGTGTAAAGCGTTATCGGTCAATTTAGATCCAGATAATTTAGACATAATGTTTGAATACAAACCTGCCTATCTCCACCAGCTTTCACCATAGCCATGATGATATTCTCCGTAGCCATGAAAGGAAGTTCTTGATTTACATGCCTCTCAATTACTTTTGGGTAGACGACCAGCCCCTCAGATATATTCTGTACTGTATTCAGAATGATGTCCGCAATGAGAAAAGCCTCGGCCAGAGATATTCTCCTATTTTAAAAGAAATAAATAGGTTAAAACTGTTTGTGTTTTTATGTAGAAGTACAGCTTCAACGAAGTAAGCAACTTTGTAGTCACTGGCAACAGAGCGTAAGAAAATCCGGAGGACCTTCCTTCTGCAATTCATTTGGCTGTACAACTTTCTTCAGTTCTCAAGCTTTCTAGCCAAAAATATTGCATAGTTTCTACGTCCAATAAAGAAAAGGCTGGTAGATCTATGGACTCCTGACCGACTTTGGGTCTGGGGTTCTTAGACTGGTTATTCAAGCTTTAAAAATAACTCTTTTCGATAGTCCAAGCTTTGAACGACGAATAATTAAGAGCACTCTTTTTACAAACTTCAATCTTTATTAGCATCCAAATTCAAACAAGCCTTGGAGGGCAAGGCAAGTATGACAAGGCAAGGTTGTGTCCAGGAAGAGGAGAATCGCTCTGCTGTAGTCAGAATTTAGAGGAGCTGAAAGAATATGGCACTAAATTTTGTAAGATAAAAGGGGATCTTGACTACAATAATATGCGAGGGACAAACTCCCCCAATGAAATCTCGTACATCTTTGGTGAAAACCTCGTTGCTGTATCTGAAAAATCCATGAGATCCTGTTCTAAGAGGAAATCTAGTACCTATTTGCAAACGTGAATCGCCCTTCGGTTTAATGAGAATCGTGTTAAGGCTGGCAGTTTGAAAGGATAAACATGTTTACTGCATGCGCTACGACAGGGAAAAATTGAAACTCGAGTACAGAGAAAAGCTATTTGTTGATAAGGTTATTTGTTGAGAAAATCTTGAAGAGTAGCAAGGGTTATCAAAACGTTGGTTTATAAACCTAATTGATCCATTAAGAGATTGTACAAAAACGGTCGAAAAACAGACGAAGCAGACTCAAGATTACTTTACTAGAATCCTTATTGAAATATTCCATCATCACTTTTATCCAAATTGTTCATGAAAAACACAGAACTATTGTAGGCAAAGGTAAGCAAAAAATAAACAAATAGACTTTGCCATCAAAATTTATGCTTTCCTTGTTAATAATTTGAAGGTATATTTCAAAATATAAATGCTCAGTTTCAAGAGAAAACTCCATTCAAGGACATTGCGAGCAATGGGCACCTCCCAACAAAGATCAAGGGCCATGATCTCAGAGATTCACGTTTTATATGAGTGCATCAAGGTAATGTAATTGAATATTTAGAGTTTTCGATCAACTCTGTGGATCGTTTACGAGTTGCAAAATTCCAAAAGTTTCATGATTGTAGTAATAAAAAGATAGAGTGAAATAAAATCATGGCAGAAGTGCTAACAGGACTTTTCAGGGCCTAAGCAGCGAAAGTAACTACTAAAACATAAGGATAGAGAGAAACTGTTTCAATTTTTAAACTTCCATTAAGAATCCACATTCTTTAAAGACATCCAGGGCCATCATATCTGAACTGAGACATTAAATAGGTAAAGGCAGTCTGCAAGTCCAATCAGCAACAGTATAGTGACGCGATGAAATACTCAGGGCTGGCAGAAGCGGGTCAGGGCGGGCCAGGACGACCTTGATTCGGTCCGTAGACCGCAAATTACTTGAAACTGCTCCTTTAGAATGAAAAAAGATGAAACCAACCAGATAAAATCATAGTCACCTGTTTGAGCTATCGTCTAAGGTTCTCTCCATCCACTGCGTGGCAGCAGTTTGCTGCGCATCAGCCACTAAAGCCATTAGATGTCTGGATAGACCGCAACATCGTTCACTTCGCATTGGATTCCTTTTGTAAGCCATTGCACTCGATCCAATCTGGTTCTTTTCAAAAGGCTCCTCCACCTCCTTCAAACTCGCTAGCAGACGAATGTCCGTGCACATCTGTACAAAAGATTGTTAACAGTTTCCCGTCTGCGGCTACGTTCGCGGGGGGAGGGCCGTTGCGCTAGCTCGTGCGTCAAGAACGCATAAAACGAATTTTTTTAGCGGGTAGGAATAAACAAATATTGTTATGATGGCTGTAGACACCGACGTAACGGAAGTGGTGGGGTTTTTTGGGAGTTTGCTGCTAAGAGAATCTGTCTTAAGAGACAAATCTAATTTGTGATAAAGATGGCAGTAAAAATATTCAATAATTTCTCCCTTATCGCAGTTAATGTTTTAGCAAACGATCTTTGAATTTTTGCATGCTTGCTCAATTTTTGAAGACAAATCGTTTTCGATCAAAGCTCTAACTGAGTACTCAAATAATCTGTTAGTTTCTATTTTAAATAGCAACTAACCTAAACAATTTGAGGCAGCTTTTGGCATCATTTAACATCAGGTTAAAGATATCATCACAATGCAAAAGATTCTAGACGAATTATTGCAAGATTAGAGCTGCATCGCTTCAATACATGTTCAAAATTAATAAAAATATCTTTGCGAAGACGTCTTGAGAAAATAAAACCCACGCGCACAAGTTTTGTGACATGAACCCTCATTTTCGCATGACACAGAATCCTGTAAATGTTGAATAAGGCGTTCAACACTTTTGGTTAATACCCCTTTTATGGAAAAGTCTAGCCCCCCCCCCATATCGAAGGTGAACGACAAAAGCAACGCAAGGCGCAACATACCTTGTGGATTGTCGCACCCAAACCCGCAAGTGCCGACAAAACAATAAGATCGACTTTCCGACTGTATGTCTGTCCAGTGACGGAGTACGACGATGTAAAACCAGCCATTTCGGTTACACGGTTGTCGAGTTTAAGAACCTGGGAAATTAATTGATTAATTAGATACAACATTGAACATTCAAATTTCGGATCAATCCTTTACTGAAAGGCAAAGAAAAGTAGGTTCATCTGTACTCAGAAATTTGAGAGGAAGATCCTTTCAAATGATAAAAAGTACGGGGAAACGGCCTAAATATAACTTCACTGGAGAGTGGAGACGAGTCAACATAAGTCAGGTCAATGCAGACTAGATACTGGCTAATGTACTTCAAATTTCTATGATTAAATAAGAATTTTGTCTTTCTAGCGAGGTCAGAAAACCATGCAGCGAAAAGGTTGCAACAAAGTTTTGCTGGTACAGGTACAAGGTAGTGGAAACGTATGTAAATCAGCTTGTCAGTCTCCTAGAGCAACGGCGGTGATTGGCTGTTAGAAACAAGACAATGGCAGCTATTGGTTGTTGAAAACAAAGCCCGATTGAAGTTCGATCCAAACCCAAGGGCATTGATTCTGGCGATGGCTTTCACTACGGTCCATTTCTTACTTAACGCAATCAAAGAAAGAACAGAATGTCCAGTAAACAATCCAACGAAGGTTTTTCTACTTATAACAGCGCAATACTTCGGGGGCAGATAAAAATACAGATTTAAACTTGCAAAGATCGACACCAGAAAAAACAGATCCATTTCAGGAAGGTCTTCAAATCCACGAATCACGAAAAAACAAATTATATGTGGTGAAATGCTAACCAGTTATCGTGCGTTTTAGTATTAGTATTATTCTGTAAATTTTTCTTTTGTAGATAGTTGGTTCAAATTGTTGTATTTAGCTATTGTAAATACCAACTTCAAATAATGTAATAATAATAATAAAAATAATGCGTGGAATGTGAAAGCTTGCAGACAGGTAAGCAATAATCGAGAATCTGAAACGTGGACCAACTGCCGAGCTAGAAAAGCCTAAAAGGGGGGCCAATCCTTTTCAGGCACCACAGCAAGCTTTTCGTGAAAGACTTTTTAGTTTTCCTGAACCGTGTCAAGGACCTCATTTCTCCTTGTTTGAAGGGAACTCGATCCCAAGACATTCACAGAACCCTTTACTTCGTATAGGCAGGACCACTCTAAGTTTGTAACATTAAAATAGCCTGAAAAATTAAAATTGGGAAACATTGGGAAAAGCCGCACTAAATAACTCTTGATACTGTAGAAAGGTGATTGGCACATCATCACCACAAGGGGTTGAATATTCGATCGACTAAGATTTTCTTGGCGAAAACTTCGTAATTCTAGGGAAGGAAAATGTTAAAACAAAGGCGCAACGAATAGGGTTCTTTAAAGCGAATAGGGTTTATCTATTCTTTGTGTACATCTGATACTATGTGTATTGAAAGATACCCTGTGCAAAGTTCTCTTTAAACTAGCCCTGGGAGGCATTATAATCTTCACCTTTTAAAAGAAAAGGTTATAGCAGACGCAAAATCCTAAAAGATCGATTTTTTGTATCAAACTAAAAAGATATTGCGAAAGAGCTCCAATCTGAAGCTCTAAAAACCATGCTCCCCCGTGTTCCCCATCTATTGATTAAACAGCCCGTGCTCCAGACCTCTAGTCATAAACCACTTATTCTTTAATCGTATACTGCCTCGTTTTAGAGCTGTATCTTCTTGAGAACCTGTCAAGGGCTGCATAATTGATCATAAGCCTAAAGAGAGGCCAGGTGAAGGTGTTCCAACTCGCAAGGCATCTTCAAACGCTAAGTTGGGTGATTTAACCCACCAAAGAGGCAGTTCGTGTGAAAGTGAAGTTTGAGAGTACGGAAATAGCCCATAATACTCGAAACTCAAGCTACAGATTTTGGGACAGCTCATTATACAAAAAAGCGCCATATGTTTGCTCATCACAGAAAGATATAAAGAGAAAGAGATAAGTGCAGCAACAACCACCTCTCCGTACGAGTCTGATTGAATAGCAGATAGCAGACTGAAATTCGTAAGCAAGCAGAGACAAAACTTGGTGTCCAATGGACAAAAACGTCATATTAATGGAATGGTCTAAAAAGACCCTACACACTTGGGATACATTTAAACTGCCTCAAATCAGAACATTTTAGCGCCAAAAAACAGATATTGTGTAGCATGCTTTAGGTCTCTAGGGAGTGACCAAAACATTGAAGGAGCGAGAATGGCGGAAGAAAAAATGGGGAAATGGAGAAATATTTTGGGCCAAAATGGTAACACTCCGTTTACTATTGTACCACTCAAACTACTAGCTGCGCCCTTGTTTAACTTCTTGCTAAAAAACTATAAATCTCTCCTCTAGTCTAGAGTGCTTCTCCGCTCTTAAGTAGAGACCTGCATTTTAAAAAGGAAAGAAAGGCAAACTTGAAATGCTCGAAAGGTGATTCTGGGGAAAAACATTGCAGCTCAGCTGGAGAGAAGAATAAATATGAAGATATCTTTAACAAAGTAGTTGAAAGGAAATCTCTGCTTACCACAATAAACATTCGAAATAAAAGCATAAAGGCCGAAACTTTGTTCACGGTGGTTGTTGAAGGCAGGTTGAAAGGAAAGACAAACGGAGGTAGAAAACAAAAACAAAGGTAGAAAATATCAAGTAAGGTCAAAGGTATAAACAGTTTAAGATTAGGGTCACGAGATACGAGACTTAGTCGAAACACGCCCCGTGGCAGAACCCAATAGATGGAGTGGGGCTATCCAGACATGACTGTTTGTTCGTAAGTATGATTTTATCAGTGCTGCACACGCAGTTTCACTCGTCACAGATGACTTGAAGGAATCTGTCGTCTGAAACATCCCTACTGGCAATTGATTTGACTGTTTGAAAACCTGCTAAGCAATGAGAAGCCAATCGGACAGCTAACTGTCATCTGGTCCAATCAGAGCCACTACTAGATAAACGTGTCATAACGCAAAATCCCTAGAGAATGTAAAGTTTAATCTCAGGCTATGGAGTATCCGTGGACGGTGTTTTCTCAATTTTTAGCACGAATAAAGCAGGCTAGCGTGATTTAAAGACATATATAAACAAACCTTATCGTGGTCGCCGTTAAACAGCGCAAGGAAACTCGCTTGGGTTCCAGTCGTTCCTTTGGCCCCTCTGAATTTCAAATTTTCCTTCACTCCAGTGATATTTTCAAGGTCCATCAGCAAATCCGAGATCCAAAGGCAAGCTCGTTTTCCAACGGTGGTCAGTTGAGCTGGCCTGCAAATTAAGCAGAAATAATGTTTATCCTAACATAACCTCATTTTCTTATTACTTGGGATTGTTTTCAATACTAGAGAAGTTTTCAAAAGACTGTTCCAAAGCGACTCTGTTTGTAAAATCAGCCAGTCTTTTCTAATCCCATGAGAAGTGTTTTTAGGCAATCTGCGTAAATATTTCAGCCATAATTGTAGAGTCACACTGCTTTAAGTCACAATACTGTTTACAGTCACATACAGTTTAGACCCAAATACACAATTAAGCTTTGTGAGCAACATTTGATGTGACTTTAACCAGAATCTACTGTACCTATATTATCGTATCAATTTGCTGATAAGCATGTCACAGCTTATGTTTGATAGAAACATTTAATTTCTTTATGCTGTTGTCATTTGGTAGCATCTTGCTTATACATTTCCTTGATTATACCAAACAAGCCTTTTCTCAAACATCATCTTCTCAGCACTTGACCATTTTGATTTAAAAATTAAGGAACAAAGAACAACAAAGATACATTTTCCTCTTTATTTGCATTTTTGTAGATATTTTTTCTATCACTTAAACAAGTAAATAAATGCTTTCAAATCTAATTGGTCAATTTCAGGCAATGATTTGAAAGAACAACAAAACAACACACAATTTTAAAGATCATATGTTAAACCTACTGAAAATGGGTGAACCCTAGGCAGGGTAAATCTTTCTGCTCCTCTGCAAATCTTGATAGACGATGAATGCACCTTGCAAGCTAAAAGGAAAACAGTTCTGTACAGAAAAAATAACTAAACCATTTTGTTTCTCAAAAAATTTTCATTATCACTAGCGGCAGAGGTAATAGCAAAAAACAAACAAATAAACAAAGAAAATGCAATAGAAATGAGAGTGTTATTGTATCTTGTTATGAACAAGTTTGATAACCTGTCATATAGACAAAGCTTTCTACCTACATGTGCATAGAAGAGAAAGGTTTAAAGTTGCTTCAGAGTAGAGGGCCTAGTGGTTTTAAAGTATGGACAAATGCCAATATGTAACAATGGGTTTTGAGACTCATTGATAGAAGGCTATATTTGGCTGCAAAATTCTTTGGGCAAGAAAATGCTTTGAATAATCTATTTCAGGAAGTTATGCACAATATTCTTACTTTTGGTAGTATTATGTCCAGTCCATCTCTGATCACAATCAAGTCCTAAAAAGCAGAAGATTATACAGATAAAAATGTTCTAAGCATTTAAGCAACAAAAGGTTGTTGAATATTATCCCTAAGAGGTGTATTTAATGAGAAAGAGATTATTTTAAGCATGCAAATCTCATTTCAATAAAATTATATTAAGATTTCTGGCCAGATTGCCATTGTCAATGAAAACAAATGCCCTTTGATAAACACTGGATGAAATTTTCTAGGTTACCATTGTGTTGCGGTAATGTTCTAAATATTGAAAAAGGTGTTTATAATTTGAACAAAATGAAGATGTAGTCAAAAATTTATAGGTGCCCATGAACATGTACACTGGGGCCTAACTTTTAAACTTTAGTAAGGGGTGCAAGGAACATTTTAGACTGGGCTGGAATCAAGCCAGACTGTCTGGCCTCATTGAACTTTGCAATTTTTTATATGTTTGCCAGAAAGATGAGATAGTCAATAGGCTGTTCAAAAAATTATCGTTACTTTGGGATGACAGTAAGCATTTAGTGAGGAACAGTACAACATATATTGTCAATGATATGTACATAAGCTAATAATTTAAAGAATATGGATGTATGTTTCATTCCAATAAACATGGTTTTATTAGAGTTAAAGAGGGTTACAGTCCACTCTGCTTATAGTCAGTCCACTAAAAGACACAATACTGGTTCAATCAAATAAATTTTAGACCCAAATATACAAAACTATTATAGTTAGCTATAATTACAGTCTCACTCCATCCACAGTCACCAATTTTCAAGCAAAAATTGGAGTGGCAATAACTTGAGTCTAATATTGTGGTAAAAAGCTACAACTTCTTTCTTGACAAAGTTAGCAGAGAATGATACACAATATCAATATGCTATAAATTACTTAGCTACATCTTTCTGATTAGCAAAAATATTAAGAGAATTGTTTGTTGTCAATTGTCCAAATTCCTATGAAGGAACCTGTTCTTGGGAAGCTTCATTGGCATTAAAAGTAAATGCTTTCCTTATAAATTTTGCCTATCATCATCATGTAAATCAATCAGTTAATCATTGTGTATATGAACAATATACACCTCTCAAGTCCCTTTTAGGACTCTCTAAAGTTAAAGCATTTTCACCTCTATAGCATTTTATATCTTTAGAAACTAAATGAACACAAAAGGCGCATACTGTATTGTCTCCAACAAAGCAGGAAGTTGCTCCAAGATGTATTATTGCTGCTGCTTTTGGGCAACAAACTCCAAACGCATGAACATGTGCCATCACATCATGTCTCCTTATCTTTTCTTCTTTTGCAGCTAAATCATAATCAATGTTTTGAACATTGCTTTCCATTTCTGTAATCTGTTCATCTGTGATTGACAAACCAAGTTCCTGAGGGAGAAATTATTCATAATTAAGAGACAAGGCAAACATTTGTCAGACCTCTGTGCACATAGGTGCCTCTGTGCACACTACGTGGGGGCTCGGGGGCTTGAGACCCCCTGGGGAATTGCTATGGGGGGCTCAGCCCCCCCTGGGAATTTTGTTTGAAATCCGCCACTGGGCTGAAAATTCAGCGCAAAACAGCTGAAGGAAGGTATATGTATATTCTAAGTCTGAAAAATGTGAAATTTATCTATTGTTAAAGAATAATTTGAATCAAATAAATCCCTTGTAAAAAAAATTAGTCTAATCGTTCTTAAAGCGACAGGGAATTTCTCTACCTTTTAACTTTTTCAAATTTTTTTTAATTCAAATTTTGAGCCCCCCCTGGGAAAAATAAAAGTCGGCCCCTATGTCTGTGCAACCTACAATGTGAGGTCCAGTTCAAAAGCAAGCAGTAAACTGAAGGCTGAGGAAATGCTTTGGTTATGCTTAAAATGAAAATCATAGAAGTTCACTAGCCAAACAGGGGGGCGCTTTTGCAAGATTACCCTTGTCCCAACAGTTCCCTCCCAAAAAAATTCCCCTGCGTTCAATTTCTTTAATATGTCTTGGTTTGGCTTTGTCCCCCAATCACTTTCAAAAATATACTCAAAACCATCCAATATCCCCAATCACGATCAAGCATTAATAATAATAATTTTAAATCTAACAATAACCGTCGTCAAACCTTTTCGGCCTTCGCTAGAATAATCCACAATTTTCGCCAAGTTGTGAACTTCTTTTCTTCTGAAAAATTAAATGCCATTTCTTTACTGGCATATCTTCCAGTTAAAGGGCTGTTGTACCGTGTTCTATCTGTCATTTTGTGATTTTTCCGGTCAAATTTTTAGTTTTGAACCACGCTTTGGGATTCTGTTCCCGCTAATTTTGTTCCAGCCTCGTTGATACAGCCTCGGTCACACGTTAACATCGAAAGCAAACAAACTCGCATTTTTCTTTGAAATGTAAGTCTGCATTAGAATTTACAGTAAATCTTCTTAACAGCTGACAGCATGAATTAAAATAACACCGTAAATATAGATATAGTTTATTTAGATATAGAATTTAGAAGAAGTGGGAATTTCCTTGGTTTTTCAAACTTACAGAATTAATGACTTTTTTATCAAAATGACCAAATGCAACATTTTGTAGAAATTAACAAACTGGATGGTATTAATCCTACTCCTAAGTTAATTTTCCTTTTCCATATTTTTTTTACTCCAGATTGGTTGTATAGCCTTTAGGAGTTAACGATTGAAGATTTGCTCATGATGAATTTCTAGCACTTGAGTTTTTCAAGGTTATTTCTGCAGGGGCGGATCCAGAGCAAATTTGAAGGAGGGGCAGTTGGTAGTGGGGGCACTGAAAAATTATCAAAAATTGGTAATAAGAGTACGCTGTATACAACAATTTCAGGTCCATTTTTAGAATAAACAACATAACTTTGAGGTAATCCTAGAAGCAAATTAACCTATCGTTTCAAGAACCTTTTTCACCTGATTCTCATTCTTCAAAAGGGGCGCACAATTTCCAAATAAGGGGCGCGAGACTTGCTTCAACTCGTTGAGGGAGAGGCAACTGCCCCTGGTTGCCCCCCTTAAATCCGCCACTGAATTTCTGTAACATTAAAAACTAATCCACTCCTTTCTATGCTATCTAGAAGGTATCAGTTTGCATAATTAATTGAATAGGGTTTTCAACTTTTGATAGGTTAATGATTTCAAAATTAACGAATAAAAATGGAATAACATTAAAACCGTAAATGATACGGATCCAAGCTTATAAATGTAAAATACCGGCCAAGAATTCAGCTTTCGTCGAGAAAATGGTATCAGATTTATAATTCATACAGACAAATTCTGATATTCTAATTATTTGATATAATATATTCTTGCGTTATACATTCTCCGAAATGTGAAAATTTATGCTTTTATGACTTCAATATATGATTGTTCCATTCATGAACATAATTTTAAATAAGACGAAAAAGGTATTAACAGGAAATTTCTACTTCTTATACAATCTCAGACAATCTATGTCGCTAAAAAATTTGCAAACCACAATCGCAATAATTATGGTGGAGTATTTGTAAAGATGATGTCTCAAGGAGGGGAGGGACAAATTCGATGCGGAACATTCAGACAGGAGGGCTTGGTCAAACGTTATCACGTCATTTAGCAAATTGTAGGGGTTTTCAAGAATGGTTGTGCTTCTTCATAACAGCAAAGGGTTTGATTTTTGCCTGTCTAGCTCTAGTGCAAAATTAAAAGTCAATTCTTTCTTAACTCATAAACGTATCGACATTTGTTCACTGGCAGGATAACCAAGTTTTCTGTTGCAGATGTTATCATACCAACTGCTGATAGCATCTAATTGGGCCATTGTAAAAATGATTGTGGGTTGTATGAAACTATTGAATTATTCGCAGAATAACTGGTTTGTTGAAATGCAAAAAAACTTGATCGTATGAGATGAAGATGAAAAATGACCTATGCCTGGAAATAAAGTGCATATTCCTGCATGCGACTGTTAATTTGTATCGTGCTCATTCCATGTTTAACAGTATTTAAAAGCAATGAGTCATGACAAATAGACGACCTATCGAAACATTTGCTTTCAGTGTGGTCACTATGATCTTGGTAACAATGGTTGATGACAATAGTATCAGTCTCATGTCCATCAATAGTTTTCAGCAAGGCGACCAAGACATGGAGTACTTGGATATACCATCTTCTTTTATCATGACTCAATGCCTTTAGATACATATACGAGATTATTTCATAAAATCATAACATCACGGTTAATCTAAATACAAACATAGGGCCTACACATACACTTGAAAAGGATGAGCTACAAAGTCTTTGAATTTAGCCACTTGCAAGAAAACGTTTCGTGGTTATTAGCATTTAGCTTCTGACACTGATTTAAAAACACAAAGTAAAAAAAACAAAATCAATGGCTTCGAAAATTTCTCTGTTATTTTAAAGGTTAAGTAACAGAGCATAGGTTGTCTAGAAATAAATAAGTAACGAAATTCATTGAAATAATGTCCAGTTTATGAAGGTTAATAGTTTTCAAAGAAGAAATCTTCTTCTAGGTAAACACTATATTTTCTTAGAGCTGTATGACGTTCTGATTATTTAAAAAATCCATTATTTACGAGTTATAAGTATGTTCCTGCTGAGTATAGCTAGATAAATTATACTGCATCACATAAATATTGTTTCCGGAGAAACCTAAATATTTCTACAATTATATCTTGGACGACGTAGAAAAAATTATTACTGCCAATTTTAGCTTCGGTGTAACAAGAATAGCCATCTTTATTATGATTGGAGAATATAGTATCCGAAGTCTCGTTTTCATGTGTTATTAAATGAACGAACCCTTTACATTTTCTTAGCTCTTAATTATCTTTTATCAGCAAATTTATATTCAACAAGTTTCAAATTTATACGGACAAGTATCAAATGAAATTGCCAGGGGGGGAAATCATGTTGTAACCAACGGCCCCATTATTTTGTCAATTTTAAGCAACAGGTTCACTCTCAAGGAATCGATTTTAGCAAGGTTTGTTGCGTGTCAATAATGCTAAGCATTGATTTGGGATATCTTCTAAACCAAATTAAGTGGCGCGTCCAAATATATTTCCAAGGGGGCATTGCTTAACTTTTAGTTCACCCTGGCCATGGCTGAGCTTCTAACCACGCAATTCAGATGCCAAAAATGAATAACGGGGGCTTTTTAATGTCATGTAAATGCTTGGACAATTTATCAATAGCTCTACGGGTCATTCAGAGACTGTTATCAAGATACCAGGGGGTAAAATTTGATACAATACATGAGAACGAGCAAATCATAAAATTACAAGCTTAAAAAACTGGAGAATCCCGCTCTCGTGAGACTCATTACATCATTACAAGCCCTGCTTATTACAAACTCCATTTGTTACAAACCCTATCTATTACGAACCAAATTTATGCCGAACTTCTCAACACGATAAACGAACCGTCTGGTCCGTTGGGACACTGCCTGTATAACGAATACTCGGTATAACGGACTCTCGTCATTATGAAGTCTCGTTAATACGAATTTTTTTGATATATACAGAATTTGAAATAATGGGATTCCATTATATGCCAAAATATTTGAGAAAGGATTTGACAGCTTGCGAATTACGATTCAATGTGTTTTCTCTGCAGCATTAATGCCTTGTTATGGTGCGAAATACTTATGCTACATGGTTTTTGTTCCCAAGGCTCTCCATCAATCTGCATTGGGACATTTCGTGCTTGCTTTGTCCCTTTAATTGTTATCTATGAAAAATATGAGAATGACGTCAGAATGCTGAAAGGTCTGGATCGAGGTTAAACCACTGATCTCAAAAAAAGACTGGATCGAACAACCTATTGTTCTCCTACATCAGCATCAGCAAGTGATAGAGTCTCTCTATGTTGGGACCTCTCGCGCCTAAAGCTTAGAGCTGCCATGGGTACGAACGGTACACACACAGTCCTGCGCTTTTGACTGTGCATGAATCGTCGAATTCTCAAATAATCTAAGAAACGACTGGCCTAAGAAATTAGTGAACAGTGGATTTTCCTTAACATAAACGAAATACCATGGCATAATTTTTACAATCATTTACGAATGCTCAAGTTCTTGTTTCAATGGCTATTTTGAAATTTGTTATGAAAAAACAAATTAAACTAAAGCCAACATGAATGCTCTCCAGTCTCGAGTAACACATCAAAGTCCTTACACGAATGCTGCAATGTGGAATCAACGCTGGGCTGGAAAGCTCGATCCAGTCTCTTTTTAAATCAACGGGTTAAACGCGCAAGGCTGTAAAATGTTAGGTCGATTGTGGGAGACAATAATTTGCCAATAGGAATGATTGGTTACCAAACTTGCTGGACACCATTTATACACAATGTACAAATATCGGGTCAAATTTAGGATATGATATTAAAAAATTGAGCAACAAATATTTTTGAAACTTCATTAATAAGGTATTTTTCTGAATCACCGTTAAACTTCTTGGAACAATGCTTCCAGCCTGGAGATGGTCTCAAATTGTTTATAACTTGTGTGTCAATCTTGCCAGATGAGGTTGAAGGATGAGTTGACATTCGAATTCATAGACACAGAAAGCTTGTCAAAATAATAAAGATGAAGGGAAAAGACAACTTAATACAACTTGCCTTCACATTTTTTGCTTGTCCGATGATAATTGGTGGTGTTAAATTTACCCGCACTTTGGCGATATGTAACGAAGAATACAGACCAACTACTTCAAGCAAACCATCGCTAAAACTGAAGGCAAAACGAAAGTAAGATGATACACATAAAACAAAAAGTGAAAGAATTAAACCATTGCCTCACTATTTTACGTTTTGATAACTTTCAATTAGAAATTCTGACTCAAATTTGAAAGAAAGTAATAAATATTGGTAATGGTAGATCACTACCATAGTTTTTTATGGGTTTTTGTAACAGTCTTCCACAATATTGCGCTATTTAAATTGCCAATGGGTGTTGTGCGATCAACAATTGATGTTTGATTACAAACAGAAAAATACAGGGAAACGTACGACGTATACGCAAGGGAATCGTTTGACACATATGCAAGAGAAACGTATAAGGAATACGCAAGGGAAACTTATGACGTATACGCAAACCGTTTGACACATAAGGAAAAGAAACTTTCAAGGTATACGCAAGGGAAACGCATGACGTATATGCAAGGGATACGCTTGACCAACAGGCAGAGGAGTCGTATGACCCATATGCATAAGATGTATGGAAAGGAAACATTTGACGTATACGCAAGGGAAAAGTTTGACGTACACGCAAGGGAAACTTAAAGCGTATATGCACCGCAATGTACCAAGCCAACAGTAAGGGGGAAACTGGCACAAATAAAGAAAAGGCAGCGATAATTTTACAGTCTGTCGGAATCTCATGAAAAGAAAATGGAAACATTGCAATGTGAAAAGAGATAGAAAAACAGAAAAGAAATTATTCTGAAATTTAAAAATATTTATTTTCATGGGCTTTTTGATCTTGACAGTCCTATTAAAGAAACTTGTCCTATTTCGTGTATGTTTTGACGTCCCTGCAAATGTCCAGCTTATTAAATCATCTTCCCACAAATGAATCAGGTTGTCCTTGACTCGTAATTCACCACAGTACTCTGCATACAGGAATGGGTATACCTCGGGCTTACCTGACATTTGGCACTGCATCTTCTGGCATGCTTTTCCATATTTCACAGCCACCACACCAGCTCTCGATGTTAAGAATAAGGATTCCTTCTAGTCTCGGCAATTTCACTTTCCTGCCATCCAATTCAAGTTCGAGTCGTTCGTGTAGATTTTTGCATTCCTGCGCAAGGACGTCTTTCGATCCATACATGAAGTACATCAACTGCAAAATGATAAGGATTCGTGGAAATCAATTAAAGACTTTAATATGCAATCATAGCCTTAGAAAGTACAGTTTTTTGGGAGCCTGGAACGACCAAGAAACATGGTGGGTATAACAAGAAGAAAATGCCTGTGTTTGTGAGAAGTAGAGAGTGATAACAAATGCGTGTTTCTCGCTGCGTGAATACAATCAGACTTATTTGGACAATCCTACTTATTGGATTGGGCAACTTATTTTTTGTGAAATAAACACAAATTGTATATACAGCAATTAAAGACTCTTGCGCAACCCGCATGCTTAGCGGCAGCTGTTTTGAGCAATTGATTGTGGTTTGTATTCTCATGCAGTACGATTTTAGGCCGGTTTTGAAAATATAGTCGCAAAGCATGCCGGTTGACAACTGAGTCAACTTTCATTTCATTTATACAATAAAAGCAGTGTGACGGGAAACATTTGCTTTCTTCAAAACAATTGCACTACCAGGGCATGAGAAAAATCATGCATAAATTTCCTGCAAGAATAGGAAAATAAAAGAAGAAAGTGTCATGTGCCAACAACCGTAATGATGTGTCACCAGTTCAATAGAATGTAAAAGCTAAACCAATTTTACTACCACTACAAAATCAGTTTTTTTTGGTGAATGAAAATCATAAATGTAAACTTTTATCAAACAAGAATTTTCAAACACATTCTCTAGGGTTCTGAGGTAGAAAATCCATTTTAACCTGTACAAGGCATATATATAAGATACATTTGTTTTGTTTTCATGTTTTTTTCTTTCGATGAACTCGAAAGAAACCAAGCTGCTTCTTGCAAAAGAGTATATTTAAACAAAATTCTTGCAAAACTTTATTCATGAAAATTTTCCTGCGACCGCAAGGTCACGTGGTCAGGTGGGTTTTCATGCCCTGTGCACTACTGACAAAGAACTTTTAACACGAAGAAACGGACAGCTTTGTAAATGAGGGCTAAAAGTGTTAGTTCCAGGAGCTGCAAGAAAGAAATAACGAGAAACTTTGTTTTATGAAATCGGAGTCCATACAACGCTTTCTTTTGGAATCGGTGTCATAAAGATTTATTGCAGTGTTTCAAGACCTTTTGTATAGATTTGGCAAAGTTCGAAGGCAGAAATACAATACTATAAAAATGTATATATATAAACGTTCAATCCTTCTAAAGTTAAAGATGTTTCTGAGTTGCAAGCGTCCTCATTAAAAAGCCGCTATTTTGGGGGCCTAAATGCAGGTGACTTTTGGATCTGCCATTTGCCAGCGCTCCACGGGTTACAAAGTCTTGGGGGGGGGGGTTATCCTATTCCAAACCTGATTGTAAGAAGGGTATGTTTCTAGAGAGAGCTCATTCGGGTGAGGGGAGCTTGTTCGAGAGGGGAGCTTATTCGAGAGGGGGGCTTATTCGAGAGGGGGGCTTATTCGAGAGGGGGGCTTTCGACAGGACGGGTTAATTTAAAACATTGGCAACAGTTGAAACAAACTAGTTCTGTTAAAGAACAGCTTATAGAATAAAATATTCTACATTTTTCTATTAAGGTCAAAGTAAATAAAATGATAGAAAATAATACAAACTTTGTTAATGATCCTATTTGTGAACAGGGAGGGTTGGCTCTCTCTGTGCTTGTGAAAATTCAATACAACTTGCGCATCACAGCCGACTGATAGATAGCTATTCATCTTGAATTCCTGCAAAAGACAACTTGGCTTTTGAGTTTTCTTTGTTAACGATTTCTTGGAACTGATTTTTACGCAAATAACGTTCATTTAGCAAGCAAAATCACTTTTTCTCGGACAATTGTCGGATAAATATTAAATTGACTGAAATTATGCAGGGGACAGCATAATGCAACTACCAGCTTTCCAAAAATCTTAATTAGTAAGCTTATACAAATGAGTCAGATCAGATATGCGTAATATAAAAAACTGCATATTTACAAAGAATACGTAAAAAAATTTATTTGCACGCGTTAGGCTTTAAGTCGATTTGGACAGTGGCCTGCAGAAAAAAATCGTTTCCTTATTCCCCTGTTGTTTAAAGAAAGTCAAATGCCCTCCCAAACACCGGGGAGGGGTTCAGCTGATACACTAAAGTTTCTCTTTTCTTGAATTTCCTCAAAGAAATTGTCGACAGTGCAAGGGTGTAAGGGAAAAACTGCCGGTATTCATACTAATTTTCAGCCAAATATACGGACGAGGCATGGGACTGGAAATCTCTGAATGACTTCCAGAAGAAGATCGTTTTCTCTAAAGATCTAAATATGAAACACAAAAACATCGCTTACTTTTCGAGAGGACTTCACATGAAACAGACCCTCCGTTTGTATGTTTACTTTCCATCTGCAAAAGAATAAATAAGATAGCCATTTAGAAAAGTTCGATACTTTTAAGTTAAAATGAAAACAGTAAGAAGAAGGCAACCTCGCAGCTACAGTAATCGCAAAGTAATTAACTTTGCACCTGAAGTAAATACTCACATGTAATTTTAGCCATGCATTTTCTAAATTGCAAAGAAAAATTATATTACATTCGCATACTTTACCTAAGAGTATAAAAAGTCATGCCCAAAAGGTCCATTGAAATTTAAATACAGGTGAGGGTTGAAAAGCTTTTGCCTCTCAAAAGGTGTTTTGGCAGTCTTTCTAAAGACAATTAAACGATTTGATGTAGCAAATTACTTTGCAGTTTGCAGATTGTAACGGAGGTCAGTGGTAAGTAAATGATACATGTAACACAAAAACTATGCCATTATTTTTATGTCTTGTGAGGAGCACATTCCATTGCAGGATATGTTGATGCCGTCAGAAAGGATATGAATACAACAGCAGAAAATTAAGATGGCACCCCAGACAGATAAAGTGGAAAAGGATAAGACTGATTTGCTGTGGTGACCCCGCAATGGGATATGCGGAAACCTGATGAAGCTAATTACTGGAAGTTGGAGAACATTTTTCTGTACTCAAAATTGAGCATGGAAAATTTCAAAATGATTCAGTTCATCAATCTTGGTTTGTATGCAAGAAGATAGCTGAGCAATCAGGCATTTGCTCTTTAAAAGTCGTATCTTAATACTTTTAATAATATTTGTCTAAGATCTTCATATTTCTTGCAAAAAAGTATTTCTATTCTACATTAATTAATGAATTTCAATGTAAATTACTTTGGACAAAAACTGATTTCCAGAAACTTTAGACAGTTTGTATGCATTTGTATTGAAAGATTTAGTAAATTTCAGTGGGTGAAACTGATGAAAATGTTGAATAGTAATGGCCTTAGAACTGAACCTTGAGGTACATCACTCATTGGGCAACTCAATTTGACCTTTTGACATTCTATAAAGTAGGGAAAATACAGCCTGAGTTGCTGACACAATTAACTTCTATTATCAGTCTAATTTGCATACTATTTTGGGGCCTTATTTTACACTCTGGCATGAAATTCAGTTATTCCATGGCAAGGTCACATGTCTATTTATGCAAAGTTCAATCAGGTTAGTCTGCTTAAAGATAAAATTTTTATATCTCAACCAAATGGAAAAAGGCATACCTATCCAATTCTACCAAATCTGCTTCCTCTATATCACATAGGACATCTTCAATTTCATGCACATCCCCAAAATACTTTTTACCCCAATGCAACACTCTGGCAAGATCATTTCCTGTTCCAAGAGGCAAAATTGCTGTGTATGGAGGTTTCTGAAAAGCATTATCAAAAGATAGATATAATGGAAGATAACAATCAAGGTGGTTTTGAGTAATGTTGTCATACAAACCAATGTTTGAAACTTTTACATAACATTCCTACATATTATTCCTATAGGTGAAAGAAAAGCCAATCTATAGGAAATGGCTTAGATATATATGTAAGAACACAGCCCCAGTCTCTATCTTAGCATTGCAAATTAGCAAAAATAAAAGTAATATTTCAGTAAACTTAATGCTTTTTACTGGCAATTTTTAGTGATTTAACCGATTTGTAAATATAGAGGTACTCAAGTCCATGGTTCTTTTGCTTTAACTCATATATGTGTAAATCTTTGAAAGCTCAATTAATGTTTTAGAAATTATAGGGAAATAGGTCAACCTAAAGGTTTGAGCTGTCAGGGTTATATTGTCAAGCTATGTATCATATGAATTTTATAGAAATTATACATGACATAGTCATTGGTAGAATTGTCATTACAAAGGAGGCTGTACTGTTGTTCTAACATCATTATGACAATGCAGAAGAGAAGCACAAACATCTTACCAATAATTTTAAAGTTTCTATTGCATTTAAAACCCATCCAATTGTTCCATCACCACCACATATCAAGACTCTAAAGCGAATCTCAGGAAGAAGGTTGCAGAACTCTAAAGCAACTTCTGGATTTATTTCTGAAAGGTCTATCACCTGGAAAAGAAGTATCTTGTCACATAGAATATCAAACATTTTAAGTTAATGGCAAGATATCATAAGATTTCCAGTTTTTAATGAAAAGTTATTTCATTATTTTCAGTGGTGTTAGCAATTTTTACAAAGAAAACTTTAACTTTGAAAGAAAATACTTTCAAAGAAAATTTGTTTTCAAATGTGAAATAAACTTTGTAGTTAAATTGGCAGTCTATAAATCTATGGTGGAAAAACCCTGATTTGATGCCAGTATTTTGTTTAAAGTTGAATTCTTTTCAACAAATATTGTAGTATAAATATTGTAGTATTTTCCCCTATAGCATCATAAATTATATATATATATTTAATAATATATATTGTAATGTTCATCAAAAAGGTCTTCAAATCTGGCAAAAACAAGTCTGGTATTTCAGAAAGTATCTAATTGCTTTTCAGAGGTGACTTGGTACATTTTCATATATAGAAAAATAGCAAATAAAATCAAAAGTTCAACAGAAATGATAAAGAAATTACCTGTGCTGGGTTTAAGAGTCCTCTAAATGCTTTCAGCAAATTTGTTCCCTCATTACCTCCACTTTTTGGGTTAGAAAAAACAAGAAGTGGGCTCCATTTTTTAAACCCAGGATCAGAAACTTCTTTGACAACAACTTTCCTTTGTCCTCTCCAACCAACAGTTTTCAATGTCAGACTAAAGGGTGGAATGATCAGCTCTTGCATTCTGCCAAAATCACACTCATGCTGCTGACGGCAGTAGCAAAACTTTTCATGTACAGTTCTGTGGCACCACATGCACTGATAATCTGAAAGTCTTGGTTCATTTCCACATTCATTGCCACAAATGTCACATAAACTGCAAAGTGGCAAATTACCTCTTACCCAGTGATGGAACATGATTCTACCTCTGTTGAGAAAAGAGCAAGGAATCAATTAAAAGCACACCATTGCAAAGTGACAATTTAACTCTTACCCAGTGATGGAATACGATTCTACCTCTGTTGATGATAAGAACAAAAAATAAACTAAAAACATTACAATGTCGGAAACTCTCAAAATGGAAAAATACCTCTAACAATGAAAGGCATTTTAAAAATTTTGTAAAATATCATTTTTGTTAGGTAATCAAATCATAGAATTTCATTTTCATCAATCCATTTTATATACAATCTAATACATATAACAATATAACTAAATACAACTACAATAATAACAAATTTATTACATCAAACAAAAAAGATATGAGACTGTATATAAAATAGACTGATTAAGGAGGAGCTCTCTAAATAGATAAACTAATCAAGAGAGAGCCCCCCCATAAAAGAAAACTTTGAAGAAAATTATTATTTAAAACAACAACAAATATTGATATATATATATAAATATAAATTCAATATAAATATAAATAAATACAAATATAATGTCCTGGTCATGTTACAGTAATCTCTTTGCATCAATTGTATTAGACAAGAACAATTTAACAGAGCCAATTGAGATATCAGCCCTGATTAACTAATTTCTGTGACCATTAGGTCATTCAGATAAATTGTTTTGGGGCCAGCCAAATAGGAAAATGTATAGCTGGCCCCAAAACAATTTATTGCTGCTTAAATACAAACTATTATTATCAAGCTAAAATAGCCAAAAGTATAAATTACCAGCTTAAATAGGCATTCTAGTTAAAGCATCAATTAAAATACAAAATAGCCACTCTAATATAGTTTTACTTTCGTTTAACATATTTATCTATGATTGATTTTGCTAACCCATATCTAATTTTCACCAGGAAAAATATCCTTGCATCTATCATTTTCTTCATCAAAGTTAAGAAGGCCTCTTTCTGGTATATTTATGCCTTTCTTACAAAAGTATTCTCCAAAACTTTAAACATCCCAGCTTTAAGCACCAATTTACCCAACATTTTCCCTAATTTGGTAGCAAGTGGGTAAGTTTGTTGAAAACGATTCTGTTTATACAGAAATTGAATACCCCTTGACCAAGAATTTTAAATATTTTTTAGAATTTTTTTTCATATTTTCACTGTCTTTCAAAATGGAAAGCTTTGAAGATTTGGGAGGAAAATTTATTGTAAAATTGGAGTTCTTTTTTATCCTTTTTAGCTCAATGAGTCCTTGATCGTTAACAATATTTCTATCAAACAAGTAAACCTATTTAAATTTTACTTATTACCTAAATTTTTCTCAGAAAAAACATATCTTACAATCATTATCTTAATAAAGGCCATTCACAGATCAATAATTTGCAATTAAAAGACAGTTGCTTGTCCTTTCAAAATTTTCCCTGACCGATACCAAACAATTTGTTTTTGTTTTTAAAGACACTTGGCATTATATCATGCCATTGAAATCTGAAATTGCATCACACAATAACATGTCAGAATAAATCTCTGAAACCAATTCCACCTGCTTCCAAACCCAATTGAGGGTTTTAACAAAACGATCTTAGAGAAGACGAACATGTATTTATTTATAATCGACTTAGCGCAACACCTGCCAATAAAGCTAACCTTGGGAAACTGGTAACTTTGCAAGCAATTTGGCTGTTGGCCTTCTCTTCACATTCATCGTGCACACAAATCCAACAGGCATCGCAATATGCACCACGAACACACGATGTTTCACAAATGGAGCAATATGTTGGTTTCACAAGAAAGTCGCTGTGATGCCATGTGTGGCCCTTTCGTGGATCTCGAACTTTTATGCCTTGCTTCCTTCTGAAAACTTTGGTTATCACCCAGCACAAGACCATGAAAAATATGTACGTAAGAACTATCTGGCGCGGTTGCTCGAGCCATTCTAGAAATGTTGTTTGCTGCTCCATAGTTTAGCTGCATCTATTCTCTTTGGAGAAACTTGCAGGCCATCTTATCACCATCTGTCTCCAGGATTTATGTTATCATCTGGATATCATTCGGCATGGATGACAGTGCAATTTACTATTAGCCTCAACTTGGGAAAGAGGTTCATATGATTTAAGAATATTTCGAAAATTGTATTTCGAGTGATGTATCTAGTATTTCGAGAGATGACGTCACAAAATCCTAGTAAATAAATTTTCACATTATTTTGTGAGAAGCAGTGGTGGCACCAGGGGAGGGCTAGGGGGGGCTACAGCCCCTCCGTCGGAAGCATCTAGCCCCCCCCCATCGGATGAAATTTTAGGTTATTGTCGGAGCAAATTTGACAAAATAACGTTCGAAAACTGCTTATTTTAGTCATTTTAGCCCCCCTGTCGGAAGCTCCAACCCCTCTGTCGGAAGATTTCTGGCGCCACCTCTAGTGAGAAGTGAACAAATAGAGTATGCCTGCTAGGATAGGGAGATAAAAATAAAGAACACATGAAAGTAAAAACAACAGAAGATACGAAACAAAAAACAATGAAATCATTGCTATTGAGTCCAGAAAAAATACCCAGATCTTAGGAAAGGTTATTGAAAGCAATTCCTGTATCCACAGTTAGATTATTCTTTCATTTTACTGTTTTTTCAGGAAGGATTTTATAGTTCGGCTAACTAGAGGCCATTTTGTCACAAAACATCAGAGATAGGCGACTTTGGGTCGAAACTAATGAAACTTAGGGTGATGTCTGTTTTTAAACGGCCCTGAAAACAGCAACAAGTATTCTAAGGTGTGGTATAGTCAAATCTGAGAAATATACGTTCCATGAGAAAGTGAACGTAACAAGAAATAAAAAAAACTAAATCAGTAGTATCGAATATATTTAATCCAATGAAATGTAAAACAAGAAAATTAAATTTCAAGCCTACAATTCTATACTTCGAAAATGTCTCGAATTAGCGGTTAGCGGCGATAGGGTGCAGTGAGGGGAGGGAGCGTATTATGATACATAATTCCATTGGGCTAAAACAGTATACAAACTGGTGCATTGCTGAAAATTGCTGACACATTTCGTCTTAACCTGAGCTAAAGACCCCCGATAAACACAAATGGACTTTCTTGAGTCTATTGTACACTCCCCACCACATCGCTAATGACAATGATTAAAATATTTTTACTCAAAGCGCATATAAACTCAAGCAGAGGAAATAGCAATTAATCCACATATTTAAAATAATTCTGAAAAATCACGGGATAACGTACAGTCGCTTGGAACAAAGTGACTATGCTTGGAATAAAGTCGCTCATAGAATATTCTATTTAAGCTTTCTATCGATTGTAAATTTCAGGCAATCAAGATTTTTTATATGCTTACGTAAATTGAGAACAGCCAAAAATTATTTTGCTACACGATTTACAACTTGGCACAAGACAGACAACCAATTCCATCGTCACAAATGACTTGGACTTGGAAATGACAGGATTGTGAGCAAGATTCTATGAAACCTTCAATCAAGGAGGTCCCAGTCCCCTTTTTAGTCCCTGTACGTCCACGATTGGAGGATTCTGCTTACCATGATTATGCTAGCTGTAAACATGGCGATTTCTCTGCTTAGGCCATCCGCATCGATACCCACAAAAATTACAAAATTAAGGAGTTATAAATAACAAACCCGAAACTCTACCTCTGTAATGACCATAAAGAAAACCCGGGTAAAGTGCTTGTAATTGCATGGATTAAAATACTTGTGGTTAAATTAAGAAATCTAAGATTCAATACTCAATCTCTAAAACTAAAACATATATTGCCAAAAACGTTTTGTGACCGCCAGCCTGGTTTAGGGTGCATATTCTTCTGCTATTCACAGAACATTCCCTTTTGCTCTTGCCTCTAATAGTTTCCAATTTCGACTTTTAAATGCTGCTTTTTGAGAAATCTCCAACACATTTCTCCAATAAATTAGCATGTCTCTATCAACCTTTCCATAGCAATTAGCTATATAGAAAGACTTGATATTTTATATGCTTTCCCATGGAATGTTGGATAACAGAAAAATATAAACCCCAGGCTGTTTTTTACAATAATTTCTAATAACAAAATTATACACAATAATCACACAACTAGTCTAATAAAGATATACTAAAGCCTTAACTTTCTCCCATGGAGAATGCCAAAAACTATAGGCAAGCATTCCAAGAAACATTATTATCATTATACTCAAGCAAAACTCGATGTAACAGCAGTAACAGCACTACTGGTTCTTCTTACTGTCAGTGTAACCCGGAGCGTATGGTGGTGGATTTTCCTAGTGACAAGAAAAAAGAGAATTTATATAGGTCATCTTTATGACATATGTAATACTTCTTATGTAGGTTTCATTTTAAAATCACTAACCAGCATATTTTGCAACATGAAAACAAAAATAATATGAAAACAAGAGTGACCTGGCGAGCAATTTGATGTACCGTAATGCCTCGAACAAGCGCCCCCCTCGAATAAGCGCCCAACCCTCGAATAAGCGCCCATCCTTCAACCTTCAGAAACGGCGCTTATTCGAATTTTCAACGAAAGCATAATTGGAAGGCAATTCAACAAGAAAGATTAATGAACAACACAATTTGCACCCAAATCTACTTTTTAAGTAAGCACCCCCTCGATTAAGTGCCTCCCTCAAATAAGCGCCCACCCTGGAGCCTCAAAAATTAAATAAGCGCCTGGGCGCTTATTCGAGGCCTTACGGTAGAAATAATTAATTATAAGCGATTTTAAAATTTTGAAAAAGGAATTTGAAAAGTTATCTATGACAAAGTTAAAATAAGTATTTAATAACAAAGTGGTTGAAAAGTTTGCAGCATTATACTTGAAGACAGGCAAACAAGTAGTGTTATAAAGATAAAAAGAACAGAAAAAGACTTAAAAGATACTTATTTTAGTAAATTTTATGAAAAGTGCTCTAAACTCAACTATATGTACAAAACTTGTAAAAAAGAAACAAATCCAAAGAAAACTAGAAATTACTATGTGGTGAATTTAAGAAAAATGCATAGTTTGATCAACTCAGTAAGTTTTACTTACATATTGTGGAACATACACATTAGGCCCATTGCTGTAAGCCTCTCTTTCTTTTTCTGTGAGACAAAAAGAAATAGCAAGTAAAAACCTGAGCATATATCCAAATGAAATATGGTTTCTGAGGTGTGGTAAATTTTAGCTTAATTATATCAAAAAATTAATTAACAATAAAAACATTGCATAAAACAGAATTTATGCGAAGTAACAAAAGTGGATATGATCAACATGTATTCAAACATTGTCTCAAAATTGAAACCATCATTTTAAGTGCTGCTTTTAGCAAATCATATCTATGACGTATGTAATATTTCTTTAGAGGTTTTTTTTAAATCATTAACCAGCATACCCAAGATATAAACAAAAACGATTCAGCAAAGTCAAAGCAATGTAGCACAGAAATTTGAAATTTTCATGGTTAAAGGCCTTTTGACTTCCAAAAGACAGTGGTACACTCTAAGTTGCACAACATTTTAAATTGTTTTTTAAATTTGAATCAGAACTCACTGGCTCGATTACCATCCTCTTTGAGCCCTAGAAATCCTGAATAATTTTAATAATCAATTATTTTATTGGAATATCAAAACTTGCTGAAAATTACCGTTTTGGCCAATGTGCTGGGGTGGTGCAGGTGCTGCTACCCCACCAGGGCCGGGGTAAGGAGGTGGGGCACCTTGAGCCTGCAAAAATGAAAACAAAAATTTCATATCAAAATTGGATGATAATAATTGGTTCAGAAATGTCTTGTACCCTGTAGATGGGTCAAAAGCAAAGGCTGAAACACTGTGTGAAGAGTGATCACAATTTCGGAGAAATTTTTCGGATAAACTGTCATAAATTTAAATAACCAGATTACAACAAAGAATTGGCCCAGGATACAATGAAGGATTTAACAGACAGTCTATGTTACAGCTTTGTGAGTAAATATTGGCTGATGTTTGTTATGGGTGAAAATAATGGCTTGCTACAACCCTCAAGTAAATTTTATTCTTGCATTCCAGAGAATGTCACATTTGGAACAGATTCTCCAGTTCAAATTTCAGATTTGCATACATAGCTAATGCTTTCTCAAATTTTTCTTTAAAAAACAAGTTAAGAATTCAGGCATTTAAGAAAAAAAACATAAGGGAGCAACTGCAATTTGCCAGATCTTTGTTGGAGTAATTTAAAGTGACCTTCGTCATTAAGTCTTATTAAATTTTTATTTAGGTAAGTCCCAGCTGCTGCTTAAAGCTGGAGATTTGTGAAAAAATGAGGTTGCAAAAAAATAGAAGGGCATCATACTGTATATATTTTTAATGTGGCAGTCAATATATAAAATTTAGCTTATATAGTGGAGGTGGCTACATCTAATGATAATTCTTTCCTTTTTGGTCAACAACAGTTAAATGTAATGCATGCTAGACCAACTATCTTGGTTCAAAAATGAAGAAATGCAAATACCTGTTGTGGGGATGCAAAATAAGGTTGTGCACCTGCAAAAAGAATTAACACAATTCAGCTAGTTTTCAGTTAATCAAGGAATTGACTGATTTTGCTGCAAATTGATATTACTGATATTATACAAAAACTGAAACTTATGATGCTGCATAGTAAAAGAAAAGAACAAGTTTCTGACAGCTTTCAAGGAACACGCAGGACAAGGGAATTAATGTGACTTTTTAATTTACCCTTATGGGCTTATTGAGTTTGGATGTTTTGGGAAGGGGGCTAATTTGAGGGGAATGGCTTGAACAAGGTGGTAGGCTCATAATGATTAAATATTGCAACAATCCCCAACAAAATTGTTGAGACAATTTTTGCAATTTTGTTACTTTAGTTTTCCCCTCTACATTTGAACCCCTTCCCCCCAAATCAAACCTGGATTAATAGTTATTTCATTTGTGCTTGAAACACATGCATTCATTGCAAATCATTTTCATGTTATTTTCAGGCTGAGGGCTAATTCAAGGAGCATTTATACAAAGGCATCAAACCAAGGATCTATGGTATATAAATCAATTAACCTTGTGACCTCTAAAGAATTTAAATCTTTTACAGAATACCCCCCCCCTTGTCCAACAGTGAATTAAGAGCCACACAACTAACGGAGAACTGAATTTAAAAAAAGTAAATCATAGACATACCTTGTGGAGGAGGCTGAGCAGGATATGCAGATTGGTATGGGGCATAGTAATAGCCCCCGAGTGGGGGTGGTGGGTAGTACCCTGCAGTTTGCATTTGTGGAACTGGCTGTCTACCACTCCTTGCTGCAAGACAATGAATTGATATAATTTTGGATTACTAGCAATGTTAGGAAAATTACAGCTGAAATGCAATCAATATGTTTTCACAACTATTATAAAACAAGTAATGTTGTTCTTTGAAAGTCAAATTGTTAAAATTTCTGTAACTATTGTTATAGACATGAAACAAAAGTTTCAAAAACCCCTGATAATTTTGTCAAACAAGGGCCGTCCATGAGATTGTTAAGTATGAAATTAGATGCAATATTAATATTTTTATGAAAAAAGTTTGCCCAGTTGAACTTCACCTAACAGGAGCCAACAGTTCACACACCCAAGGTCACCAAGAGCTGGGGGGTCAAGCCCCCTAAAGGCTGAAATACACGATCAGTTTAAACTGTCAGTTTTCGCTGATGGCAGGAAAACTGATAGTGTAGTTGGCTAAAAACTTACATTTTTTTCCGCAATCAGTTTAAACTGGGCTTGAAACTTCTAGCCTTGGGCTCGAAACTGTTTTTATTTTCAATCAACACCAGCTTCAAAAATTAAGGAGGAAATTGATCTGGGACTCATTTTTGTTTTGGTTCATTCTGTGTGTTTCATGGAAAATTGTTTTTACAAGGTCATCAAAAATCTTTATTAGCATGTGTCATATTTTTTCTGTCCATCAAACCAAACCCAAAGTTAAAAAAATTGAACCAATCAATAAGCAGATTAAACAGAATAAGAAAATCAATAAATGACACCTTGGCCAGCAGTTTGCTTTAACTGCTCAGCAAAATCAATGGCACCTCCACTACTGAATTCTATTTTGAAATTTGCATTTCCTTCCCATCCACCTAAAGATAAAGAATGAAACATGAAATGTACCTTCAAAGGAAACCTAAACAAAGAACTAAAGACTACCATGCAATGAATTATAAAAATATTAGATAATAAGCAAATGGTTACCCACATGATAAAACATCAATAATAATAATAAATAAATGTTGATGAAGCAAAATAATTCATCTGCCAATCAGGCATTCCTATTTATTAGCTGCTAATCAAAACTACCTATCTATTATTTTTGAGAAACCACATCAAATTTAAAGACAAGGTAACCCTGACTGCAATTCAGCCTTTTATTCATTGCTGTTCCTATCATTATTTAGTCATTATCAAAACACTTAAAAAATATACATTTAAATTGTCTAATGCAAATGATTGACAATAAGAATTTTTTACCTCCCTGTTCAGCCATCACAAAACCTGACAAATAATTTGCACCAAATATTGGCTGTTTGACCTGAGAGCAAAGCAAATTTGATCAGCATCATAAATTTTTAACTTAGCATAAATAGGACTTAAAACATTAGACTACATAGAGATATAATTTAAAAATCTGCAAATAAAGGCTATATCGATTAAAACTTTCATATTAACTGAAAATAAAATTATAGCTTATATCTAAATAAAATATTTTTCAAGACAAAAAGGCCAGATCTTTGTGCTTGTGTCTTCTATTGATAGTTATCCATGTTGCTGGTGCATTGTTTCTTGATTTCATTGGTATTAAAGATTTTCCAAGATCATTGAAAACCTGTTGACATGATGGCTCACCTCAATGTTTTTGAGAGATCTGAACTCCATTGAAAATGAAATGTATTTTCCTGTTGAATGTTTATTGACAAATATAAGCTAAAAGGGGAATAAAAAGAACATGAATATAATTCATCTTTTATGCAGCATAATTTTGTCAACAATTTTCATTGCAAAGTTACTTAGAAAGGAGCTCAAACTAAAGAAAATCCTGATCAATCCAATCCTTATTTTAATTCAAATTTTAATGTGGCTGTTTAGGATTTCAGCTTCAGGTTCACTGTCGAGGTGCAGTTTACCATTCTTTCTTAGAGCTAAAAAATTGAAATTGTCATTCCTTTGGACTTAACATATATTCAGAAGGCTATTGAGCTTGCACGGATGGCTGCAGGCAGTAGTGGTGCCATGGGGGGGGGATGGGGGCACATGTCCCCCCAGTTCTCGGCAGGATCTACTTCCTACAATGCTAAATTTGATGAGAAAATTACGAGGGAAAGGTAATACTTTGACAGTGTATTTTCTGTGATATAATCCTAGGATTTTCAAACTGCCTTTATGTAACCAAAAATTGTCATAGGGGTTCCCTTCAGTTAAAATTGGCGTTCCCTATTGGTAAAAAGGCATTTTCTGATGGTTAAAAGGGCATGGCCTAAATTTTTTTACTTTGTCCTTCCCCTTAGATCTTAGTGGCTGGCGCCTCCATTGGCTGCAGGATGATAGGGGAAGAATAGCTACATGAAAAGGTAGAAGAAACCAATTCCTTCTACAGAAAAATTATTGAGATGATTCACATAAATTCTTTTATTCGTATAAACTCTTATAGGAATACGTAGGGGAAGAATGCAAAGGTTGAAATTGAGTATACCAGTTTCTCAAGGCTTAAAAAGTCAATAATTTTTCACAGTAGATTCCTGTGTTCAATTTGTCCTTCTTGGAAATTTTCCAAAATAAACTTGTCAGTGAGGCTTGGTGGAATCCCTCATTTTTTTGCAAAAAAAACAAGAGCTTTTTCCAAAATCTTTTGTTTTTCGTCATTGATTTACACTTCTTGCAGTGTTGGCATAGAATTAACATTTGTACGCATGTGGCCTACACTGAAATTTCGGTAAAATGGTGTAAGGACACAACATAAAGCTCTTTCTTTAATTGTTTGTGTGTACTTCTGCATCATCCAAAACGTACCAAAAAAAGGTATCACTAACTTTTCTGATAATTTTAGAAGCAAGGTAGAGTCACAGTGTTGTATTTATTTCATTTATTTATTGAATATGGCCTATTCTTGGTTTGGTGTACCTTTGCCGTGTAGTTTACAAGGAATGCACAATGCAGGCTTGGTCAATGTCACACTTACCTTCGATGCTGTAAGGAAAAAATCTCCTTTCATGGATCCCCTCAAATAGTTTGGTAGTCTGTCCCCTTGTAGCTCAAACTTTACATCTTCTTGATGTTGTACAACGCTGTGAGACAGAGCACGATAAATTTGTTTCGAAATCGAAAGGAACTTGTTTAATCATAACAATCTCGAAAAAGAGCAATATTGTTCGTGGTCTTACTGGGAATCATTACACCTGTACAATAACCCTTTGATATAAGATTGTTAACATTAAATTCTGCAACATCTGTATTTGCAAGTTTTTCGAGGTCAAAGCCTCAGTTTACTTTCAAGAGTTCATGTCTGTCAATCCAAAACAGGCCTAAAAAGTGCATCGGCAGCTGAAGGGCGCAGGCAAAAGCTGTCCTTAGAACAAGGTGTCTTTGATTATGCCAAAAAGATAACTTACAAATCTCCATGCAGTGTTATCCGACCACCATTGCATTCAACTTTGTTAATAGACATGGTTTTTGTAGATATTCTCTGTTGTCAAAACGATGTGTCGTCCTGAACGATGTCGTAAATGTTTATTCCTGCCTCACGAAAAAGTGGCCTGGACTTCAGCATCAGCGCCTATGACGTCATATACCACAGGAACATTCTGTGCCCATGTTAAAACCACGAAAACAGGCGAAAAGTCGAAAAAACCTAATCAACAAAAGATAACAAATCCAGGGTTTGTCATCCAGAAAATTGTCAATCCATACCACCATCCTTATCGTATTCAAAATTTAATATCAAGAAAATACCACATTTCCTAACTAAAAAAATACTGTGCAAGAAGACAAATACAAATGAAGCAGATTAGGAACTGTGTGAGAACGGCTTTCATACAAATCTTTGCTTTTCAAAACGTACACTAGGGTGACCTTGTTTAAGGCAATATTTTGTAGACACTACGTCACCAGGTTTAGTTAGTTCAGAACTTTGCAGTGAAACTAATTACTTGTGATTGTTATGATGAATGAGGTTCAATAATTCATTCTTGCTAAATCATGAAAATATTCATTAATTCATTCTTGCTGCAAGTAAAAACCAATAGCATTTCGGAACTGTGCAATAAACTACCTACGCTTTCAAAACAATTTCAAAACAATTTAGGATTGACTCGTCATGTAATTCAATAAAGTTCTGCTTGTCACGATGATAATTCTGTTGAAGCAGAATAGGCCTAATAATAGGCCCTTTTGTGCTGCAGCTTCCCTCACTTCTTGGCATGCAGTGTACAGCCATAGCCCCATATAATCGAGGGTTAATGTCAGTTTGACATAAAACCTCCAGTAAGGGAACACACGAAGAGCAGCTACAAGCTTGACATTCACGATGCTCATTTATAAAAAAAACTGTGTATTAACTTCGGGTAACCTGTGGATGGAATTTTCGAGTAAACTATCTTCAATTTTATTTCATTTGATTACAGGGCTTTTACAGAGTATCGGACTACACAGTCTAAAAGCAACATAATTAATACCGTATTTACTCTAATATTCCCGCTGCGGGATTACCGTTTCAACCTAACAAAAAAAGCCGGATTTTTGGAGAGGCGGGTATATTGGAGAGGCGGGATTATTTTTTCAATGCCTTGAAGTCTAGTTTGAGGGTACCGTTTCAACAAAAAAGTCTCTTAAACATGATTGTGGCAAATCAGAGAAAACAGACAAGACAGAGCAGATATTGTGCTTTATAGACAGTAGTACGAAGTCAAAGAACCAAATGTCTTTTTATGCTGCGAGACTTGGATGTTTGATAAACTTGCAAAATAGGTCAACTCTTTGCCCTCTCCCGTCTATGACATTATCATGTGATTCAACCCACTCACTCCAAGCATAAGTTTCAATTTTTGATTTTCAACCCATACAAAGTGTGTAAAGAGTAGCAAATGCCAATTAAAGTTTCAATCCCGCATGCGGGATTACTGGGGAGGCAGGATTATTCTTACAATCTATGAAATACAAGCGGGATTACTAGAGAGGCGGGAATAAAAGAGAAGCGGGAATATTAGAGTAAATACTAAGTGAACAGATGCATCATCGAACAGTCCGCTGAATTTCCCATGACTTCCTCTTGATTCAAACAAACTTAACATAAAATCCACTGACTTTCCCAAATTTTCACCGACCTTTTCTAAAAGTCATTCCATGTTTTCCAGTCTCTCTACAAACTCTGTGACTAGTTATACTTTACGTGGTAAGGTGCAGCTGGAATTAAGTTAAAGTTCCGAAATGAAAATTTTGATGAACAGATAGTGAGAGAACAGGAAAATTCTTCGACTAAATTTCAAACCTCTCATATGAGCTTCAAAAATTTAGTTGACTGTTTTGCCTTCCGAAGCTCACCACTATTCCAACGATAGGTAATCAGTCCAAAATCCACTGGTACAAGCATAAGAAAAATGATACTGTTGCTATTTGAGGTTTCTCCAATTTCCAATAATCAGAAAAGGGCAACAGACTTTGCAAGAGACATTGGAAACAAAACCGAAAACGAAACAGCTACAACAGAATGAATAGCACTCAAGGGCCTCTCTTTATGATTCTGATGTATTCAAAATAAAGAAACAAGACATACGGTTGTTTATTTAGATTAAGAACATTCATATTGAAAAGAATTCGACACAAATGAATCCATATTATTCATTGTGAAGTGGCCTTCTGCTAATTTGATTACTGACAACCAAGCCAAGAAAAATTAATTATAATTATAATTCTAATAACAAGAATTATAATTCTCTAAGAATTTAGATTCGATATGTAATTAGAGATTATGAGATCTGATCACGTGACAGGAAAGCTATCAAGAGTCACAATTTCTGTCTTGTTATTTGATCCAGCTTTGTATGATATTCTTATTTTGAGATGGATGGCCTCCTGCAAAATGAGAGGGAGTATTCGTTAGCAAGAATGGCATAAGATGCAACATATTTACGTTATTGTATACAACAATACAAAACAAAGTGGGAAAATTAAATATTTTACGATATATTAGATAAAGTACCGTTATACTAGTAAAATGACAATACAGAACAATACAATGCAACGAAAACAAAAGAACACAATGCAATATGGCACAATAGAACGAAATACAATGTAACACAATGAACTAGGGAACAATACAATGCAACGAAATACAATAGAATACAAAGAACTACAGAACAATACAATGCAACGAAAATCAAAAGAACACAATGCAGTATGGTACAATACAACGAAATACAATGTAACACAAAGAAAACTTAACAATACAATGCATTGAAATACCATAAAATACAAGATGTTTTAAAGGGGATTAAAGATTCATAAAGAATACCCTAATATCATAAATCAGCAAGTGTATGCATTTGTAAATTGGACTGCTGGTACTGGCCAAAATTTCGCTATAATACGTAGCCCGTATGTAGATCTGATTGCATTCATTTTGGCTTTTTTCAGATTTTGGCATTTTTGAGGTTTCAACATTTTACAAAACTACCACATAGAAACAGTTCAGATCAGCTCGAAATTTTTTTGAAAATTATTCTCTGTGAAAAATTAAAAACTTTCAGCTTTGTAAGGTTGTTTCATGAAGCAAATTAATATTGTACCCCATGTAAATTAATTTTTTATCATACCCTGTGTTCTTCTACAGTTTCTTCTCCTATTCCAAAATTTGTTCCAGTAGGGTTCTAAAATCCTAACTACAGTTCACATCATATACCACATAATAATTCATACATCAGACGAAAAATTGATCAAACATTAACATTTTACCTTGGACGGATTTGCAATAAGCATAATCTGCGTGATGGCCGAAGGCGGGAGCAAAGGGTTAAAGGGGGGCAGAGCTGTTGTTGATGGGGGCTGTAGCTTTATTTTCATCGCCTAAGGAATAAAAGTTCGTTTATCAAAAGACAACAGCTTCCTAGCTGAAACTTCAATTCTACAGATAATAATGAGCATAAAAAGGTTTTTTTATGTGTTGAAGTAAGATCATTCTAAATTGTATTTTAGGTTCTTTATTTTGCTTTTATTTTGACTATTTAAGAACTTAACTGGATAAATCTGTCATATTCTTTACTTTGACTCACTTCAAAAGTGAGGTGAAGCCGTCAAATAACATTGTGAAACCATCACGCTTTCATTATGATAACACAAGCAAAATGGATCTCAATAATGAAGTGAGAACAAAATGACTCCCAAAAGTTATTCACCAGGGCACTTACCTTAGGCACTGAAACCTCGACTTTATATTCCGAGATCGAGACTACATTTGTTGATATTGTTGAAAATACTACGACGATTACATTAGGGTTCGCCTCTTCTCGTTTATCCTGCAAAATGAAAATAGTCAGCATAAATACGTCAACTGCAAACAACATGAACTTATAATCAACGCTCGCAGTAGAGTTGAAACGTAAGAGCGCATGCTTGCGGGAGGAAATTCTTTGAAACAAAATTTTTCATTAGGATGGCATAATGACGAAGAGGAACCGTCACGAGTTCGGGTAGCACGTGACCTAATCACGATGCAATACAATAAATCGTGCTCTGAGATTCTCTCTGCGAGCTATATAAATCTATAGAACTTTCTTCCTGATTTTGTTGTATATTAAATCATATTGTTTCTTAATACGAATTCTTACATACTATGTAATCAAGGAGGGGTGTTAATATGAAAGAGGGTTCAATAGCCAGGAAGGAGGCTTAATATCCACGAAGGGGGCTTAATAGCCAGTGCTCGTAATAGATTGGAGGACAGGCTGGCTCTCAAAATGTTGTGGCTGATTATGGAAGTAAGAAGGGGCATACATGAAGGCAATGCTTTTTACTGAAAAAACCTCAAAAAATCTTATTGACTTAACTTTTATTGACATTTCGAGGCATGTAGCACTAATTAAAAAAAACTTCTTTTCGCATACTTCTTCTAGCATGAAGCGAAGGAGCAGAAGGCTTCAACCAATGATTATAGTATAATCAAGGATATTACAAAGGCTTCTTGATAATGTTTGATTACAAGTAGAACGTAGAAGACTGCGTGTCAAAATTGACGGTGTAAAACGTAAACCATCGTTACTAAAAAGATTGTTAAGCGAATCATTTGCTGAAGGTTGAACGCTGACCCTCAAACACAGGAACTGGGGGACACGGGGGCCATGGTCCCCCACTTATCAGAGACAGAGTCTTTTGCAACTCCTTGGGTGCAGCACTTTTGCCTACATATGACTCCAAACTTTTAACTTGCTTCCTACGTCTATGCTGTTCAGTTAATAGCAATACTTAAATACCAGAAAGCAAATGTCTGTTCTTTTGACAAACTCAGCACTGAAAGACACAGAGCGTCTATTTATAATAACCCAAAACAAACAGGCACTTACCTTGACTATATTAAGTATTATTTTTAAACCATCTTTATCGAGAACGTTGATTGGAGTGTGCGATACTAAAAGATGAAAAAATTCAAATTACATTTATGACAATAAATAAACCAAAACAAATAATCCATAATAGATATAGATCGCAATTGGTTGTATTCAATACCTTTTCTACAAGAACCAGTAAATTTAAGTTCAGGCTGACTGTTCGTAATTTTTTTAAAAATCTGAGGCAGGATCGTTCCTATTTTTTTCTTAAATTAAGAGGGTGTAAGCAGTGCTATTGCTAGCTTTTTTCACTCTAGGGAAGTGTTCAGGCCTCATTTGCCAACAAAGTGAATGATACAACCTTCATTTGCCGATAAAGTTGAATATTTACCTAAAAGCACCCACACATCGCTAAAAATCCTCGTTTTTGAGATAAAACGTTGCTCAAAATTTCATTTTACAGTAGCTCTCCCTCAGCCTTTTCTTGATTTGTTCTAAACTTTTGACCAATTTTGAGGCTCGTGTTCTTATAAAAAAGAGTGTATTCCAAATGAACAAGCAAAGAAAATGTAACATATAAAAGAGAGTAAGGAGCTCCCCTTTCCTTCTACTTTAAATTGCTGCCTACCTCTTTCAATTGCGTACTGTATGCAGCTCTTAAGTTTATAAGCCACTCAAACTTTGCGCATTGATGAATACTGCTTAGCATTTACCTATTTTTTGGTACTGAGAGTTTTCACGAGAAAGCCCATTTCCAAGTTACTTACTCAGTTTTTGATAAGGATCCAGATTTTGTTTAATTTGTGTCGACAGAGAGTTGCAAAAAACAGCAGAAAATATACTGCAGTTTGTGAATTCAATTCCGATTTATTTTTTACTTTAGCGCATCTAAATATATTTGATGCCTGTCCCTCACTGATGCCCCTTACTTACGATGATGGCGATAGCGACAAAGTTTTCAATTCGAAATTCCCGCCAACCCAGAAGAAAGGGTCTATGGAAATCAGTTGCAATCAAGCATGCCAAATTCCAGTTTTGTTTTTATTATCACAATTCAATGACTCTGCATTGTTAAAGACGGACGTGATTTGCACATGTCGAAATTATAATGATTTCGAAAGCATCATTGTGGCACTGAAATATTTCAAAGATTGGCATCATTGAAATAATTTCTCAAACAGGAAACAAATTCAACAAAGACACGTAGTGAAACTTAGTAGCCAAATAAACATTCGATATTCTGCACTTGACAATCTGAACAAGAAACAAAACAAGAAACATTACGAACAAGAAACATCAAGTTTTGCAGACTTAGTGGACTGCGATAATAGACAAGCTCTTCAAAATGGTGGACTGTTTTCCGGACACCTGGGCACCGAAGAGCCTCTCTCATTTCACGGCTGCTGCATCACTGGTCTTGTGTATCATCATAACAACTGGCAATTTGCTTATCATCCTCGCGGTTATCATCGATCCTTTAAAGAAACTTCGTACCCCGTTCAGCTACTTCTTAATCAACCTAGCCATCAGCGATTTAATCGTTGGCCTAGTCACCATGCCGGTATCCTACGACGTTCATAGCGACGAAGCAAGTGGCCACATTCCCAAATATAAAGTCACTCTTATACATGTATCTTACTTCGTCTCCTCCACAGCAAGTGTCTTGAGCCTGGGTGCGCTCAGTGTGGATAGGTTTGTCGCCATCCGTTGGCCTATCAGGTATCGAAAGAGACTGTCGATGCTTCGATGTGCTTTCATGTCTTTCGCAATATGGCTTTTCTCTGGAGCAGTTTCGATGGTATACCTCAAGATTGGCTATATCAATCATCTAATGGTTTTTGTGCATTTGTCAGTCTTACTAACTTTTATTCTTCTTGTTGTTACATACCGCGAAGTTTACAAAGCGTTTCGAAGACAAGCGAATGAGTTACGCGCCTTTCAGAATCCAGGGAATATCCAAAATACGACATCGCAAGTGATTGACCAAACGGAATTTCGCCGTGTGCGGACGGAAAAGAAAGTAACGAGGGCATTCCTGTACATCCTTGGTCTTTTCATCTGCTGTTACTTGCCCGCTATTGTAATGATTTACATTTTGCAGTTCTGCGAAACTTGCAGTTGCGATTTGCGCCATATATTACGAGACTTGCAGTTCATATTGGTGAGCGTGAACAGCGCTATGAACCCATTTGTATGCACTATACGACTAGGCCCATTTCGCCGTTCGATAATTGCCGTAATACTGTGCAAAAAATTTCGACAGAATAAATATGCTATTCGAAATGAAAGCGCAAGAGGTATGGTAAACCACGGAGCGAGCAACAAAGAATCTTCAGAAGAAACAGTGTAACGCAATTGGCATTTGAGAATATTCACTTGAACGCTTTATCGCTGAGAATAACCGCATAAAACTGTTTTCAGCCATTATGTTTTCAGTCTTTTGGTGGTACAAAACTTAAAAATGGTTTTGAAAAAAGCAAACATTTGAGTATACTAAAGCTTTATAGGCAAGTGTAGTATACTTTTCACACGCCTACGTCTTTTAAAGGCAATCTGTCACGACGTTGACTGATTATAAGAACAAAGATATTTTTATTGTTTCCAGTCCCCCTTTAATTCATCGCATTGTAAAAAATATGACGGAGCGCTGGAATTGTGTTTAGGCTATTGTTCCAGCTATTGTTCTCGTTAACCAATCCACAACGAGACAGATTGCCTTTAATGCTTGATTACTTTTCACATACGACTGAACAAAGGTTTTCAGTGGGAAATTCGAAGAAAAATTTACTTCCATAAATTAAAGAAAAATCAAAGATCCTGGCCTCTCAATAAACTTTAAAATAATCAAATTTCCCTTTTTTTCATACGAAACACCAAAACATCTATGAATCCATATCTCAAACAGCATTAGAAACCATTCAGAGGTCTTTATCGAATGGAGTTCGAAAGTGATGACGTCACAAAAATATATTTTTAGAATTTTTGAATTTAGATCCCATAACCCGAAAGAGCCTCATGAAATACCTCTAAATATGCAAAATCAGTCAAATGTGTTACGAATTGGCTGAGATATGGTCACATGTGTATTGGCTTTTCCCCCATCAAACCTTTATATTTTGGTCTCTGTTCATAACTCTATGAACAGAGCGAAAATAACAGTGATTCGTTAGCAAACTTCAAATCTTTCATTGGCAATATCTCAACTGATTTTACACATATTTGACTAATTTTGCATATGTGGAAGTATTTTATGAAGATCTTTTATGCTATGTGATTAAGATTCAAAAATTCTAAGAATAGGTTTTTGGTGACGTCACACTTTAGAACTCTGTAGATAGCTTCTATGCATTATTATCAAACACGCTTTGCTTGTCTTCTTTAAATATCTGACTTCGTATTGCCAATGTTATTTTCAATCATTTACATCAATTGTTTGAGCTTAAATTGTTAAGATTTTCAACTACGTATCTTAATATTTATAATGTTAGTGTAAATGAAGCTAGAGACAAAACAGAGTGAAGCGTATAACTCACAGGGTTCGATTGCTTCTAATGGTACGAAATATCCTCCAACAGCCGACAAACTTTCTGTCTTCGTCTCTTCTATCTTCTCTTCTGGTTTTTCTAATAAAAACAAGTCTACAATGAGAGGTTTGTAGCCATTAAACAAATGAGTTGTTGTGAAAACTGAGTGTGTATTTGCGGCAAATTTGGCCTTAAACCCTGTAAAAATAATTGACGATTTTCAATTCTTTGTCAAACAACGAATTTAATCCTAGATCCTACTGTTGACCTAAACACGCATGAAGTTACAAATTCAAATATTTGGCATGTGTTAATTTTTCTGCGACTTTTACCTAATTCTAACTTGTTTTTCTGCAATTTTATGCTGAGGCCCAATATGCGTTGCTATATCCTCCTATTTCTATGGCGATATCCATCCTCTGCTCGAATATAGGAGTGTTACAATGGTGAAATACATGTTATATCTAAATAAATTATACTCCATGTAACGATTCCTACAGCCCACTTTCAGATTCGGGAAGTTTTTCTTCTGATTCAACAATAAATTGAATGATTTATACCTATTCGAACCATGTTTTTTTCGTGGTTCAGATAGCCTAGGCATGAAGAATCGAATTCACAAAAATTAGATTCCTGAGAAACCTGACGTGGAGCACAAAAAAATACCCTCTCTTTATCACGTTTCCTTGAAAAAACCAAAGAAAATCGAGAGCAAAGATGGCCTCGCTTCTCGAGCTGAGGGCCTAATAAGCCAATATTCGCTACAAATAACTGCAATTTTGTTAATCTCTTTATATAAGAAAATATTCACAGAAGTTTGAAACTTTTTAGAAGTTGAAAAGGTGAGCCATAGAGTGCTTCAGTACGACGTCACAATAAAATCTATGTATAAATTTGGATTTTGACCACACAACATAAAAGAACACAATGAAATACTTCTGAATATGCAAAGTCATTTAAATATTCAATAAACGGGTGAGATGAGGTCAATGAAAGATTTGAAGTTTAGTAAAGGAATACCGTTATTTTGGCTCTGTTTATAAAGTTTTTAAGAGAGAACAAATTACAGAGGTTTGATGGAGAAAAGAGATGTTCACACGAGGCCATATCTCAACCAATTTGTAATGTCTTTAAACTGATTTTGCACCTTTAAAGTATTTCATGATGCTCTTTCAGTTTATTGGATCAAAATTCAAAAAATTTTCAAAAATATATTTTGTGACGTCATCATTTAAGAACTCTATTCGTGTTGGCTTACGATTCAAATTACTTGAATGAAGATTATTCTGAACATGATTATCATCATCTAGGTCCAACAGTGACCCGGCTTGTGTTGCCTTTTTTGTATCAACATTTTTTGCTTCATCGACTTCTTTCGTCCTTTTCACATCTTCCTTTTTGAAATCAGCAAAAACATCAAATCCAAGAAGGTCGTTTGCCGGGGCTCTGGTCACCCCCGTCGTCCCCTTGTTCTGAGCTGCACCACCGGAGGTTGTGTTTGTTGGCCTAATTTGCTGCGATTGTGGCATACTGTAGTTTTTTAATACCATATTCCCCGATGGCATCATTGGTGCAATGCTACCCATGTTGCCAAGATTTGCATTGAATTGATTGTTGGGGTAGAACTGCCCCTGTTGGGGAACAGCCGTCTGTGGGGGCAGAGCTGATGCACTTCCGAAAGCACCCCATTCATATCCTGCGGAGGCCTAAAACAAGAAATCCCACCAGCGTCATCTCGTAGGCATTTCATGACTATTTGTTTAATAAAAGTTTAATTGGACTAAAGGAAATTTTCATAGAAATTCGTTGCAAGAAAGAGCGGTTGATTGCCAATTTAGTTTCCTGAAGCAAGTTTCATACTTCTATATTTTCCTTCAAATTTTACGAACACCTTTTTTCAATTTACATCCTGATAACTTATCTCAATTGCGCTAGATCAACAATTTCAACATTTTCATGCATGTTCTTACTACAAATTTACTGTACATTATCAAATACATAAAATATTTGCATTAAAGACCACAGGCGATCTCCAAAGAAAAGTGACAGGTTTTCAGGCTCTGGTCAATTCAACTGAAAATTTCACTGAAAACTTCCAAAATTGAAGCTCAATAAAACAATCAAATTTTTACTGGCCGTCTTCTTCAGTCACTAAAATTTTTTTAATGAATGTTCGAATCGCAGTGAATTGTTTACACTGCACGGGTATACAAAAACTGGCTATATGCCGACATCTTCAAAACTTTTGCAAAATTATCTTTTAGATTCACAATTTCAACAGAATTTCAACAATGATAAACCTAGACAAGTTTATCAAGCTTGGAACAAAACTAGCTCTATGGGTTTACTCCCATCCTCCCCAGAACAGAAGGGGGGGGGGGACGTGATTATAGATTATAGAAAATTAAATGGAACAGAGTCAGCTTGTAATTCGAATATCGAAATCGACACTCCAATCTTCTTTACGACCATGGCTTCAGACGATTTGCAGAGGCCAATGTGTTGAAGTGAAAGTGGTGAATTGTAGGATATCGTTTACTCTATTCCAAATGATTAATCATGGTCATAAACATGAGCTCATATCGATTAATTCCCAGATTTATAACGGGAACAGATGACAAACTAAAAGATGGACTAAAATCTCAGCCCGTGTTGAGCTCAGCAAGTGTTGAGATTTCATATGTAAACGGCCTAAAAGAAACTTTGGTAGAAAAATTGCGACGAAGCTTTCATTTCAACCGATGAATACCGGTACACTGAACTTACTTGTGAATTGATTGTATTAATGCTAGATGTCGGGATACCATCGTCAAGGCCTAGATGAAAAATCAAATTCAGAACTTAAAAGCAACAGTCTCCATTTCTTAAGGGTGCCATTCCGGTCATTGTCAACTGTATTACATGGTTTCGAGTTTCTAATTAAGCTTGCAAAAACAGCTCACGAAATAAAAGCATATTTAGCGAAACTGTGCATTAAAAAATGCTTTAAACTAAGTGACAAAAGGTACATTGCATAAGGTTTTGAGAGTTCAGGTGTTTTTAACGCAACAAAAAGATCTCTCTCGACACATAAAAATGAAGATATCGAAAAGCAGTTGGTAGCAGGAGTGTGTCCGTCGGCTTCCTTTTCCCAACGGTGTGCAAGGACTTTGATGCAGTGTGATACTTGTTCCGCCTAGCCTTTCTTTTTACACATTTAAAGTTAGTTTAAGTTACCAATGGCATATTAACGTAAAATTACAGTTTATTTTAGCATATAATATGGTATTGTGCAAAAACTCAAAAATGCGTCCAAAAGTTTTTTGGTCGGAAGCTTTTCTGTCAGAAAGTTTTCAATCTTAATCTATTCAAACTCTAAGAAAAAACAACTGTCGATTAAAAAGGGAGAAAAAGAGGCAAGTGGGAATCGAAACAAAATGCTTTGGAAAGGGTAAGGATATAAAGAAGGGAAAAAGGAAGGAAGCCGAAAGCAAAGGAGAGGGAGATAAAATTAGGTGGGATAAATTAATAAAGAAGGGGAAGAACTAGGAAGGGAAACAAAAGAATAGGATAAAAGTTTAGCTTTAAGTCTGGTTCCATATAACTTTTATGCGTCAGCAAAACGTCGGTGATGCATCACCGACAGGTCACCGACGGCTAAAAGTTTAATGGAAACACTCCCACAAGGTTGTCGCCGACGTGCCGGCAATGCCCTACAGGAGTTGAATCCAGTTCAACGTTCAACTTTTTATGGAAACAATGCATCGCTGACACGTGGGCCACACTAGCCAATCAAAACGATTATCAATCGCCATGCCCACCTGTTACGCACAGTTTTAATTAAAAGGCCCCTTAAGGGGTTCACGTAAAAGCAATATGGAAACCAGGCTTCAAGGTTTGGAATATTTAGGTTAGGAAACGGATTAAACTGGCAAGGGGTAGGTGGACTTGGGGAGAGATGCCTGATTGCAATTAAGAACGAAGTCAAATTTTAATTTATAACCTACCAAGCATTTTGAACTGCTCATCAAGAAATGACGTAGATGACGTTTGCTGCCTTGATGCATTTGTTGGAGGCTGGTCGTCGAAACCGAGGCCAATGTCAAGCAAGGAATCTACCGAGTTCTGCGGCTGATTTGAATTTTCTAAAACAATAAGAACCACGAGATGTTAGGGGGTCATGCACCGTAATGCGGATAAGGGAGACTGCTGCACATGGAAGTTACAATGCCTGCACTAATTACCTGAAACACCCGACAATTTGCGTTGTATTATTATATTTCTATTTCGTTTCTAGAACATTACTACTTCCACTTCTTCCTCAAAATCAACGTTGATAGTCTAGAAAAACATCATAGAAGTTTGAAGGAAAAAAGTACTCGCTGATCTCCTTCTTTGTTCAAAAGGAGACTATTATCATCCCTCCTAGGGTAAGGGAGGGGGGGGGTTGGCTAAATTCGCCTTTAAAGATTGACGTCAGCATTCCAAGATATTTTGCAGACATTGCAGGTGTGTGTAAACTGGCATGTGATACTTAGGCGATACGTTACAACCCTTATCTTCTCAACCTATTTTTTTCATTTTCTTGACACTTCCGCGCTTTAATATAAAATTGTTATTATCAAACTCTAATCAGACTTTCTCATAACCTGGTTATTCCTGGTTGCAAAATAATAGCATTAGTTTGCGACTATTATGAAATACAATAAACACCTGCACACATGATAAAAAAGGTTATCAAAAATAGCGGTGCTTCTCAACATTATTGTTTGCTAAATATCTGCTACAAATTTGAAAAAAATCAAGCTCAATTCTCGCACTCTTTTAACGTCAGTTGGCAAACCCTTCATCAAATGCTCGGAGTTTGAGCGTCATATATTCTGTTAATTTAATGCATTGATACTGATAGTCTTTTACTTACTACAAGTCTACGAAGATGATCACAAATATGTTACTTTTAACAACAAATACCAACTGGACAAACAGTTACAATGGCGTGCCTTTAAACATTTACTTGAAAAATGTTGTACCCTATTACATTAAATGGCTTTAGAAGATAGACAAGCCTACCAATTGATGGCTGCACATTTTCTGAAGATGCATCAGTCGATTCCGTTATTTGTTCCCCCTGTATAACTACACGCTTGTATTTGTCAATAGCTTTGGTTAAGTCATCGCTCAATGCCAAGATTTCAGCTATGAAAAATAAGAAGGAAAGTAATATATGTTCTACCAACAGTACATTGAGATGGCCCTACCAAATTGCTGATGTTGAGAATGTACATAGCTCTACAATATTTGTACTCACTACATAAAAGTCTACAAGACTGTAAGGACATAGTTTTACATGCTTTGGTGAGTGGAATTTAAAAGTTACGAATCTGCTAAAAGCCGAAGTCTATTCAATAGAAAACACAAGAAGCTTTAGTAAATAGAAGGAAGAGAAGGATCGAGTAGAGTGGAAAGAAAATGGACAATGAAAAATGAAGAATGTCCGCTCGACCAAAATGGTAGAGAACTTAATTTAGAAACAAAACAAAATGACAAAATAAAATTAAAATAAATGCAGAGAAACTTAAGGTTAGGTTAAATTGTTGCATAAAAGGGAAAAAGCCCCTGACAAGAAAGATAAAAGGAAAAACTGCTGTAAAAAAAGTAAAAACTATATAAAGAAGAATTAGATGAAAGAAAAAAAAAGAAATTATAAAATAGGGAAAACGGCCTGATGAAGCCAGGGGGTGAAGCAAATGTTGAAGATAGGAATACGGACAAAAAAAGGATGACAAAATCGTGTATACTTACATAGAGTATCATCTTTATCCTCAACGCATTGGCTTGCGATCCGGAACAGTTGGGTCCTCATGCTTAAGCAGGCTTCATAAAGATCCTAAAGCAAACATTTAAAAAATGATATTTAATCTTAAACATTTTATGGTAATCGATCACAAAAATCAGAAAATACCCTTTGATTAGTAATAAAAGTTTTTGTTCAGCGTAATTGACCTTTTTCTCAATGTGACAATACCTAATGATTCTTACGCATTGAATTACAAAAAGCTGGCGACCCTTCTCATTGTCAGTAAAAATGTGGTGATGATACTTGAATCTTAGGTCCATGACTTATGACTACTGAACCTTGGAGTTTTAATCCTTGAATTAAACCTAAATGATAAACCAGACATGACTGAAGAATATATATGTATAGTTTCATGCTTTAGAACTTTGGCAATTTGGAAAGTAGGTTGGAAAGTGGGGGGGGGGGGGGGGGGGGATGCAAGGAAGATTTTAACAATCATAAGAAAATAATTTTTAAAAAGCTCTATCGTTTTGCAAAAAAGTTGGGGCCATGGACCCCCCGTCTCCACTTCGTCGAAGGCCCTGCTAACATTTATAAGAACAAATTTACATCCTATAATTCCATTGCTTAAACAAATGAAAAGGACTTCAGCGAGGCAATACTCCTTACTTGCTGAAGATGTCACCTGGAAAGTGAAAGTTTGGCGAAGATGACGTCACTTACCCTCATGACAACTTGGTCACTCTCAGACATGGAAGGACTGTATGCATCAATCATTTCGTTGAGCAAATCTACATTGTTCGAGACTGTTTCGAGTTCTTGAACTCTTTTGGAAAATTTCTCTAGACGTTCCTCTTCCTATAAAAGAAAAAATAAATAAAAAAAAGAACTAAACACTTCCCTTTTATTTCCCTCCCCCCTTATTCACTATCCCATTTTCCTTTGCTACATTTGCTACATTCCTTCCTTTTTACCCCTTTTCTTTGTTCCTGCTTTTGCTTGACTTGGCTCAAAACTTTGCGAAAAATTCGCTTCGAACTTGGCATTGGAATCCGATTCGAATGTTAACGGACATTGACAGCAAGCTTAACAGAACGAGTGTAAGGGGCACTGCACCATGTTTGCAAGGGACACTGCACCATGTTTGCAAGGGACACTGAACCATGTTTGTAAAGGACACTGCACCATGTTTGCAAGGGACACTGCACCATGTTTGTAAGGGACACTGCACCATGTTTGCAAGGGACACTGCACCATGTTTGCAAGGGACACTGCACCATGTTTGCAAGGGACACTGCACCATGTTTGTAAGGGACACTGCACCATGTTTGCAAGGGACACTGCACCATGTTTGTAAGGGATACTGCACCATGTTTGCAAGGGACACTGCACCATGTTTGTAAGGGACACTGCACCATGTTTGTAAGGGACACTGCACCATGTTTGCAAAGGGCACTGCACCATGTTTGCAAGGGACACTGCACCATATTTGTAAGGGACACTGCACCATGTTTGTAAGGGACACTGCACCATGTTTGCAAGGGACACTGCACCATGTTTGTAAGGGACACTGCACCATGTTTGAAAGGGACACTGAACCGTGTTTGCTGATATACTTGTCTTGAAGTATAAACTACCCGTCGCAAGCTTCTCATATGTCAAGTATAATACCACAAGAGCTCCAACGTAAGTCAAAAAGTGGGGGCGGGGGGTAATCTAGGGCAAACAAAAGACTAAACGAAATATTGTAACAAATGATGGGGAACATTGCCCTGGTCCCCCGTCTTTGGGGCATTGTACAAACCGAGTGAAATGGTCGCGCGACGAGTCGCGCGATTGACGATCGTCTTAAAAATCGTCTAGTGGAGATCGGCCTCAAACTACCATCACTCACACTGCCTGACATCATAGACCAGATAAGGGTCACAGAAAACTGGCTACAGAAAACTTACTTGTTTGACCATAGTTTTGATTAGCTTGTTTGCTGCTTGTAAATCTTCGGGGTTTTTGCTCTTTAACAACATGGCAAGTAGCTGAAAGTGAAATAGAATTACCAAGTTATGATGTGTTTCGAGTTCATTGGTGTAACAAGGGGAAAATGTAGGGGTGCTGTAGCACGGGGGGCAGCTGCTTCCTTTGCCTTCAACAGATTCATTTCATTTATTTTGCTACAGTTTTGCCATTTTCTTGGCACTTTGCCCCCTTGCCCTACAGCTCTTCTCACCTCTCGGGTAAAATGGATCCGAAGAAACTGGAGGTTAGTTGGAACAGAGGTAATATCTGATACACCCCAGGAAACCGAAACCTCCCAGGACAATTGAAACCTTAGTACCACAATTCTTAAAAAGACGGCACGTTGTAAATGAGCGTGGCGGGTGTGATAAAGAAGCAATGTATGCCGTGGTGAGAAACAAGTTCGTTTGTTCTAATCAATGAATGTTCATGTTACAAAATCTCACTAGTTCTTTGTCTTCTACGTTGTTCTATCTCACCGTTTTCATCGGTCTAATTCATCCGGATTCATCAATTCAAAATCGGTTTTGCCTCACATCATTGCCTTTACATTTGGCAGCCGTGTCGTTAGCATAAAGCTTTATGTCACTCTTTTCTGCTACTCTGGCCTATTCTATTATAATAATTTGTTTACAGTTTTAAAGCCAAAATTGACACTACTTTTAAACATAGATGCTGATGGAAGACACCCAATTGGAGCTGCTTAAAGATGATAGTTAGAGTATATACAACAGAAGATATAAATATAAAATATGATAAATGTAAATTAAATAAAGAATTACCTTTGATTTTTCTTCATCGTCTAATGCAGTATTTGAAGGCCGATTTGCTGGTCTTTGCTGCAGGAACCAATCAAAATTAGACAAACTTAGATACGAAATCTAAAATTAAGTGATGCTCAAAAACAGCCATATTGTTTGGACATGGCCTCGATTTCAACAGCAGTATCCTTAAAAGGCATCGAAAATGTAGGATCGTGTTAGAAAAAGGGAATATTAAAGATAGCACTCTTATGCTTCTTAAGACTGCATTTTCAGAACGTCCAAACATTCATTGACTCAACTTTGAAGCAACATTGCAGATAGTTGTGGTCATGCCGATATCACATTCGTCCAGCCATGATTACAACCAGTGGAATTGCATCAAACTAAAACCTGTTTAATTTCACCAGAGACATGTTCTCATTAGATCTATGGAGCGTGCTTGTAAAAATGAATTCTTGATATACAGCAGAAATTGTAGCAAGCAGAATCAAGGTAAACTAGGAAACTGCTGTCAATTTTTATCTAAAAAGAAGGATACATGCGGGTTCAAGGGCATCATTGCTAAATAAAAATGGCAAGAAAAAATAAATCAACCCAAAAAATACATTTTGCAAGGAATTAATAACTTGGAAATTGCTTACTGTTGCATCGTCGCTGACAGGATCTCTCTTGATAACACCTGTAACATAAAATATGGAAACAATTTTTTCAGAAAAAGGTAAATAGAATAATAAACAAAAATGGGAGGCAGGATATTAAGCAAACCTTGTTATAAATTGAGCGTCACCATTGGGTTTGCAGAATCAATAATTCCTAAATAGGTAACAAAATCTAAAGAGTGAATTCTCAAATGAAACAGAATTTGCTATCAGATTTCATTGGGAATAGAGGTATCTGTACACCTTTTTATCTTTTATTTTCATAGACTTCACATTTCTATACTCCTGCTATCTACATAATGAAATAAATTGATAAGTTGTTATATGCTAGCTTGCAATTTTACAAGACACTGTAAATTTTTAGCGGTTAGCTGAACCGTTTTACATTTATTTCCAAGGAAAATCTACTTTATGCAAAAACTTAGCCTTGATTTCCCTGAAAAACTATGGACAATGTAAGAACATGAACATGAAAAATGATCATTTAATTTTAACAACTAATCAATTGTACTACTGAAAAAACTTGCAAAACTGTTTATTAGTTGCATTAGAAACATGGTACCAAAAATGGTCAAAAAATAACATTGAGTCTCTGCAAAAATTATTTGGTTCTTATAGGAATGTGTATGGCAGTATGATCAACAGATGATTTTTATTCTAGGGAGTTTTAAAAAAGACATGGTATGATATACCTTGCTGCTTCAGCATCCTGTATGCCTCTGCAATCTTCATCTCAGATGGCAAACCCACATACAAGTTGTACATTATTTCAGCCACTCTATCTTTGACAGCTTGAGATGTAATGCCTCCGTCATACTGTTTATTTAAGGAAAAATTACCAAAGTTACTGAAAATCTAAGTATCTTGCAACTAAAAAAATAAAAATATAAATAAAGTGAAAACAAAATTCTGTTTTCACAACATGGATACCTAATGCCTTCCCTGATGCAAACTGAGTTGAGAGCAGGACTACAATCAACACATGTGTCATCATGATTGAGGCTTGAATTCATGACAAATCCTTGTAAAGAATATTTTCAAACCTCTAAAAGAGAACTGGTCAGGTGAGGGGTGGGTGGCAATTCATTTTTTACTGACAGATAAGGTAGAAATGGGCACATTGGTGATAATTCGTTGTATTTGGCTTGTTGGCACCATAGACAATTATTTTTTGAACTTTTGAAACTGCCTGTCGAAAGTCATTGCCACACTGATCTTTTTCAAATCAACTTAATTCTGTTGTTTTACTTATGAGTTTGAAAGTCTTTTGAAGAGGTGACAGCATTTAAAATAAGTACCTCTTCCATTGAAAGTGCTACTCTCTTTTCAACATGGGTATTTATGAGTTATCAATTACTTGGCAAAAGATTATTAGAGGATTTATTCAATAAAATTACTTAAAGATAAATGAAAACCAAGCTGTTTTTTAGAAAAAAGTTGAATTTTGCAGGCTTGCAATCAGTACCAGGCTCCATGTAATTGGCTTAAGTTCAATCTGAAGAGAATCTTTGAATCAAATATCAAACATCCAGTAACAGGTAGAAAATTTGCCAGTTAGCTTGTCACAAAGAACTTTGTCACAGGAATTCAATCGTGCAGAGGGACATAACTTACCAAAAAAGAAATTGCACATAGAAGTTCAACTATAATGCAGGCCTTGCTCTAAGCAAAATGAAGGTGCTCCATGAAAAGAGCCCCTTAGAAACTCTAGGCGCTCTATTTCACACCTTTAAATAAAATATCCTTGAGAGCATCCTTCAAGAGCTTTGGTAGATCGAGAGCTTCATATCGAAAGCTTTGGAAGAGTGTTAAATAAGAAATTCAATGGTGATACCAAAAAGCACCATAATATGAAATAACAAAACATGCAGCAAACACTATGTTAATACAAATATAGAAATATAGGAAAACGCATGGCTTTAAGTCGAACATTAGCTTTGTTTCCCTTTTTATGCTATTCTTTCTATAAGACACACTAGAACATCTACTATTCACGAAAGCAAATGAAAACTGAAAAGCAATGCGGTAATTTGGACGGAAATGTGATGTCTGATTTGCAAAGGTGATTTTAAATTATTAAGAAAAACAGAAAACAATACTTCAACAGAAGATTAACGCTTGCTCGAAAATCAAATAAATCTGCCGGAGATGAGGGTTGATGGCCTGTGACCTTGGTGGTTATTAGAGGGTTATTATATTAAAAATGGTATCGAAAACCCAACGTTGAATTTGCTGAATTTTTTTCTCAAGGGGTGATCTTACGCAAATCATAATATTGCGGTCTATTGGGAAGATTGTTTATGCTTGATCAAGTTTATTAGACAAAGGCCAAGAAATTATTTTGCTTCGTGGTAATATTGTTTTGACGTTTTGAGGGGCTCTTTAAATCGCTCTCCAAGGCTTCTTTTGGGTGCGCTCTAGGCGCGCGCGCTCGATCGAGCGCCTTTCCGGGCAAGGCCTGTATAATGTTAACATCTCATGCAAGAGAACTCAGAAATAAAAAATAAACAAGAAGCGAAACCAACAAAACAAATTAACCACAATACACAAACCTTTGGAGAAAGGAGTTTTATTAATTCATTCAGAAATCTGTATTTGCCAATTTCTTGATGGAACCTTTGCCCACAGTTTTTCACACATACTTCTAACACCTATGGAGAAGAAATAATATTCATTTTCTCAAAGGAAACTGGTAGGACAATAGATCATAATCTCTACTTTCAGAAAACATCAAACAACAATGTAGTTTAAAACAAAAAGCTCTGGAGACTTTTTGAAACAACTGATAAGATCATAAAATGGTTGATGGAAATACTTTAAAACATTGGGCAGTATTGATATAGAAAACTTGAAGGAAGTTATAAAACATTTTAACTAATTTAAAAAATATCTCATCTGGCATAGATTATCATTTTTCTGCAAAGATTAAATTGTTAATATTTTGTATTAGGATCCACATCAAAGAGAAGTGTTTTTCCAATAACCTGGATCACTAAATAAATAATGTTATGAAGCTAATGATGATTACTGTTAACAAGAAATATATATGGTGCTCAATGACATGTAGGCAGAAGTTTGGTATCTAGACTAGGACGGTTCTGAGATGCAATTCTAACTTCAACACTAAATGCAATCATCTAGCAATGACAACAATTCTAGTTGCAAAAAATATTCAACTGCTAAACTGACTTACTGTTAAAGTTTGAAGGGTAACAACTTCCTGGTGAAGACTTAGCTTGTGTGATATAAGTTTAACTGCTCTTGCAGGTCTAAAAATGAATACAATCATTACATGTTCATACAACAAAAATGAATACAACAATTTATTTCTCGATGTTCATACCAAACTCAGAAGATTTTTTCCCTGAATCAACTATTACAGTTTCTCAGAAAAAAAGAATTTTCATAAAACTTTGTTCATAATACCTGTCTAATTTCTGTAAATAAAAAATGGCATAGATGATTTAATACAGTAAGCAAAAAAATTTAAAACCAGAATGAAATCAATTAGTTTGATAGTTAAAACCATGATGTTTCAAGCATGTGCTTGTTATCAAGAAATAAGAAATAATGTACATCCTAACTATAATATTGCTAACTATATTATCATCATTTTGGATGAAGTACCACATGCAAGATACATTTTTAATTGGATTTTTCTAGCATAGATGACTGCTTATCAACACAACCCAGTGGTCAAATGCCAAACATCAAACAAAAATATTGTACAAATAAAATATTGTACAAACAAATAAAATATTGCTCAATTAAAATTATAGCTTTAATTCCCTTACTGGTATCTCTACACATTTTTCCTATAAAATCCTAAATACAGCATCATAAATTTTCAAGCCTATGGTTGGTATCACTAGAACATCATTACATGTCTCCTAAGAATAATCTCAAAATGCACAATATTATTGTTACTTCAAAATGCTATAGACACTAACTGATAGTGATGGCAAAAACGAACAACACAAACCCATCAAATTCCTTATTTATTTGTTCAGCAAAAACATTTGCAAATGTAGTGTTATCTCCAAAATTTTTTGGGTTGGTTGCTTTCTCTGTGAACAAAGAGAAATGTTCAGTTAATTTTCATGAAAATATTAGATAGAATCATCTTACCAATACTGTAAAATGGTTATATGGTTATAAATATGAAAGTTTGTATAAAGTTTGTTTCCAATGGAACAAGCTATATTTTCCAAGATTATCATTGAATATTGAAGGCAATTACTAAAAAATGTGCCATGGCTTTTGTTTTATTTGTTTCTATTTTCAAACACCTTCAGTTGAAGATCAGGTGGTACGATCAGTTAAAGAAGGTATTTTAAGAAGAATGGAAAGACACAAGATCCGAAAGATGTGTGGAGTGAAGTTTGATGATAGAATAAATACAAAAGAGTTGATGGAAAGATTAGGATTGGAGGACAAAATTGTTGAAACTGATGGTTTGGTCATGTAATAAGGAAAGGTGGTGAAGACTGTTTTGGAGATTGAAGGCAGCAGAGGGGGAGGAAGACCAAAGCTGAGTTGGAAAGAAATGATGAAAAATGAGTGTCATAAAGTTGAATTGACCTTTCTGGACACGAACAACCGATTGAAGTGGAGAAGCTACACCAAATCATGGAACGAAAGTCAGTAACCCCCTGAAAAAGGGAAAATTCGGACTATAATAAAGTGATGATGACGATTATGATGATTCAGGGGAGCCCTTCAGCAAAGAAGCATGGTATATTAACTTGATATCAAAAAATTGAAATAAAAATCCTTAGAGACAGATCCTTTGGGGGGTTGCTTGTTTACAATCAGCTGAGAGACTGTTTTAAATTTGCGGACCTGTTGTGGTGCTTTTCTTCAGTCACCTTGGAACAGTTAATGTATTTTCATTCTGTGGCTTTTATATTTGTAAATAGAATCTTTCAACTCCATCATTTAATTTTGCTTTGGAAAGGGCATACAAAATCAAGAAGGTGGGTTGAGTTGGCCAAAGAAAAACAGCTAGAAATCATACTTAAGTCGTGTTGAGTCGGACACATGGCTTTGATAGCTCTATCTTGAGTTTTTTCATGTGTTCGTCAGCTGATTTAATTGTATATAGGGTTGTTTTTTTCTTTAACGTTCTTATTGTAATTTTGGATTTAATAATTAGATTTTGAACAACTTACTTAAATGACGTAACGTGTAATTAATTGATTTGCTGAAAAAATGTTTTGAGTTTGAGTTACTTAAACACAGAAATACAAAAGCCATGGTTCATTTGCCTTGTCAAGCCCAGTCCTGTACTGTTTTCACCCATAATATACAAACACTACCAAAGAAGTCAATAAATCAAAACTCGTTAAAAGACAGTCTACTTAGAATTGCAAAAAGGTATTCTAATCTCGAAATTAGCGCCGTTCAATAATCATTAGAATACGATGAGGTGTTCCTAATTCCGCGGTACACAACACTACCAATAACACAGCATACGTAATTGTTAAATATCTCGTTTAAAATGCAAACTTTTTCATCCAGATACTGTAAAACAAGCTTAATATTACCTACTCTGGATGGCTAAAAAGCACAATATGATATTAGGATAACAACTTGCAAAATATCAAAGGAAAAACCTACCCAAAATGTCTTCCAGTGTTTCCGCCATTTCTTTGGGTGACCATTTGATAAGTACTTCGTGTAAGGGGTCGAAACAGTGAGGCAGGAAGCACTAAAGGAATTTTGTTTTTTAGCCTTATTTTTATATCAGTTTACAAGGTGATAATTTATTCTTGATATTTAACTGGTGCTCGTCTCCATTTCTCCTTCGCTCCCTAACCACCAGGAGTGGGACTATAAGGGTATCATAGAAGGGCCTCCGACGTAAGGGGGGTCGGGGGGCATGCCTCCCTACTTTTTTGCGAAACAATAGAGCCTTTCTCAAAATCTTTTGTTATGGGTATTCTTGGGTATTCAATTTTTGCGGTTCATTAAACTCACCTCCATCCCCCACAATGTGACCCAAATAAGTCAAATTTATTTTCTATGTTTTAATTCTAGATTTACAGTCATCCGAAAATCATCGAAAAAATCTAAACCATGACAACATTCATGAAAGCTTAAATTAAACCTGTGCCAAACCTTACTATCGCCTTATCACACAGTCCCGAACGCGCCTATTTGCCAATGAAGGCATACCTTTTCGTAGGAACGTCGAGTACCTTTAAAGCCTTGTATAGTGTCCAGTACAAGATGTGAACCTATTCGTTTGTGATTAATAGGTAAAATCAAATCCTTTTTGCTGTCGTAGTCTCTTTTCTGTAGAAAAGGTTCAATGACTAACTATATACGAGATTTTCGTAATTGTAATTCACTAAACACATTGATTACTCGTATATTTGAAAAGACACTACGAAAAGCTCAGCATCCAGTGTTTTAGATGCCTAATACAGAAAAGTTTATTCCATTTTCACAACTATTTGACTTGATACTAATGACACTTCTTATATGAATTATTGCAATTCTATAATAGATGTCACCAAATTTCTCTATGCTTATCAGCAAAAACTGAAGCAGGATGCGAAGTTCGAAGTTCGTATTTATCAATAAGTGATAAATATATTTTCTCTCTTAGTTAAGCTACCTGTATAATTTCAAATGCCAGAAGTAAAATGTTATCTTGTTACCTGTACAAGTTTTGAATGCTGGTCGGTTTACATGAATAAAACTGCACAAAAAATCTTCTCTCAACGGCACTCAATTTTTCTTAAGCAAGATGACAAAAAGTTATTCTTTCTGACATGTTGATACAAGAAACTATTGCAGTATTATCGAGGCCAGTGGCGGATTTAAAGGAGGGGGCAACTAGGGGCAGTTGCCCCTCCCTCACCAAATTAAAGTAAGTCTGGCGCCCTTTTTTAGAAATTGTGCGCCACTTTTGAAGAATGAGAATCAGGTGAAAAGTTTCTGAGACATATCGGTTAATTTACTTCAAGGAGTACCTCAAAGTATACAACAAATATTGTGATAAATCCCTTACAAAGTGAATAGAGAGCCTTCTGTCAGTAGTAAGGGTCCGAAATTGTTGTATACAGCGTACTCTCGTCACCAATTTTTGAACAATTTTCAGCGCCCCCACTGCCAACTGCCCCTCCTTCAAATTTGCTCTGGATCCACCCCTGATTGTGGCATTGCAAAGATATCGTTTGATACCGTATCGTTTCGTATCTGGCAACATGGCTTTTTTAATGAAAATCCGAAAAATGCCATGGGTATCAAAGCAGGATAAAAAATCTATTCTTACTTTAAGGACATCTACCACTCGTTGATAAAACGAAGGGCTATAATCTTCTGTCATTTTAGGTAAATTTCTTACTTGCGAATTCCCCTTACTAGTTTCCCATTTCGGTGTGAAAAGAATTAAACATCACAAAAATCGAAGTTTGATCTTATGCCTTCAGTTAACTGCCACAAAGTCAGTCAATGTGACAATAACATACGTGCGATGAAATGCCTCCACTTACTTTAGAAACAAAAATTCATCCAAAAAAAATTAAATGTGGATTTCTGACAGTATACTATTGAAAAGGTTAAAAATATAAACAAAAACAGAGATGTACTGTAGGAAAGACGTTATTATTGAACTGGAGCGGGCAAGAAACAACGAATTCCTAATAAAAACTCAAACCCGTCTTTCCATTTAATTCCTGAAAATTTTAACAACAAACCTTTGCAATTATTGGAGTAAACAAGATCCCATATAACTGGCAAATGAGTTATTGTGGAGCATTTTGTATGAAAATTTGAAGAACTGTTTTAGTTTAAAGCAGTAAAAAATTGTAGATGAAAAATTTACCGTTTCCTAGTTCGCAACAACCAAAATGAAACATTCAAGAGAGAACAAAGAAAACAAAGTTCATTTTTACCATAAATGTGATCAAAAAGGCAAAACTGATATGAAAAACAGGGTTTATAATGTCGGGGTATACATTCTGGGTAACAAAACAGCAAATCCTTATCTGTAAGTAAATTCAAAAGTTCCGTTAATTGTCCATACAATTCCTTGAAGGGATACAGCTTGCAATATACAGACTCTTTATACCAACTGCCTTCAGCCTTGAATAAGAGCAATATTCTGTTGCATTCGTATTCTGCCTTTTAACGTCGCAACATAGCCACATATCTTAAGGGCCGGTCCGAGTTTCATACCAGCGAATTCCATCAAGGATTCTCGCGTTAACAGCAACAATGCACTGCCATCAATCTCCTGGAGAAATAAGATATGAATAAAACATGGAAGCAATATCAAAAGAGTTTCAGGGAACTTAGAAGAAGACAACACGAATACTTCTGCCTGTAACTGCTATGAAAACACACGGGAAGCAAAATATAGCTTTAAAAACTTCCAAAACAATAAGTTTCACATTAGAGCCCATCAGCATAATATACATTGATCTAAATTTTCCGAATAAAATAAGACATTTAGAGAGTATTTTTTACAATAGCCTGAAGATCCCATTATGCGTAAAACTTAGCGTAGCAACTTAGAATCGTTCGATTCTTTCTGTTCCCAACAATTCTGCCTTTAAGCTTTTGTGAAAATTTGGTAAAAAGCAGCAAGAATATATGTATGTTCTTTCATCTTATTTCCAAAGCACATTATTACAAAATAACTATTGTAAAGTAACATGTCAAAAAGGCCTAATGGTCAATTCCTAAAGACGAACCTGGTCTTTGAGCGTCTCTGCATACTCAGAGCAATCAGTCGCGTTTAAAAAGCTGGCAACATCTTCCTCGCTCCATGAAGCGGGATTTCCTGGCAATTTGACTTTATCCAGGGGGTCCGTTAGATATTTTGTAAGATTCGCTGACGCAGCTGAAAACGAAAAAGAATAATTTAGTTACATACGGAAAATATGGAGCAAATTTTCAAACATTTTTTCAAGTTTTTTGTTTCAAATATTGTATACTGCGCTGGAGAACATGATCTAACAAGAATAGGAAGCTAATTGTTATAAATCAAATACGGAATAAACTCGGTAACAAGAACGCTCTCAACATGAGTATAAGTAGCGTCTAAGACAATACACCTTTTACGGTTATAGTCCAAAAATGGAACAAACTGTTAAAAGTACTTTCTTAATATGGTGTACAACACCAATGAGATTAGCCTTAAAAGGATAAAACCTCTTAAGGTACCAATCCAAATGAGTACGTTTATTAATAAAGATATAAGTTCTATTAAAGAATTATACTTAAAAGGAACACTCTTACATCCCAAATATGAAAAATATTAAAACGAATTGTTGATTGAGATTAAAAACTGACGGAAATCATGAAACAAGAAGCTTGGTCATTTTCTAAGCTATTTGAGATGCTAATTAGAAATGCTGGTCAAAACAGCAAAGAGCTGTTATGAACAGGCCTAAAATGTTAAATCAAACTTCAAACCTCCTAGCAGCTACAAATATAGACAATCACAATTAATACTTACTACTTATCTTCTTTTTCTTTCTTATTTTCGCGTCCTCTGAAGCATCCCAGTGGTCGAGCACAAATTCATTCTCCAGCCTTTTCCTTTTTAATCCATTCATTTCAATTTTTCCTGTATCTTGCTGTGAATGTTTTGAACCGTTTCCAGATGGCGGCGAGAGGCCTCTTTCCAAAATACTTTCATGTCCAAGACTCGCCTGTGCATCATAGTTTCCAAACCCACTAGCATTGGCCCTAAACTTTTCGTCTCTTAATTCCAATAGCCCTGACTGACCATGAATGTCACTGTCACTAACTTTCGGGTGACAACCCGCGGGTGTCCCGCAATCATAGCTTGCTTTTGAAACAGGACTTGCTTCTAAATTATAAATGCATGATTCTTCTCGAGAGATGGACGCCTGCTCCGGGATGTCTGTTGTTCTTCCCTGTGACTGCAGCGATGAAAACGACGGTCTTCTTTCGCGCAAAAACTTTGCTTGCTCTAAGGCTTGCTTGTATTTGACTTTAAACTGTGCACTGACAATTCCCTTTTGTCTCGACAGCAAGCGTTTCTTTATGCGTTGTCGCGCGTGCATCCCGAGGCCCTGTCCATGAGTCGCTTGATTCCCATTGCTCGCATTAACTTCACTTTCAATGACCTCATCTGAAAATTCTTCACAACCAAAGTCGCCATCCTCATTGCAATCATAATCATCATCATCATCACCAGATATTTCACCATAGCTCGAATTATTCGAATTATAAAACGAGACTTCATTGTCCAAACGAGAGTCTCCTTGAATCGTACTTTCCGTTCCATGTTTTAGTGCCTCAATCGTCCTGTGACGTGCCACAATTTCATTTTCATTTACTCTGTAATTCGAAGACTTCTCAGATAAATTCCCAGGTGACGTATTTTTCGGTGTGTAGTAGGCGACGTCTTGAAAGCTTTGTGAACTGTTAGACCTGATTGTATTTAATTTAGAGCCTTGTATTCGGACCGTGGTAAGCCCAGAAGAAAGTGGCCCGTTATTGGAATCTCTTTGGAGAGTCCTAACTGTAAATTTTCTAGTGACCCCAGAATAGGGCTGATGACTGATTTCCTCTAATGACGAAATTGGAATCTTGTGGTGTGATCGATGTCCGCCACCAGGGATCCCATCTTGAAAGCGCTCCCCGTGTGATCCTGGCTTTGAATATATGAAAATCGGTTGTTGCTGATGTTGCAGTGGTTGTTGCTGTCTGTCCTTACTGAAGCTATGACTAACAGGTACGTATACAATCTTGTCACTTGGCTGTGTTTTCACCGGTATGTATGTGAGCGTCATGGTTCCATTGCTAGCAGGGGTGCTGATATTCGGTGAAAGAACATCGGCAGTTAGAGTACCCATCTCACGTGACACAACTTGCCCATTTGCCAGGCCGTTTGCTGCATCTGAGAAAGTTTTGGAAGATATTGGGGTGCTAGGGTGGTGAATAACACGACCCGACTGGCTAATAACACTAGTGGTTGTAGTTACCGGTGTGAAATCGAAGTGCGAAATCACTGTTGATGGGGTAAGGTTAGGGGGGCTTCGTAACGCAATGGATCGGTGCTGTCCAGACGGTGCAGGGCGAAGGGGCGGTGGGCTGTGTAGCGGGCTCAAGGCTGACTGTGAACCACCAGTATTGGTTGTAGCAACTTTAAGGTGATTTTTCATGTGGCTCGGCAGACTGCTTGGCATGTGTCTTTTCATTCCATGGTGAGAAACGATATCGTATTTCATAGAAACGTTAGTTTTAATTGGCGAATTTGGGGACATGTTGGAGTGGACAGAACCGTCCATTTCATCATCGACAATATGCATTGATACTCCATCAGACAGCAGGGACTTTGTTCCATCTTGGATGCCGTCTTGAGACATGTGATGGTAGGTTGAGGAGGCCGGATGGTGAATGTGAATTGTCGGACTCATTTGCTGCACAGGAGATGACTCAGATCGCTGAAAATGGTGGTCTTGAGGCTCCATCTTAATTTCGATTGGCGGTTTTATGGCCCCGAACCGCGACCCGTGGTTGGTTGACAAAGAGTCTAGATTGCCGCTACGATAAACGGGGAAATCAGATGCTATATTTGAATCAGTCTCGTATATCTGACTTGGATTAGACTGGCTCTGAGAAGGAATGTGCAGAGCTTGCCCTCTCTGTAAGAATTTCACCCCGTTTTCGATCCTTGTTGATGATGACAGGACTTGCTTGAGTTCAGAGCTCGCGGCCATTGGGTTCATAGTCCCTGGCGCTTGGTCGAACATAGGACCATGTATTTTGATCGTGCCTTGAGCTTTAGACCTTGAACTACCACCTAAAACTTGGATCTGGCCTTTGCGAGAACTCGGAGAGAGAGGTAATCGCACCCCCTGGTTTGCCACATTTCCTCTGAGGGAGAGTAGACCCTGTCCTTGGTGAGTGGTTCCCGGGGGTTTTGTCACAACTAGTACTGTCGCAAGATTTGGGGATGTGAGGGATGGTGAAGACAAGTCACTGCCTGAAACAACCGATGACTGGGCACCGGGAGGGAGCATCCTCACGTTGACGGGGGTAACCATTCGCGATTGCGTCGCACTGGTAATGACTGTGTTTGAATGTACAGGATGAACGAATGAAGAGTGACTGCCAATTTCATACGGAGGTGGGGGCCGAGCATGATGTACTTGACTTGATGCAGGCATTATCGTGATCGGGGCTTTGGAGCCTGGGGCAATAGGAACTAATGGTCGGCCATTGTAAGATGCAAAGTTCTGCGAAATGGAAAGAAAGAGATAAGTTATAAAGAGTTTGGATTGACATCTTCATCATCATCATCATAATCATCATCTTAACATAAGCAAGACTACAGCTGTACAACTAGCAAAGAGCATCTAAGAGATTGCATTATGAACAGAAATACTATTACGATAGAATCAGCGACTTCTTCTAACAGTAAATATTGAAAAATTGGCTGCAAGTAGCAACCTTGTTTTGATACTTGATAATACTGACAACTTGAGGTACTAAACACTGAAAAAGTCTCTCAGTTGAGTGTAATGGGGCAGCCAGATTAAATAGTTTAACAACAATTTATAGATCACTGTTTTGCATTTAAATTCGTTCAATAATTATGACGTTTTTGGATTTATGTCAATTGGTACAAAACTTTGTTTAAGATTTAAAAGTAAAATTAACTTTTTAATTTGTAAGATTATAGTAGAGGGCCTCTTGCAAACCAACAGTACTGTGGAAGGGTTACCCTCCTAAAAAATTCTAATGTGAGAAGGGTTAAAATTTGATAGTTAATTTTGCACTAGAATGAGTCCACGAAGGAAGATTAAATCAAAACAAATATAAGAGCCCTCACCAATACTCGCACTTGGGTGGTTGCCACACTTTTGGACACCCCATTATCATTTCCAAGAACAAACTCCCCTTTCATACTGCTGACGTCATGTTTAACATCGTATTCATCCTTGCGTGGTCTTCCTCGTTTCTTCCTGTAATCTTCACTTGCCATTTTGAGCAAATCTTCTTTCGTTTTCATGTTGCGCATAGTGAAGCCTTCCAAGCTGGTCGCACCTGCACAAAAAGTACACAAATTACCGTAAGTGCACGTGCGAGATAAAAACAAACAATTTTTGTGTGCATGTGCCAAATTACGTCATCCCTGAAAGTTGGCACAAGTACTCAATGTTTATATTGTTGCCGTGCAGTTCCACCCGAAGTTGATCTGCCCCTTGGTTGGTTTCAAATAACAGCAGGCTCGTATGAAAGGGTTTCGCTTGACCAAGGTTCGCGCTGGTTACATTCACGTGTTCCAATCACGTGAATGTGGTGGGTTCTAAAATGCACGTGCTTTTTCCGACTTGCTGGTATTACAACATATGGATGCTTCAAACAGTCTATTTCCGGGTATGGTCATCGAAAGAATGAAGGTTGGGTCGGGTAGCTACAATCCCCCAACAATTTATGAGAATAATGGATGGGTAACGTTGGTATTCAAATAAAATAAGCACTCGTATCTTGTTCAAATCTTGAACCCAAAACGCTTTGAGCTTTGACACTAAACTTCATTAATTCCTTGTTTAATTTGCTGATCAGAAAAAGCATGCTTCTTCATTAAAGTTGGTAGGGGTGGCTTGAGCCCCCTCTTAAAATCCCCAGGGGGACTCGAGTCCACAAGCCCTGACGTTGTTGGCGCAAATCGTCATGAAGAAGTATATTTCAAACAAAAAACCGGCCTTGTATTTTTGATTGAAAAACTATTGCTGCCGTCTAATTTTCGGCTACAATAACGCTTTTATTTCATCTGATTCAGAATTTGCTTACTTGCTTGGGAAGATCACTTATCTTTGGCTACTGTCTTTAAAAACATGAATTTTCAAGATATCACAACTTTCCAGTAGACCCAGGTGTCGAATTGCTGACGTAAAGAGATGAAACAGCTTCGATTTTTGTTGCTGAATATTTGCGAAATCCTCTCTATTTTTAACAACAATTTTACGACTAAAGGCTAAAGGGCAACCACACCCAGACCACGCCCTAGATAGTCTCTCGGAGCCCTCGTTTGGTTGCTCTGTTTTCAAAGGAATCACACTGTCTGAATCTGATAAGGTGAGCTAAACAGACTCGAGCGGAACGAACTATCAAATTATCAAATCCATAACCTTTGAAAAAATAGAGTGGTTGCCCATCCCACAATTTCTTCAGCACTGCTTCGGCGTAAAATATTAACTCATGATGATGCAAAGAACAGGTTACGCAAACGGGTAGTTTAATAATAGATATTCTAAATGCTGCCTGGACGGATATGACCAGAGCTCAAGAAGCCACATGACGCTGCTTTGCAGAAACGGACCTGGCATACCTCCGGCTGTGCTTAATAACACAATGTCTTGTTTGTATTGCCAAGTATCAAAACACAAGGTCAGAAACAAAACCGCATTACCTTGTTGCTGAAAATCTAAGTTACCTCATCCAAAAACTCAGTGCTGCTTCCAAATATAAAGCTCAAGTTGCAGGCTTCATTTCCGCACAATCAAAGCAGGTGAAGAAGGTCTTTTCATAAACAAACCGGGGGTTCCTTGTCTACGGTTTCTTTGGTCAAGGACAGGGGCGAATAAAACGTTTTGCCATTAACACAGGCCGCAAGAGGACACTTTGTGTCTTACGTTATTTGTTTAATGTGGACAGGGGCTTGGAACTGTCACTCGGCATAAAAGGGGGCCAGTAAGGTTTGCGGCTTCACGGCCTTGACCCTATTTCTACGTGCGGCGTACGGATTGGGCAATGGATTTTCTGCAGATTGCGGCTTCAGCATAAGGTGTGTCTTTCGGTGCAAATTGGCAACGGCTTACGGCTTTGAGGATGTGGATGCGCTTTCACGAAATTATGCAGTCAAGAAATTTTGATAAGATTTGGACCAATGCAACAGCTTTTTCTGTGAAACAGAGCCAGAACGATAAGAACCTGTCACACAGCAACTCCCCCCTTTCCTTATAAGCAAATAGTTGGCATTTGTGTCACGGCACGTTTTTCAACTGCGGCTGCGTCTTTGCAATTTGTTCATCGCGGATTGCGGCTTTTGGCCGAATTACCGCTTTCCCCTGGAAGCACCTCCCGGCGGTTAAAATGGGATGACCGCCCTCAAACACTCAACACAGTCTACACTTTTCCTATGTTCATTTTATTCTTCGCAATTATCAGCCACGTCACAACAGGATACCATGAGAAGAGAGCACATGCGCAGCTGGTCATTATTTTTCGACGTGAATAATTACAGAACAATGTAGGCGTCGCAGGGTGGGGCCCGTAGAAGGGAAGATTTGTGACTCCTCCCATTTCTGCTCATTAGAGAGAAAAAATGCAATTCCAAGGTATAAGTATTGTATAATTTTGAAATATGATGCTGAAAATATGACGATTCGCGGTTCTAAAAAAACACCCAAGATCCAGTATTTACAGATTCTGTCCCGTCCAAAAGTACCAAAAAACAAAATGTAGAAAGCACAAAAAATTTGTGAAGTAGGCTCGCTAAGTTGACAGACATTTGGTACTGGCGTGCTTATGGTTGTACGTACGTACTATTTGCATTTGAATAACTTTCCCACGTTTCTCTGCTTATTGTAGATTACAAATTGTTGATAGCTTGAATGAACTTAGTATAATTAACCAGAAAGTAACCAAGAGTAGATAAAATAACGATGACCATATTCCAACAGCTATGCACATGAGGCCTGTGACGAATCTTACTCTGTACAGAAAGGAAAACCAGAGTGGAAAGCCACAATAAAACAGGCAGTTGAAGCAACAAGCCATTAACACCCTTACGCAAAAGAGATAATTGAAAACACGAAGCCCAAACCGAGTACCAATTTTATAACGCAGTGACGTCACTTCCGACAGCCAAGCACCCTCTAGGCATACTTGTGAAACATTTTTCTGCTGTACAAAATGTTTTTAGGTATAGGAAAGTAAAGAGACGTGATTCACCATGGATCTGGAAAAGTACTGCACCACAAATGTTGGTACCAGCTACCTTTTAAATGGGATGCAACGCAAATAGCAGAATTCAGGCAACTCAATTCACTGGTAGAGCTAGGTTACATAGCACCTTGGACGTTGTAAACTCCTGCAAGGTGCAGGGGAAGTAGGTAAAAGACAAAATGCATCTCTATACCATCCTTCAGCTAACGACCCTCGTTTCAAATTGACTGAACTTTCTTGATGGTTATTGTGAGAACTATTGTGCGTTGTACGTTGAAAGACGCAGAAATGTGACAATATATTTTCTTAGGAGAAGAAATTCAGATAGAGGTAATGCTAAGGTTGCTTAGGCCAGAGGAAATGAATCCTGAAATATAAAGCCAGAAATCTTTGCTGCTAGGGAATGTTTCATTGGTAGCACAAGGATAACCCGCTACAAAATAGCAGCAACTGACAGAATGTTCTGACTGCTTCTCAAAGACAAGATAACGTTAAAGAAACAGGAGAAGAAAAGGAGAAGTGAAAGGAAGACACAAAAGTATGAAGCAAAAGAATCTTCATAAAGACCTTTCGTCTCCATCGTTTCCATCTAAAAAACTGTAAGCTTTCATCAAACTTTGTTTCTGCAGAAAACATTCAAGTAAATGAATGATTCGGCACATTCCCCATGGGAAGAATTCTCATTTCTCTAAACAGTTAGCCACCCCATACCTCTGGTTAACTCTCTAGTTCCAAAAACACCAAGGTCGAGGTTAAGGCGCCATTTTTACATGAAAACGGAGTAGACCCTATCCATTATTGTCTTTTCATCACACTGCTCTACTACAAAAAATGAGTCATTTGCAAATGCCAATGAAAAATGACTCATTTGAAAACGGACCAGTGTAAACAGGCATCGTGTTCACCAACATAAAACAAGAGAATGGAATACGGAGTAGTGTGAATGAAGCCTTAGAAATACGCAGGCATAGGACTTACCTGACGTGCGGCAATCGAGTGGACAAGGCTCCTTCGTAGGATCGAACGACAAGAAGTATTCACAGCTTTTCAGCTTCTTGCATAGTCTTTTAAGAAGCCTGCTGGCTCTAACTTTAGTGTCGAAGCGGCAAAGGCCCTAGAGAAAAAAGATCAGGTAATCAATAAAAGAGAATCAAAAATGCTTTAACAGCATAAGCTTCAAAATGGTTTAAAAGAACGTTAGCTTAAATAAAAGGAATCGAGGGTAGCGGCAAGCCCTTTCTACGTGTTTTTCAAAATGGGGCAGAGTCTTCATACCTCAATAAAACGCTGTTTTACACCCTTTTTCAAAGGCAATAATTGCTAATGGGATGAAAAAACAATGGGTACTCTGAAGCAAGATGCCAGTATTTGGGCACTATACTAGAATATTTTACGGAATTGAAAACAAAATATTAAGACAATGATAGAAAGGATCGTATAAATGAATGCTCGTGTAATAAAATCAAAAACATTCTTACATAGAGTATTGGCGAATGCATATCAATGTTTGAATTCCAGCGAACGAAAGATACGAACCGGGTTTAAAAAAGTGAGAAGCATTGTTCGGATAGCAGACACGAATATCAAAGCTTAAATTCATTTTCTTATATAACCATAAGAAAAAATAAATAAAACGAGAGGCAGTAATAGACTCAAACAGAACATTCAGGTGTGTGTGGAACCTGATAGCAACAAAGACACGACGATCATGACATTTAAGGCAAGGATTATGAAAACAAGAAGCAAAGGAATGTAACAGACAGAAAGAAAGCTGTTCGTTTTGAGAAGAACGTAGAAAAGAAAAGGCGGAGATAAGAAAGAGTGGAATAGAAGCGAGGCAAATTAAAGTGATAAGGGTTCCGTCGAATGAAAACATGGAAGGGATATGATTAAAAATGGATGAAAAATAGACATGGTTTGCAGAAAAGTATTGGAACTATGATAACAACGCTACGAAGTACTGACGATAAAATTGAAAAATCATAGTGTAATATCAAGATAAAACAGGGAAACCATTCTATATAAATGAGAGGACTGACTTCATGGTGACTCAGTGACGTAAGAAAGATATCATTAGAACTGGAAAGGTTGCAAGATACCCAACAGCTGAAGGAAAAACACAAGCAAAGTGGAACAGAGGATGAGCTGGATAAAAACAGAGGAGGTTCAAACTGTTCTTTGGCTATACCGTTTATAAATCAAGCCTATGTAGAAGACGTTCGTTATCCAGCAACTTCATGCAGGAACTTTGAATTTTATGAAGAAAAACACCTATTCACATCAACTAAAAAGCAAAAAGTTATCGAAAGTTATTGTTATTGAACTGAAAGTTATTGAAAGTCTTTGTTTTGAATGCATGGCAATTATTCAATCTAGATGCCTCGTCTTCAGACAACGATAATACATATCCTTACCCTGAGGTCCTGTGAAGTAATGGGTAAACCCATTTTCTAATTTGTTTTTAGCTGTTTATATTTTTAAGTCTTGTATGAAAAACCATCCAAACTTTTTGACTAGCCCCCTAATGACTTTATCAAAGTGGTTCTTTTTTGTTCCATTTAACTGAAAATTGGCATTTCCGCAAAACCCGACGTTTTCGTCCAAGAATTTCAAGACAAATTATTAACGAAGCCGAGGAAAGCAAATAACAGTAATGGCAAAATAAAAAGTAACAAGCACTTGTGAATGTGGACTTTTGATTGAGTCTATCGGTACTCGGAATGCGTTTCTGGTGGGAAAATGCATGCATCGACTTTGTCACCTCTAAGGATTCATGAAAACCTTTTGTGCACAAGCTTCGACAGGTAATAGAGAGCAAAAAAACGAGAAAAACAACACATTTTCACCAAGCCTTTTGTCTAAAGAATTGCAAGTCTATGATCTTCATGCGAAAAACAGCTGCTCTGCTCCAGCTAATGGGAGACAGCTATTATTTTAACGATAGGAAGCAATTCGAATCGACTGTAGTTATTGGGAAAGCAAAAACATGGGCGTAGCATTAAGATTAGATAGATAATGGCGTCAAAAGGATAAAAGATAATGACATTCTGTGTTTTCATTTTTTGACAAAGAAATGTTAGAGCAGGTACAGCGGAATTCCGATATAACGAACCCCAGAAATAACGAACTTCCCGGTATAACGAACTTAATGTCTGGTCCCTTGGTTTCTGCCTAACAAACACCTTACAAATTCTCTCGGTATAACGAACCCCGATTATAACGAACTCTCGATATTACAAACCAAATTCTGGGTCCCTTCATCATAATTACCCTCGAAATAACGAACTTTTCATAATTTGCACGGAAGTTGGAGATTTCCTAAAAAGCCAACCGCAGGTTTTTTAGGCGTAACGAACTATTTTCTGGTTCCATCCAGAGTTCGTTATATCGGGATTCCACTGTATGTTCTTTTAAGAACGGATGATAGAGTACTGGTTTCAGCGAGTATTAGCTCAGCAAACCCCGATTTTCAGGACTCCATCCGGGAATTTCAAATATTGAGGGTTTTTTACTACTTGTATTTCCGTGTCATTTGTTTCCAATTTTCATACAAATTCTTCATAAAATTCTGAAACATCCGAGACCCGGCACTCGAGACTCACAAATTGCGATACCCTTCCCTGGGGTACCCTTCCCTGGGGAACCCTTCCCTAAACGCGATACCCTTCCCTGGGGATCTTGGTCCCACAATTATGTGGAGAGAGAGCACTTGCCGAAGGTACACACTCTCCTAAGGGAATAGTAACAAAGCATTTTGTCCCACTGAGAGCATCTTGATCGGGAGATCAGTAAAGAAAACAGAATAATTCATATCCGAGAACTGGATGATGCTCCGGAAGAAAATGAAACAAGAAATCTGAAGCTGGAATGACAATTAGAAAAATTGGCAACGCACCATGTTCGAATGTTTATAAACCTCAAAATGAAAATGTCAACCATGAAACTGTGATTTTTAAATGATATAGCTTGCCATGACAACACCGTGAGCTGCACTGAAAGCAAATAACTACAACTAGCAATTTAGGTATATTTAATTCTTTTGAGACCTCATACTTCAACAGTACTGCGAACAATCCACAAGGCAGCACAATGGCCATACTGCCAAGCAGCAACAGCAACAACAAAGATGGATAATTTTCAATCAATTGAAGAAGAATATTTTAAAACGAAACCTCGTGAGCTTTAAAAGGGAACAGGTTAAATGAAAGCGGAAGCTATTGCTCACAGATTTGATTTTCCTACAAAACTGAAACAACAAGAAAGCGAAAGCAATAGTAAAAACGTATTCACCTTGCTTTACATGATCTGCTGTGAGTGCCACGAAATTTCAAAAAATTCTCCGCCAGATTTGCCCCTCGAAGTACGATAACGCTTAATCTAAACTCAGACAGTCACAGCTTTAAACTTTTGTCATCACAGTTAAAAACTTGGTTTTAACTTCCCTGTTCAACAACGCAAATATAAAAGAAACTTTAAGCTGTCGAATGACGGCGATCGACGCACCTCGTTTTCAATATAAAAGCTGCTTGTCATTGAATCATAGTAGAGCCGGTAAAAAACACCTGTGGTTATTCACAATTAGTCTGCAAACGAGTCTACATCAAAAAGTCTCGTATTTTTACACGATAGGGGAAGAGACTTAACTGATACTGTTTTAAGCTGTTTTGATAGGTTCAGAATCAAGGTTCTTGTTGATACTGAGAGTTTCGCAGAACGTTTAAGTAAATTGTAAGAAGCGATAGGAAAAACCTGTTAATGCTCGAGCCATTGAATAGCGAGCAGAAATCAAACCACCTGTTGACAGCTGAACACAAAGAGATTCGTATTCGAAACTCAGGGGTACAAGGAATGCTAAATTCTAACAAAGGGACCTATCTTTGGCCATAAAAGGAAATACTTTTCCAGAAAGATTGACACGTTAATAGAGGCTGTAGACCTAACGAAGACCTGACGATGATTTGACGGAGAACGGACGAAGAGCTGACGAAAACCTAACGAAGACCCGACGAAGAACGGACGAAGACCTGACGATGATTTGATGAAGTACGGACGAGAAGCTGACGAAAACCTAACGAAAAATGGACGAAGAACAGACGAGAACCTAATGATGATTTGACGAAAAACGGACAAAAAGATGACGAAAACCTGATGACGACCCGACGAAGAACGGACAAAGATCTGGTTCGACGAAGAACGGACAAAGATCTGGTTCGACGAAGAAGCTGATGAAGAACGGACGAAGACCTGACGAAACTTGACGAAGACCGATTAAACTATTCACAATTCAACAATGTACAGAAAGCAAATTCTTTTTAAAACGTAATGATGACAAGAAATGGCTACCCATCCACCCCCTCCCCTTCGGTTTCATTTTTTGTATCATTTTAATATGTTTTGGTTGCTCTTCGATTTTGATTGCCATTACAAGCAGCAGATGGAGGATTTAAATGTGTGTTTCAGCATTGAAATTTCGAATAACCAAGATGAAAAAAAATCGGTTAAAAACACTGCTTGAGTATTTTATCGAAATAAAAAAAACTCCTTTGACTGGGTTTGATAGCTCAGGGTCTTAAGTCAATATTGCCGTGGAAGAAAAACATGACTTTCTCGTCTTGGAGAAAAGTTTTGTCTTTGGTAACAGGGTATCCATTTAAAAATGGCCACGTGAAAGAAATTACCTCTAGCAACATAAAATCATCAATTATTCAATCAAGACACATGTGGGAACATTTGAAATCTTTCAAATCAATGACATTAAAACACTGCACTAGGAAACTACTTTAGAATCTCGCATTGTATCGAAATGACGGGTTACACAGATAAAAGTGATAAAAGTGCAATGGTACTTAGTATAGACAAAGGTTCTCCTGAGAAAGCTTTTCGAGATCGTATGAATTATAACATTCAAAAAATTGCAGCAAAGTGACACAACTTTCCTAAAGTTGCATATGTAGGAGAATCATTTGTGGATGCAAGAAGCTATCATTCGTTTTCTGAAGAATCTCTCGAAAGTTAGGCCTTGACAATTTCCAACGATTAAAGGAAAGCTTCCAAATAGCAAATTGCATGACAATCTTGTGATCTCCCTTTCTTTGCTACTGTCAAAGGGCTTTTCTTGCAATAACGCAAAAACTTAAAGCTTCTCAGAAGAAAAATCTACAGGCCTAATATGACCCTAACAACACCACAAAAAATTCTCAAGTTGGTAAACACAACGAAAGCAATATTCACCTTCTTGAGGACTTTACTCTTTCCCCTGGAAAACAGCTTTGCGCAAAACCCGTCTTGCAAGGCGTCCATTGTTTCGCTTGGATTGATGGCAACAGCTATGAGCCGCTCAAGGGCCAACCTCACTGCGGCTGGGGGTTTCGCGGTCGCAGTGGTAGCCGGCATCTTGGCAACTTTCTCTGGATCAAGAAACGGTCCAATGATACATGACTTGTTGAAATAAACACAGTAAGCGTCTTGTTTTTCTGGATCTGTCACAGAAAATGGCAATATTCAGCGTAAAACTACAAAACGTTGAGAAAGCTGACTACATTAGTTAGCCACTTAAAAAAAGCTAACACATAAATAAAAAATAAAGCAATTTTTGGTCTGTTCAAACAGAATTAATGAGCAATGAAAGCAGGATAGACAAAACATCCCCAATATGTTTCTACTATCAACGTTTGCCCTAATCCCTTTTAATAAAGCTTTGATAGTCACTTTTTGATTTTTTCATTTATCCCCCCCCCCCCCTGTTTCCCTTTGTAACATGACTATCAAGTCGTACAATTTATGGAATTATTTTATTAAGTTCATTTAGCTTCGCTTTCAGTTTGATACAAAATTTGTGTAGTCATTTTATGAATAGCAAATCGAATAAAAGAATTATACTCAAGAAATTTCTTCGAACTGGTCAGCTAAAGTTGCCCCTCTTTCTGGGTTTAATACTTTTTAAGAGTTTGTAATAAGAAACACAGGCATTAATAAGCAAGAATACATCCAAAAGGGTGTTGCCGATATTTTTCGGTAGTTGGCTGTCGTTATAAAAACTCGTTCGGGGATGCAACGAAGTGCGTTCGCAACAGATAACAAAATGCCTTATGGAAAAGTTCCGAATATGTGTAAACTGCGAAATAATCTCACAAAAGCAACATAGAGGGAAACTTTTCGAGAAATTCTAAAGGAAATGTCTTTGGGTAGTTTTGAAGTCACACAGTGATAAAGATTCCTAAAGTTGTCAAGACAAGGAAAAATCACTGTCCATTTGCATTCACATAAAACAAAATCTCACCTTCCTGTGTTTTGTCTTTCACGATTTCTCGAACTGTTGGCGTTGAAATGTCATTAGCCACTGTCGTTGACCTACGTAAACAAACCAGCGTGTTAGTACCATAAAGAAAGACGGTTCATATGTGTATATGTTGAATCAACGAGCAAGATATCCACAATCTCCACAATGCTTACGTGATCAAAATACAGATTCAACTTGGTTAGAGTCAATTGCATTTATTTTTTTAGGACTTGGCAGTTATTCCTTAAAATACAATAATATATTTGTCATTTTAGGGAATGTCTTGAGAATCTTACATCTTGAGAATCACATCAAATGAATTTTCTGAGGATAATCTGCTAACAGTTTTTACATTCAAACCAGGGCCGTAGCACCTATTGTTCTCCGGGAAGGGGGGGGGGCGAGCACCCCCACCCCAAAAATAAATATTTAAACCTAAAACTTTCAATAACCAATCCCAAAAATGGTGTTCCCTGTTATGAAATCTTTCCTACGGTACTTCAAACCCATTAACGACCCCCTTTTAACCGCTGGGGTTATTCTTACCCCCAGTTCTCCTGCAGTAACTTAGAGGCAACCTAATAACAACATCAAGCAATGACGAATTTTTATTTGATATCAACGAGAGAACTGTTTGCATTAACAGAGGAAGAAACAAAAGCATACATATTTTCTGCCTTGGCTTTGAGCTTCTTGTTCAACTCCTCTGCAAATATAACGAGAAATTGAATAACAAACGTTGGCTTGGAATGAAATGATTACCAACATCAACCGCACAAAATTAATTAGTGTGCAAAACTCTGACTGCTCGACTCTAGAAGGTAATGGAGGTACATTGCCTGCTAAAATTACTTGGAACACCTAGCAATTTACGCTTTTCTATTATTCATTTATTTTCCCGGATACCTCCTTACCCCCTATACCAATGTTGAAAGTCTAGACCAATTACATACAATCAACAAGGTAAAACAGTATACATATCTCCTTCACATTTTATAGTAAACCAACATTGTTCCTAGGGAGAACGGGGGATATCTGAATTGCCTTTAAAAACTGACGTTAGTACCCCAAGGCTTTTGGCAGGGATTGTAGGGTAATTTGGCAGGCTATAGCACTGGATAGTGGCGTAGGTGGCTGTGACTGGACAGTGTCTTACAGGATCCTGCATAAAATTATCCATGCTTCATAACGAACTGAGGGACCTTGTTTGATTCACTCACATTTCGCAAGGTGCGAGAATGGCTCAGTTGTTAGAGGCGCTGACTACAGACACAAGGGGCCGTGGTTCGAGTCTCTGGCATGACCAAACTTTCACCCAAAGTGAGGAGAGTCGCCAGCTCTCTGTAATTCCAGGCGTAGGAATCACGAGGTGTGATCACATCGAAAGAAAGGACCAGGACACTGTTCGATAAGCATAGCGTTTCAGTGTCCTAAAAAACTACCTTCGGATGCTAGGTAGCAACAAATACAAATACAAAAACATTTCGCAAGTATAAGCGGAAATCGTGAATAAAAACAAATCAACAGGTTTGTTCTAGATTCCATGAGAAATAAAAACCCTGGATATAAACATTGCTCAAACAGATGATATTTCCCAATTAGAAATTTACACAAATTACCAACATTTCTATGTGTGAATGAAGAAAAGGCCACTGTAGCAGGCTGCTCGACGGGCTCCAAGGAGTTCTTGCGGCGAAAAGTCGATAAAAATGTAGCAAATATGAAACATCGCAATACGCCGAGAATAAACAACAATAAATACACGTAAATTAGTGAAGGCTAACATTTCGCCCCGGCATACGGGGCTTAAACAGAGCTTTGCCAAAATTTTTCTATGCTTGCAGCATATGGTTAAAGGAGAAGAATATCCAATTCTTAGATGACTGTTCAGCTGAAGCTTGTCGTGGCAGCAAAAGTGTCATTGGCATATAATTGTTTCAGTAGCTACTGAAACATATTGCGTTTTAGCTTACATATATAAGGCTCCTGGCAGTCTTTTTTCAATAAGTGTCTCGATGTGGACAAACTGATCCATTGCTTCTCTTGGATAATGCCCCCTTCTGATCCCCCAATAGAAGTCTCTAGAGAGTTGGGGAAACCCAGGTCTCTCTCTTTGGATCACAGGCATAATGCATAGGTTTTTCAGTTTCTGCTTCCCTGTCTGCCATGTTGTTAAACGTAATATTTTGACAACCACCGAAACTACAATACCCATTCTATCGATATGTCAATACTAAATGATTTGAACACAGATTCTAACCAAGACATTTTACGGAGACATATGATAACTTGCATATGGTAAACTAGAAGAGGGCTAATCGAATTCTGAGAACAAAACGAAAAGGTAAATGAACTTGCCTTTGACATGGGGCCCTTGTTTGCCCAAAACTGTGTGAAATGATGGCAGCGTCACAAATCTAAAAAGGATAAAGGGGATTGTCAGAGAGACTGACCCGATTAAATCAAATTTTACATAAGAATTCAGTCTTGTTGGAAGTATTGGCAGAAGCAAAAAAATAAAAGTTAGATACAGTTACTCGGTAATTCGCTTGGTTATATATAACATTCTAAAAAGGTTATAGTTTTATAACAAAGATAAAAAGGTTATGACAATCAAGGTATATGCTTGCTTGTTGATTTTTCGATTTCTTTATACGCCCCCAAGATTCTTTTCCCATATTTCTTCATACACCCCCTAGACTTCTTCATACGCCCCCCCCCCCCCTCAGAACCAGAGCTTCTTAGAATTCCCATTTATTAATTTTCACCTTGAAATATAGATACGAAACAAAAAATAATTCTAGATACAAGAAAAAATTGTCTATTTTCAATCTTCGTTCTCATTGCCTTTCGTATCTGCTGAGATCTACGTTTAATTCTTTCCCTGGTTAATTAGGCCGCTAAAAGTATTCAAATGATATAATAGAATAAAATAATGAATTAAAGGATAGAGGCAGAATTGTTGACACTCACCGATGCCCACTTTCGTCAACAGTAAGCTCCACCCCGGTTGCAAAATCTCCTTTTGACGCGCGGACTGACATAAAGAAAATCAGAAATATTGTTTTCTGTTCGTTATCATGAAAACAGGCAACATGCCTTACTTCTTTTTAGAATTGAAAAGAATCTTGTTAAAAACAGGTCATAGTAAATACAACTATTTAATGTTTAAAGGTAGAATTGGTGCATTAATATAGGCGCCACTCTCCAATCACAATCCAATAGTTGGTCTCGAAGTGAGTACAAAACCTTTCGTAACGCATTGACAAATATGTTTGCCCGATCCGAGAATTTGTTTGTAGTTATCCAAACCCTAAATTACAACGGGAATTCTTCGCCTATTGTTCCTAATTTTTTCAAAAAACCTCTAGAGAATTCTTACACTGTTGCCAACCACCCGCCACAGTGGGCTAACACATGCAGGTTCAGGCTAGATACGAGACAGAAATAAGGGTTAGGGGCCAAGAAGGCATTAGAACCTTGATACAAAAGAACAACAGCTATGTCGGGTTACAGACCTTTCCCACAGGGCAACCTCTAAATATTCACCTCCAATTAAGGGCAGTCGGAACCGGGGGCTGGAAACCCCCAATAATTGTTTAACTGTGGTATATTTCTTTTATAAGAGTGTACTGAATGAGAAGGAACACAATGGGCACCCCCCCCCCAAATGTGAAAATCGTTTCGACAGCACTGCAGTTCAACCAAGCATTGACATACCAGTTCCATTGGGTGTGCAGAGTGGATGACCGGTATTCAGAAGCCATTCAACAGGGTAGATATCTTCACTATCACAGTCGACGTACTGGAATTTGCCTTGTCCATCAAAGAGCAACAGAAGTACGCGTCCAATTATGTTGAAAACAGTGGCAACACGCACCAAATGTGGCTCCTCAAGATCGACTGCCGCAAGCTTTTCTCCAACTCTGAATGCATTCTTCACTCGCTGTTTGAAAAGAAAATAGTCAAAGAAACTTAACATGGCGAGCGAATCATTTGATAAGAAGGTGCAGTGTTACGCAGCCGACAACGAAAAGCCCCTGTTAGGCCTTACCTTGTTGAACAGGCCGCATGGAAAAACCTTTTGCAAACAAACACAGGAGTTAATTGCCATATCTTAACATACAAGTGCTTGATTCAGAAGACGAATCTTATTTGGAAAGATTTAAAAGTAGCACGAGCAATCGATGGAGGTTTCGCCAATCATGCCATCAAGGAAAATTAATGGCAGAAAAATTCCACTAGAAAACATCTGCAACCTTAGAATTATAGAAGTTTGCCCCGGAATTACAACTGGTTTTAGTCTGATGACCACCGTTCAACGACTGAAAAGTCCTAAACGTCTGGCAGTTTTCAAAAATATGTCTGAAAATTTGAGATTACAGAAAAAAGGGCGGCTAAAGATCGGGAAAACAAAAGAATTACAGCCTACACCCATACCATGTTTTGTTACATGGACAAAAGATTGATGAAAAAATTTATGGATTATGGGGAATTTACCAAACAAGTCTTTGGCATAGCAAAAGTTGAAAATGGCATGAAATGGCAGAAAAACAGCTAAAAAAGAGAAATGGCGGAAACAAAGTGCTTCAATATGTCATGTTTCCGCTTACTCGAGCTATCTTCAAATATGTGGAATTTTTACATACTCTGTTCTCACTATTGGTAGGTGGAGCAGACTTTTTGCGACACATGGCAAGATATTTCTCCTTGGTCAAGCCACTACTGTCGACATCTGAAAAACAGGAAATTCATAAAAAGAAAATAGGATATAAACAAAATAATTAAAAGAGTTTACTTTACTTTAAAGAGTCTCAAACAAATCAATGATTATGATTTCTCGGTAAATTCTTTAGTCGCATGACACTCACACGAGGGCAACGCAAGATCAATGCTGTTCTTTGTAGACCAACCAAAGCTAAAAATGCCTGTGCTCTCGCCTCGCCCATAGAACGTGTGTGAAGGGAGATTTGGAAGTGGCTCCGTAGTCACTTGGTAGAGATAAGGCCCCAGGCTCTTTGTGATTGTGGCTGGACAGATTATGCTCGGTCTCCTAGGGTGAATGACTTCTACTTTCAGTCCAGCCTGGAAACTATGAACTTTGGCTTGCGTTCTGTTTTCGTTCTGAAACACAAAACGACAATCATAAGCAAAGCATTTTTTGTGTATCGTTTTCTGCACGCTATGTGTTTTACAAGATGAACGGAAAGCATCATCGTATAGCGAAGTATTTGCATTCATAACGGAAGTTACATCGAGGTTGCAGGCAGAAATATTCGATTTTATAAGGAGGATAAGGGAGTTGGAAGCAAATACGAGTCGCGTAAAGAAATATATAAGAGTTTGTCGAAAAATCAATATTTAGCAAAAAATAGATCACCTTTCAACCTCTCTTTTGATACCTTAAGTATAAAAAGCAAAAAAAGATTATGTTTAAGTCGAGGCACACCAAAAGGATCTTCTTTATTTCTCTATAAGGATAACATCAATTCTCTTTCCTTATCGTGAGGTAAAAATCATAGAAAGAAAGAGCTTCACAAACCTCCCTAAAAAGGTCCATCGGTGCAGCTAAGGCTCCTGTGAGTGTTTTAGTAAGGAAGATTTTCCAGTCCTCTAGTGTACTGCTTATACCTGAAAAATCAAAGAAAACTGAGGACATGGAACAAACAAGATCTGTTGAGTATAGGTTATTTTGCTGTTATTCGATGCATTCGCTCTTGTTTCGTTTTAAGGTGGGGGCGTCATCAAATCATATTTTTAGAATTTTTATACTCTGAAACAACACCATGAAATACTCAAATAAGTAGTGCAAAATCAGTTGAATTTCAGCTTTTTCTCATCTTCATCAAGACATTTTCAGTTCGACACTTCTAAAGAAAATTAAACGTCAGACAGTGCCAGTAACATTATATTAAACAGGTGAACATAAATTTAATTAAAGATCCAGATGTAGAAAAGCGCGATTCTTGGTCAGAAAAGCAGAAATGTTTTTTCTAGATCGAAAAGTGCGTAAAATTTTCATAATAATTGTCATCCCTTTAACGGAGAAAAGACGGACCAATCACTGTGACGCCGTTTGACAAGATATTTGCAACTCACCCGTAGGAGGCTGAAGCGGGAAACTATTCTCTGCACACCAACCAATAGGGTACAGCTCCTCCGCCTGAAAATTGCACCAGAAGTCCTGACTATCGTTGTCCCCAAAGCCATCATATCGAATTCTAACGCGATGGCCAACAATTTCGATTACAGTGGCTACGCAGTAGTTGCATGGGTTGTTTTTATCAAGGGCCTCCAGCTTCATTCCGGGTTTTAGACCTTTTACAGGTTTTGATAGCTAAAAAAATCGAAAAGATACTTTATTTACATACATATGTCAGAAGTAGGAATTTTGTAAACACAGACCAGAAGGCAAGGGCAACGACAACTACTGCTTCACTATGGAAAAAGCCAGCTTCTCTTACGCCACGGAGTCTCCAATTTCTGCTAGAACAAATGTAAAAACGCGTTTGTTCCTGGCTCGAAGGTCTTTATCGAAAAGTTGCTGATGATACTGATAGGGGTTCTGTCCAAATTCTGTTTCAAGCGGGCACTGGTTTAAGAATACTGAATGTTTAGTTTGGGATGCATTTCCAACGCAGTGAGCAAAATACACTCTAAAATCGTAAGACACGGGCGGAAAGGTGAGGCCTGCTAAGATAAAATTATTGCGAATTTCACAATAAACAACATAGAACCTGTATTAAATTGAATGTTTTCCTTAAATACAAAACCGCTTTTGGTAGACAAACAAGATTTCTGCGGTATAAACAAACGTCGCGAAATTTCTGATAGTTACGCTAGGCAACTTCAAGCTTTGAAGGAAATTTTTTAGCCAGAATCGCCAATTGTGAAATGCGTGTAAGGTCCCATCTCTTCGATGCCTATCAAATCTTAACACGAGGTCTATATTCAATTTATTATCCTACTTTTACTGCTCCCCTTTTAACCTGGTGTTTAATTCCCTCGACACCTCCCCCCCCCCTCTTAAAATCGCCATTCAAATGCATTGTTTTGCATTTTTCTCTGCAAGGAGATATTTGCTTTCGGCGTGATCAAAGTAGTTTTCTATTTTCGGCAACCATTCGTCACAAATAATCAATGAAAAACCTTTGCAACGTCAGTACGAGGTAGCTTCATGTGATCAGTCTCGAGTCCACCAATCGTTTGCAACGTCAGTACGAGGTAGCTTCATTTGATCAGTCTAGAGTCCACCAATCGTCTTGAAGCACGAAAGTCATGTTGCTCTCCTTTCATGATCTCTCCATTTATCACCAATGGTGCCTTTAAGTACCGGAAAAGGCAACTATTTATAGAAATGCATTTTCCGTCCAATTCCCATTATTTACCTTTTCAGCCGGCGGGAAAATCTCTGGGTTCTTACAAGTGGGTTTTGAATCTATTCTTGACTGTGTAATTTTACATCCAACAAATTTTGACAAGCTATGGCATACCTTGTTAAAGTTGATCAACATTGCAGCACTTTTAAGCATCTCATCTTGGTATTCCTTCCAATTACATGGTGAAACAGCTTGCGTTTCAGCCTCTGTAAACAAATATATGATCAATGGTTACTATAACAATGAATTTATTAGATTACAAAACAGATTTGGGGTCACATTGATACAAATGGGTTTTATCACTGCCAAAAAATCAAAAGAAAATAACTAAAAGCAATTGAGGAACAGGGTAACTTTGCATAGCAACTTGAACTTGAACATTTTGCAGTCAAAGAGCATTTGAAAAAGAGGCAAATCACTCTATGGGAATCCGAAACATTTGATGATGATGTAGTGCTTGTTGCTTTTGCAACATTTTGTGCAAGAGTCCTCTCCCCCTTGTTATTTTGATAGCAACACACCCCTGCTAGAAATTTTTTGCTGGTTGAAAAATTGTGTCACACATTTGGTAATACCAACCATTGGTTTGTTTGGATACAGGATCGATTTTGTCAGGTGCTGCCTTATTTGTTGCTCTTCTTGGTTCTTCAATCACCACACCCCCGGTAGCTTTGATTACACTATCCTGTCGTACAGCACTATTTCCATCATATTGATCATTATTGTCATCATTATCCCGGTCATCATCGATAACTGACTACAATAAACCAAAAATAACTGACGTCAGAAAATTCAAATGAGAGGAACACTAAACAAAAAGATACATTAAGAAAACCATACACTACTGTGAGATGTGTATTTTCTATTGTAGAAACACCTGCATATAAGAACCCATTAAGAAAAAAGTGGTTTATTTTCTTATTACATTGGTCTTTTGTAATTGCTTTTTAGAGCTGTCTGGTAAGTCATAATTTAAGATCTTCAATCTTTGTTTTATGTGTTGATTCTGTTGTAATCCTGATCTCTACACTGGAAAAGTTAACTTTTATAATCTTTTCTTAATCGTCTAAACAGGAACCTTTTTAGCCAAATCAGAGTATACCATCAGAGTATACCACTTTCTTGTCTACAGGTTCTTACAACAAGCAAGTTCTTTTAAGAAGGCATTTATTTTACAACTAATGTTTCCTGGAACTTTTTATCCAGATACTCTGCTGATTTATGGTACATAGATTTGGAATGACTGTAGTTTGAAAAAAGTTGCTTTATTCACAAAACATTTGTATAATGTTTTCATTTACGCATGTGGTGCAATAATAAAATGGTATAAAAATTATCTTGCATACATGGAAATTTTTCATTGAAACTTTACAGAGTAATCATTGAAAAGTTTGTAAAAAATCTATTAAAATATCAAACACTAGCTCCAAACTTTATTTCAGCTGGAAATTACCCGCCTAAGATAAAATAATTGCCTGCCTATTACTTTTTAAATGTATTAAAATCTGCAAGGCCTTGAATGGATATTCTGTAGAGCTTCAAAGATTCGATTGAAGGTTGAAAGTTAAGTGGTTTAAGGGACATCAGTTAACAGTACTGTAATTTTGTTTGCAAATCCAGTGAAAAATGACATGTGGCCTAAAAAATTGATTATCTTAATCAAACAGTTTTCAATGAAATGTCTCTCAATCTACTTAAAAATATTTATAGTTTTCTTTGTCATGGACCACAAGATAAAAATAAATCCAAGATTTGTCTCAACAACCATTTTATTGGCAGGTTTTCACATTTCAATGCAGTGAATAGACTTTGGTATTCAAAATCAAGGGTCTGCCTTCAACCCAAACATGATAAAAATCTTGCTTTGAAGATAACCCACCAACATTAGTATTCCTTCCAAAAAGCTTAAGGTTTCTTTTTATTTGTTAGGAGGATTTAACAAAAGAAACAATCTAATACAAGAAATACTATCTAAAATCATACCAAAGTCAAAAAACTATTGGTAAGAATAATCTAGCTCAAGTGAAAACCAGCATATATATATATTTCTCACAATGCTGTTAAAGTCATGAAAAACCAATAAAAAAATGGCCTTTTGTATGGTTTTTGATTGATAAATTGATAGATCTCAAACCAGAAAGAAACCTTGTACAACTACCAAAAACATAACTTTTCATTTCACCTATCTTTGCCTTCCAATTTCATCTTCGCTATACTAAAACCATTTCATACATACCTGAGACATTTTTTGGCTCTGAGCACAGTTTTTTGAGCAGAACTGCTTCCCACTGTTTCCATATCTTTTCAACTTTGTGATTGGACCATGGCATTTTTCACAAACCATCAGTGCATCAACTTCACAACTCAACAAATTGTCAACACTGTCTGTATTTTGGTTATCAAAATCAGAAGTGATTTCCTGAATATAAGCAAAACAATTAAATTAGTAAGAGTCTTCTGCATCTAAATATAAACTTAAAAAACACTTTGAAGATAGAAGAAAATTTATCAGAAGTGAAGCCTGAAATACGGACTAATGAAATAAACCCTTTTGTGGGTATTCCCTGTTCAATGAGCCTTTCAAAGGCAGTATTCCCAGATATGTGAATTGCAATTTTCCAAAGTAAACTTTGAAGTTGAACTTTGACAAGGAAGCAACATGTTATATGGGGCATCGTGCATCATAAGGAGGCAAATTTTACAAAGAATATGAATGTTTTAATAGCAGCTAAGTATAAAATAGTTCGTTTTTACATCCTTAAACTTTCTTAATGTAATGTAAAAGAGCCTAAGACGTAAGCTGTTTTTTAATTATTGTTCTACTAACAGTACATTTACATATAAAGTCTATGAGAAGATAAAAATAGCAATATTAGGTTATAAAAACAATAAGTCATATTACATGAATTGATAAAGATTTGTTTTATTTGACAAATAGTTTCTCTTATCAGCTTACAGACATGTAATTGATGAAAAGTCAAATCTCATATGATCACGATCTAGTAGTAGTAAAAGTGTATTTATCTTGAACTTTTTTGAACTTTTACTTTCATCAAAAGTCTCTAAATTCAAAATTGAAAAACCACATTTAAAAAAAGAGACCTGGATTAAATTTCAAATTAATAGTACTATTACCAGCAGAATATTGATAATATATGTTGAAAATTCAGTGCTTAAAAAGTAAATAATTTAAGAAGCATCATCTTTTCCACTCTGTTAATTTCATAATCCTACAGACTTCAGTTTGGTCTTTGGAAATAATTCTGTATGGTTTGGGTCAAGGATTTTAAATTATAGTGGTAAAATCTATAAAAAGGTAGAAAACAAATTTGTTTTAAAAAAAGCAGATCAGTTGTTGAGCATCTTTGCATGCAAAACAACATTTTGGGGTGACAGCTCACATGAAATCATATGTTGCAGGATAAAGCTTCTCCTTTATGCCTTGTTTAAAAAGATTTATCAGGCTGCAAAGAAATGGTTGCCTGAAAATGTGAACCTTTTTCTTGGTACAACGACTAATGAGCCATGTTTTGATATTTTGAGCTACAATTGGTCACTTCTCTAATTGTAATTAAATGTGTTCTTAAACATGCAATCAGTTCAGTAAAATTGATCATTTGCATTAAGATTTAAAGCTGAAGATTTCATCCTTTTTGAAGAATGATAATTTTTGCACAAAGTGATTTTGCAGGGTTGAACCCCTGTATGTAAATTTTTTCAGCAGGCAAAGCTGACTCTTCACATTTAGGGGGAGGGGGCTTAGTATGGATCTGCCCAAATGGAGCTTGCAATGCCATGTATAATGCCTGATCAGGGGGCAGGGACCCTCCCAGTTCCTATGTGTCCTACTCCAATGCCCCTTTGGTATTGCCTGTTCCTGCAGGCTCACTTGACGTTACCCTCTTTTTCTTCAAATGGTGTATATCTCATTACACACATTTATTTTTCAAGTAGCAAGTCAATTTGCAACCCTGCCTTGGCTCCCTAAGGATACTTTAATAATCAAACAAAAAAGAGAAGTAGCTTTTTATAACTGTTCTCTTGTCAATGATGTACACGTTTTTTTATAAGAAAGTTTTTTTCAGCCCATCACTCAGACTTGTTTAGCTATTTCCTAAATTAAGCACTAAAGCTTTCTTAACACTTTCTTGACGTAAAATCGAAAAGTTTTACGTTTCTAAGAATGCGCAGTGATGGAGAAGATGAAATGCTATAAAAATGCTTTATTTCTCAAAAACCCTCAACGTCATACTGTATTCATCGTTTCCTGTTCAGACCATTACTGTATTGTTGAAATATTTCACTCTTACACCACAATTTCCTTTGAAACTTTGAATATCTGAATTTTTCAACTTTCTTAGATTTCAAAGATCCAGCACTGAAGTTTCTTAACTTTTTGAAGAACCGATCACAACTTTCTTATAAAATACACTTTCTTATAAAAAACGTGTACATAAAATAAAATACAAGAGAAAAAACATTTAATTTTATCACACTCTGCCTTTGATCGCCCGAAGATATTTGCTTCCTGTAAAAAGGGGAAACTGGGCTAATGAGATGGGTTTAAGAATCTCATTCCCTTTCATCATTACTGAAGCTCAAAAATCAAGCAAGTAAAATATTCCAAAAATATAACAACCACATAACTTCCTAAGGCTTTCACAAAACCCTTAAAAAATTCTCTTAAAAACTGATGAGATTTAAAATTCTAAAAAACTATTACTGCATTTGCCGTTTAAGAAATCAGAAAACCTGGAGAAACAGAAAACTAACTTTATTCTCTCCTCTGTTGGTGATCTCGCCATGAGAATTTTCTTCAACTACCTCGAGATCGCCACCTGTGTCAATTTGATCATCTTCAAGTGGGAGACTTGGAGCTGAAAAATTCAACTCTGCTCTTTTCGACAAATCTTTCGAAAGAGACCCATCACTACCGCTAGAGTCCGTCAGGCCAACAATTCTTTCTTTCTCCTCCATTGCAAGAAGTTTCACAAACTCCGTCAGCATTCAGGCATGGCCTAGGCAAATGAAATGATAACAAACATGTCTAGATACAAATTCTCAAAATTGTTTATAATCAGGTGATATAGATTCCAAGCCATGTGAATTGAGGAAAACCCATTTCGCGACATATGGAAAGGAAGATAAGCAATAATTTGAATGAAGTGGTTGCACGCGGTAGTATCTTTGGGGTTTTCCCAGAGAATCATAAAAACCGGGGGTAATCTCACTATCATCAAAAAGTAAAGAAACTCCACTAATGATGAAAAGGTGATGAACGCATGACTGGAAATTATTTCAATGGCTCCATCATACAAGGATTTTATTAAAAATCATGTGCTACATTGAAATCGAAATTATTCGGAAAATAATATATTTGAACATAATTTTTCCGATATTTTCATTGTTGCAAATCTGGTCTAGTCCGAAAAACGGGTTCTCTCCGAAAGTCTTGAATACATGTTAAATAGGAAAATACAAAGATCATAATAGGATAAAAATATCTGAACCTGTGCATAATTTTTTTCTGAAATTCTCTGATCCCTATCACTAAAAGTTTCAAAGACCGTTTCTCCTCCTCGCCGTCGCCACAAATCAACTCGTTTCAGATGCTGTGGCTTGCCAAGGCAAGGCCTTTATAATCAGCTAAAGTTACCCGTGATTAATTAAGGTAAAATTTCAATTAACTTTAACTCATACTTTGCATCACCCAAAAACTATTCTTCCGAAAAATTTTTTCCAAACTTCTCAAAAATGCATCCAAAATTGTGTTGTCTGAAGTTTTTCTCCGAAAAATAGCTGTCCAAATAAATTTAATGATTAAATTTAATGATTGTCTACATCTTAAGGTTTACGCAGCCCGGCAAAATCGTATTTACGTTAGAATTGTTTGCCTCTTGTTTAAATCAGACACATAGTTCGGTTTTGGAGATTGGAAATAAATTTGTAGCAGGGAACCGAAAACGACAAAGCTACTCTCCGCTAACTGTTACGATCAGATTTAAAAAATATTTATATCAAATAGCACAATCCTGAATAATTGTATGGTTCTTTTATTTACATCATTTTGTTTGTTATTCTTGTTCAAATGTGTTCCATTCTTATGCTCTCTGTGTCTTGTTGTTTTATTCAATGTAAAAAGGAACGTTGATAAATCCCTAAAACTTTGTACGACTACCCCCAGGGTGTCAAAATTAAAATGGACACTATGGCAATAATCAGTGGCGTAACGGAGGCACCTGGGGCCAAGGAAAAACACTGAGACGCTGCAGATCATGTCGAACACAGAAGCAAGATGTAAAAGTGAGAATATTTCTCGGATCTTGTGTTACAGAAGAGAAATAATCTTTTGTGATACAGAATTTTAAAATGGCTTTGAAAAAAGCAAACATTTTGAAACATACTAAAGCTTTTCATCTGACATTCATCAGAGTATAAAAGGTCGGAACATAGATCGAAAACTTTAAGCTAGTAAATATATAAACCCAGTTGTGGATCATAAAAGGTCAATCAGAGAAACGAGCACATGACTGTTGAGGTTGCCCAATTAGTGTCGCTTGCTTTTTGCCTATCGATAAGAGGAAGCTTAGAATTCTTGCCTAAGATTTTCCTTGAGTGTATATTTGTGTTGTGAATTTTGGTACAGTTCATTTCATCTCTTAGAATATGGTACTTTGATTACACTGACGGCCCTCCCTAAGGACAACATTATGCTACGCCCCCCAACTCCGTTTTTAATTATGATTTCCCGGCCCTGTGTACTTATAACAGTTTAACACGATTCATCCAAAGATCAGTGGATTCATCTTGGAACCGGCTCTTGCGCAACCGGCATGCTTTGCGACTATAATTGCAAAACAGGCCTAATATTGTACTGCATGAAAATACAAAACACAGTCTGTTAGGCCAACCCATAGTAGTAGTATTTATTTCCGTGGCTCAACAACAAACCTCCTTAAGCAGTGGCTTTATGTCTTTATTTGAATCATGCTTCGCTCACGTATAATGTGCCTTAAATACTTCTTGTTAAAATAGTTTGCATCATATTTAGAAAAAAATGTTGTAGAACCAATTTAAAAATGTTTTCGCTGTCATTTCCAAACTGTATTCTCAATGATTTGTTTTTTCATACACGCATTTTTAAAAGAAAGTTAGCCTATGCTCGGTTCCTCGGTTTCTTGCCTAAGAAGTTAAGAAAGTTTAGGGCTTTTGATCTTTGAAACCTAAGAAAGTTGCAAAATTTAAAGCGACATATTTCGTTTTGTGACAATAATGTGCGACACAAAAAGGCTAAATACTAAGCGAGGTAAGGTAACCCTTTTGTAAGGTTTACATTATTCATAAAGATCTTCAATAAAAACCAAGCCCTAAGATGGCCATAAAATTAAGAAACCATAGAATTCATCGCCATGAACCTTAGGAAACTGCTCGCAAACCTTCATTTTAAGAAAGGGTAGAAATTATCAGGCACCTATTTCCTTTTTACATTCTTTTTCTATAAGAGCAAGTAAATGGAAGTACAGGCTGGCTGTTCCTAATTTGTTCTTAAATTTTAGGGTGTAAGCAGTTCAATTGCTAGTTATTGCGCTCTAGGAAGTTGTTTAGGTTTCGTTGGCCAACAAAGTGAGTGAGTGTTTGCCGCAAGGTTAGAAAATTCACCGAAAAAGCACCACTAGATGGCAAAAAACGTCTTGTTTTGTAAGATGAAACATTGTTCAAAATTTTACAGTAGCCCAGCTCAGCTCTGCTTGTTCTTAATTTTTTCTTAACTTTTGACCAATTTTGAGGCTGGAGTTCCCATAAAAAAGAGAGTGTAATTGACAGATTTTAGAGATGCTAAATTTCTAAAAAGCAGCTCTTCGGCATTTTATATCATAGAAACCTTTTACAAACTTTTGTTATGAAAATGTACAAACAATTAAGAGACTGGTACCGAAATGAGTACTAATTCAAAGAAATTCAAAGATTGGGAGGTGGGGGGCCCATGGAACGCCGAAGGAGCATGCCAACATTCTACTACAACAACGTGTAGATCTTTATTTCTTCCTGGTGGCCTGAAATGTTTCATGGTGGCCTGAATTTGTAAACTGAAAAAATTTGGCCCCCAGTCACTCAATTTAGCCAACAGAGTTTAGAGAAATATACAAAGGCTGGCAATGCAAAAACGATTCAGGATTCATTTTTGCCTTTGTCGCATTTCCAGGTATGAATCTGTAATGGTATTTAAAGCTATTTAAGTCTAAAACTTAAATGATGAAACGCTTTAATGGATAGCTTTAAATGTTGAAAATAGAGCGTACGACTGGTCAGGCAACGCTATAAGAATCTCTAGGGTCAAAATACTAGCTGTTGGCTCTGTCCATATCTGTGACAAAGTGACAAATAATAAATGTGAACAGTGACAGATCAATCATGGCTTGTTTGATGTGGGAAGATATCACCAGGTAAGAAGTTCAATACAAAACCACTGTCTTTTTTAAACCGTTACCACCCATTATTGAGCCTACATTCTCCCGACTACTTATAAGTGCTAAAAGCTTATTTAACCAAATTGTCGTACGAATTCAGCTACCTATGACAATAGTATATAACTTCTGTGAATGTAAAGAAGGAAATGTGGGGTATCACTGATCTCGTTCCGCAGCCACATTTTGTAAAGGCAGGATAGTGAATCCGCCCAGAGGACCTGCAAGTTTGAGTTCATTTGTCGTCCCTCACCTGGCAAATGAACTCCATCTTTCAAAACTTTTGTCACCATGTAGTAACTAAAGACGTATTATTTCAACGACATACAGGTGGACTTCTTCTTGTAGACTTGAAATTATTACAATTTCGATAATAAGTCTAGAATAGGCATTCCAGCGAATGTATAAATTTGTGGCGGGGGGGGGGGGGGCAAGTGCAAATAACTGGATCATAACCAAAGATTGTTTCGTTCTACAAGAGGATGTGGATGCTGGCCTCTGATCCCATTCACCGGGGGGCTATCAGGTGTCTTTAATAGCGCGATTAACTTCAAAGCATATACTTTCAATTTTGCCACGCCCTTTTCCGAATTCAAGCACGACTTTTCTGCCAAACAATATTGCATGACTTTGTATATCGCTATTCATATGTCTTCAGAGTTCAAAACATTGGAGCAATCAGAAAAGCTACGGGAACAAAGAACAAAGCAAAGTGGGGAAAACAATGGTAAAACGAAGAAAGGCGCTCAATTTTGTGAGGGCAAGGGGGGCTACTACCCTTCGCTGCCCGCCTGGTGCAGGCGTCCTTGGGAACAATAGATAGAAAATTTAGAATATCGACTTTTTTATATCGAAATTTAGAATATCGAGTTGTAGGAGGGGGTGCGTCATTCACGTCGTGTTTACCCTGTATGTTGGTGTCTTAACATGGATGGAAACTTTCTCGAGCCCAGTTACACTTTGGTTACACTTTACCCTGATAAGCAAAGCCAAAAAAAGAATTTTAAATAATGGAACTTTGTGTGAAGAGGGGGTTTTCGGGCCCCATTTGCCGAAAAAAATTGCTAAGACGTCCTTAATTTGGCGACAGGTCTGAACATTTCTCTGTAGAAGCACCTCTACATGGCAAAAAAACTCGTAGTTTTTTTAGACCAAACTTTTCTCCAAGAGGGGTGTCACACCCCCTGAAAACCCAACGCAACGACTGCCCTGGACAGCTGCAATGCCAAGCAAAGCCATTCTTTTCTTGGTATATATCAGTTTTGATCCGGTCTATTGTAACCGGATTCTCGGCAACTTAAGGATTCTTTGAGAATGAAATGATCTCCGTTGGTTCCCATTTCTGTGCAAGTCATTTTTATGGTATCATTTAACTTATCCAAACAAAAATAATCTGTCATGCATGAAACAAAAAAACTTTAGAAAAAGTGTCCTACCTTCGGAGAGTTTCTTGTAATTAGAGAGTAGCACATTTAAGCAACCATTACCCCCTGCAGAAAGCATAAGCAATTTGATATGGATGTAAAATGTCAACAAATAATTTTCCCCGTCACATATCCCTTGCCCTCAAGGCCACACTCAAAGTATTTCAACGAAATTTTGCAGAGGTTTATTAGTCCTAGCTGCATGATACCCCCCTAGTCGAGCTACCAGCACGACTGGGGTATCAGTAACCGGGGTGATGAAATTTCGTCATGAGCAATCGAAGGCCTTCTAGAAATTCAATGCAGCGTACTCCAGTTTTAAAAATGTATTGCCGTCAATAATTACCCCGCCTTTATCTGCCACCGAGGATACAATTCAGGTCGGATTTAAAAGAGACGAAAGAAAACTACTGATATAGAGAAGTGTCCCCCCATTTTCCTTAGGACAATAGAGCCAGGCAACAAAGCCCATGAGACCTTCTAAACATGCGACCTTCTAAACGCGACCATTCCCAAGGGAGCGAGAGTGCTTATTCAAATGTTCACAAGATAATGCATTATTCTTATTACTTTGGTTTCGCAACAAAGACACACGAAACGCACGATCTACTCGCGCATTGTTGAGACGACAAACGGAAAGTTAAGATTGTCTGGTACTTTCAATTACCAACCACTCCCCCCTCCCCCCCAAAAAAACACTGTCCATGCGCAGCAAAATTTGACCATCGCATTGACCTAAAAAATACGGGTTTAAAAAAAATAATTCATGATTTCGTGTCATAAACCTATGGAGTCGTTAAAGAAAGGCTGAAGGACATATAGCATACCGCATTGGAGCATGTTACCCCCGTTGAAAAATCTCTGTTTTGCTGCCCCTACCCGGGATGCATTACGTTAGGATTTAATTTGCTTGCTTTATAGAAACACGTCCTTAAACAAAGAATAAAAAATTCTATATGCAAAAATTTAAATTAAAAGAAAACAACTAAAAAGACAAATAAAAAAATTATCAGAAAATGCAATGTGATAAATTTTGCTAAGCAAACCCCTAAGAAATAATTGATAAAATGCAGTGCCGTCGGAACGAAATTCATATTGGGGGGGGGGCTGCCCATTGTTTCCCTTCTCATTTAGTACACTGTTATAAAGGAAATATACTACAGTCTGACAATTATTGGGGGGGCTACAGCCCCCCAGCCCCCCCGGTTCCGACGGGCCTGAAATGCTATGTGAAACTAAAACAATTGGGCTCGAAGAATGGAACTACAAATTGTTGAGAAGTTTTATATGACATTAGTGCCAACATTACCTGTTGGAAGTTGGCAAATATGTCAAGTGTAACAACCCATGGATATTCACATCATGGTTATCTCAAGGTAACACATCAGCAGCACCCACCATAAAGCATTTGGCACGACCGCATTAACCCAGCGACCCCAGCGCTCGAGACAACAAAATAACTACTAAGTTGAATTTTTAAATGTTTCAGTCTTTTAACTGTTCATAATTAAGTGATCTTTTTCTGTGCGGTTGGAACAAAATTCATATTGAGAGGGAAGCTACTTGAAAGAAGAAAGAAACATCAATTGCTTAAAATTAAAATTCTTAATGAGGAAATAAACCCAGCCCCCGATTCCATGACGGTACTGCTTTTATTAAAAATTGCTCGCACTGTCCTAGTTTCAATGTTGGCAAGAAATTTGTAAGGACTGACAACATGGAACGAACTTCATAAAAGACACACGGCCCCCTTTCCTGGTCTTTTCAATTTACGGATTTCCGTGTTTAATAATATCACAATTACCAATTTCGTCACAATCTAATCAAAACAACAATAAAGTTATTAACACTGAAAAAAAGTTCAGCTGCATGGCACGACACTGCCAATACCAACCCATGTGGTTAAGGGATCTCCCAAATACCCCTGGGAAATGTTCAAGGCTTTCACAAAACCAGGTGCTAATTGACCGGGTCGTCACAATTATTGAGATTCATCGAAAGAATCGCCATGACAGTACCCCCCTGTGACATATTTAAGAGCCTGGCCCGCACAAAACAACCATGGCCCAAAATACAGTTCAACGTGTCCGGAAGAATTTGACGGAAGGCAAACATCGCCCGGGGCGTGTTCATTGCAAACGCGAGCAGGAAAAGCCTCTACAGTAGAATTTTCGTGATCACGTGGTATATACAGTAATTAAAGCTATAAAAAATTCCAAAATAGTAAAAACTGATTTATCCTGAATTCTAAATTTCACTTCGTCGTAACCTGCCAAAAATTAAGGCTGCTAGGAAACTGCGAATTTTGCCTCAGATCTAATTTGCATATGAGAATGGAAAAGTCAAGTTGAAACACAATACAAGGCTAAAAGCCTTCAAACCAGGCTTCCCTAGTTAATACAATACCTAGGAAAAATATGTTTTCAGTAATCTATTAGACCTGAAATCACCTTGTTAGGCCCAAACAGTGTCAAATTCAGCTTTACAGGCCAGTTTAACGAAGTGAGATTTCGGGCGCCTGCCAGCGTTTCCTACAGCCTACACGTAGCGCCATGTTTACTGTCGGTCAAACAACAAGACAATACTTTACTACTTATGTCGTAGTCGACCTTCGTCTCCTTACGAGAATTTCAAAAAACAACAACAAAAACAAGCTCAACAAAACATTGTAAAAGAATCATTCATCAGTTCAAGGCAAAACTCACCCTTAGATATCTCGATGGATTTTTAAATATTAGATGAAAAACTCAAGTAATTTCTCCATCCAACACGTTTGGATAGTCGAGATCTTGCAATCAGTACCACTGCGCATGCTTAAGCTATTTTGGACTTCCAAGCAAATGGAGTGTCCTGATTGGTCGCTGTAGGTAACTTATTCTTCTCAAATTGTTAGGTGCCGCTGATTGGCTGGATTGTGAGTGGGCCTTCGATTATCTTTGTTATGGAAATGAAGGCAACCAGCTGAAGAAAAACACGAGATAGATATTTCCTCGACGAGCAAAGTTTTCCTCACAGCAAAGAAAGCGTAAACCTGTACAGTGCAGTTGTAAGCGTTCAGTTTTTGTATGAGGAATTCATGGTATTTTTAACCGAACGGAGCTCCGGGCCGATCCTCTGCATAACAGAATCTCGATATCTCTTGCGGTGGTATGGTCGAAGACGGGGGTAAACGCAGACGGACCTTGGCAAGTACCCCGGCTTCTTCCTTGACAACGGAATGGAAACCGCTGAATTCCGCATATTAATGAACTGAAATTTTAACGATCTCGCGTATAGGTTCAGGGCCATCGAAAGCGGGGGAGGGCTTGGCCCCCAAATAATTGTCAAACTTGAATATATTTCCTTTATTACAGTGTACGGAATGGGAAGCAATACAATGGGCAATCCCTCTCTCCCTTCCTCCCCCCAATGTGTATTTCGTTTCAACGACATTGTAGGTTAGCCAGAAGCCTTTGTTCGGAGTAAATTCACAAAGCTGTCCCCAATCCTGTTTTATGCTTTCAACAAAATAAAGGAATGAAACAGTCTTTCGCCAATTCTATTCAAACAGGTAGGATTGAAATAGATAAATATGCTGTTTTAGTTTTTAGAGATAAGATAGCCTTTTTGGTATAAGTATGTAGCTGTGAGAAATTTTATATATTTTTTAGTAATCCTCTTGTTAAAATGTAGTATAACACCTTTCAACTAAGATTTGTCTATTTACTTTGAAGTAGACTGTCTCTAAAAATAATGAACTTGGAAGAAAATTTTTGATGTTTTGAGTTTCGATCTCTACCCCTCCCCCTTGGAACCCGCTGCCCGGTCATTATTGTCCGCAGGCCTCCACGCTCCGGGAGCTGGGCGTCGTTGGTATCAGTTGTGGAAATTCAGGCCTTCATTTGGGAGGGGGGCAGGCCTACGATTTTCCGACAAGATAACATCTTGGATCATGTCTAATTTTAAGGAAACTGCACATTTTGATGAAAATATGTGATTTTTTGGAGGGACCCTTAACAAATCTTTACAGACTACGCCATAATTAAATAAAAAGAAGAACAATCCATTTATGATTTTTGATATCAAGATCGATATCTCATCTAAGACAACTGATAACAAAATATGTCGACGATTACACTTTTGACAAGTTGTGCATGATAACAACATGATTGTAATTGTAACCTTCATCATGCATTTTATCTTGTTTTCGTCAGTGGGAAATACGTTTGAAAACAATTTTTGCTTGAAAGAGTCCGATGGAAAGTTCGGCAAATCTTTATGTGAATTGAAATTGACAGGCACTTCGGAGCGTTGAGAAAAGTGGGGGTTCTAAAAAATGTTGGGGCTAAAACCGTATAAAGAGAGGCTTTACTGGTAGTTTATTACTTATTATTTAGCATTTTTTGCAAAAAGTGGGGGGCTAAAGCCCCACCAGCCCCCCCTGCTCCGCAGTGCCTGCTTAAATATGCAATTCGCAAGCAGCTTTAATTTTTGTCAAATGTTGCTTGTTTGATTATTTAGTACAAGCTAATATTTTATCAGCTTTGTTCAAATTTGCAAAAAAGGCACAGAGAGGTTGTACAGGCCCCTATTGTAAAAAGGGAAGACGCGGATCACCTGCGAGCGAAGCGAGCAGAAAATTTAGCAAAAATGCCCCTTGGATTAGTTAAAAATACATTTCAGGGCGATTTCTTGCAGTAATTTCGGCACGTTAAACGTTTGTCAATTATCAGACGAAAGCCCGAATTTTCCGACGAGATCGCTGATTAGGGGGACCCTAGTTTCCCCATACCCCCATTATTTCTTCCACTGGTTGGTAAAATAGATTAAAGGGTGCTATGGAGGGGGCTCTAGAGCTTATTCCTCTTGTTAAACTCCAGAGAGATTTCAGTGACTCAACCCTTCTCCCCCTCACAAAAGAGCACATGTTTGGTTGAATGAATTCTGTGTTGGCAAACCTTTATATTGGTATAGATTTTCCTTGAATGATCGAATTTTATCACTATCAGTGTTGGATTTTGTTATCGTTTTTTGGTTACTTCGGACCCTTGTGGTCAGTCGAGGACAGAGTCGAGAATCGTCCATGCAAGGAGCGGTGACGCAGGGAGTTGTGTCCGCATTTGAAACTCAACGAACGGTTATTTCATATCAATTACAGGTCATTCATTGTATTATCGAGCTGTGTAAGTCACTCAATTGGTTTTATTTACGAAATATATTCACGCTAACTATAGACCTCGTTTTTCATTTTGGACGTCTTTGGTCATATTACGCCGAACACCGCATTCTAGTTGCAGCATAAAACTTCTACAATTCGTGCCTTCTAGTGGTGTCTGTAATATAGTCAATATTCAACAAACAGTTTTGATTCTAAAAATTTACGTAGATGACTGAACCTTCCTTTAGAATTCCATTTCATTTCATGATGTTATTTGGTCAAAAGCTCAAAATTCTAGAATATGCTTTCGATGACGTCACACTGTTGTATTCTTCTGTCTGCTCGAACAAAACGATGACTGATTTTGATGAAAATACATCCCTACTTTTTCTGAATGGTTGCTAGATTTCTTTTCTAGTCCAAAATTTGAACTCAATTACTTCAAGTTTGTTTATAAGAACTCTTTAGCTCATTTTTCATGGCCAACTCAAACCAAGATCATTTCTTCAATAGATTATATTAAAAGAAGCATTATGTTGGACACGCTAGAATAATGTCCTAAGTTTCAGGTCAACATTGAGGAATGAGGAAGAGATTTTGGCAGGAAACTGATTAAATTTTCAAAGGATTTTCATTGACTGATAAATATTGAAACTGCTCGTGAAAAAGGATCTTTCAGTCCATGAAAAAAGTAAAGAATGGTTTTTGTGCTCCTGAAGACTTTTATGCAGTAGTGTAGTGCTATTAAAATAACAAGGGGGGCTCTTGCACAAAATGTTGCAAAAAACAATAGCAAAAGTAGAAATCTACAAATTTTCAGCATTAACAAGGGGGCTCAGCCCCCTGACCCCCCCTAGCACTACACCCCTGCTTTTATGGCTCATTTTAAATAGCTTGATTATGTCAAACATATTGCTAAAAAGGTGGGAACATTCAACAGAAACAAAAACAACAACACTGCCTTTTAAATTATCATTGAAAACATCTTCGTGAAGCAAACTTTCCGTTTGAACGCGCTCATTCTGCCAAAGTGATGCCAATTTTTGTCTTGTCGCCACATCAAATCACGTTGTCCTGGCAACAAGCCTACCAGCAAGCCTCAACCTGTTGTCTTGTTTACCGTGGTATGAAATAATGAAATAATGATGAAATGAATTAGATATGTTAGGAACTGGCCGAAATTTGGTCACGTGAGCACATGCCCTCTACCAATTAAGCCATTACAATTTTAGCCTGATAACCTTTGTAATGGGCTGGTTATCGAGCTACTATTATTACTCCAGAACAAAACAAAAGAACTCCAACGTCAAACTCAAAAAGTTACTTTGTATACACTTTTTTTATATAAAAATAGTTTTTAAGAATATTGAAGACTCATTTCTAACAATGAGCCTTTGCGAGGGTGGCAAATTATCCAGGCGACAATCCAAACAAGGGCAGTAAACTTTACGGATTAACCATAATTGATTTCAGACTGTCTGAAAATGCATTATGGGATGCTTGCGTAGCGCAATGGCTCATTGTTAGCAATTAGTCTTTAAGGCTCGAAATCGCTGAAATGTGAGAATAATTTATGAATAATGCAAGGCTCACGCTTCAATTTTTTGTTTAGTCGAGTTTTTTGGAAAGCAAATCAAATCCAAGTTTCACTCCCTTAGTTACACATTGTGTCGATTGAGAATAATTTAAGAATAATCTTAGGCTCAAAATAAAAAAATCAAAAATATTGAGGCTCAGCAAAAAATTAGGTATTCTTGTAAAAAAGGTGTGCATATGTTTCTCAGTCATTTGGTAACAGATGTAATTGATTTTGCAGTATTTTAATGGCACTCTTACGCATTATTTGGTCGAAACTAAAATCTTCTAAAAATATTTTTAATGACGCTGGCTTTTATACTCTTTTCTGTTACACATCCATGCTATTCGTAGTTATTTCATACCTTGATACCCTGACATCCCCTAAGGCCCAAGAGCTATTGTACAGTTGCATATGTGAATTATCTGTACCGATCGTTGTGTAAAACCACTTAAAAAGGGGGTTTTACAAATGTGAGTTCGTAGGTCGTTCGCAGAAACGTACACGATAAATACGGCAAAAACTGTTATCCAATTCTCTATACACTTCTTCTAATTCATCAGTTCACGGCAAACGACTAAAAATATCTTAAACGGCTAACGGCGACAATGTAACGGCAAACTGATTCTGCAAGCTAGCGACAAGGTACACTGAGTTCGACAAAGCTTACGGCAAGACTCAACCTAACTATAAAGCCACCCCTTATATACCCTAAGAATAATACAATTTACAGAAGCTGATGCAATTGCAGCGCAATGATGCAATTGTCATGTGATGTCCTGCAATGAATGGGAACCCTGTGTTCTAACAGTTGTACATATGAAAAATGCGATCTCGCTATTACGAACCCCCTTATTAAGAACTTCATTTCTCAAGATCACAAACATGGTTTTGTGAAAGTCTGGTCCCTTGGAATGCTTAATTTGAGGCGAGCCTTGCTAATCCTAACTTTCTTGATCCCTTCAGAATCCCTTCAGAATACATAATAGCTTGATTCCACTGTACGTTTACAGTCATATAAGGCGAGGGCGGTGAACAAATCTTGAAATTTATTTTAGGCGATCATAGATCGATGATATATGATAACTCTTGGCCTATATTCGTTGAAAATTGACTAACAGAGTCATATCGAAAAAAGAACCTCAACT